GGTTTTTATCATGAAAGGATATTGGATTTTATCGAAAGCTTTTTCTGTGTCTATTGAGATCCAGTGTTAAGAGAATCATTTCATAATGGTAAAGAGTCAGTTCACTTTAAATGTATTTGTACCTAATAACATAGCTTCAAAATACAAAATATATGAAATACATATTATTTGTCAGGGATAAATCTGACAAATAATATGTAAGATCTGTACGCTGAAAACTATAAAACTATATTTGCACCTAATAACATAGCTTCAAAATAAATGAAGCAAAAACTGATAGAACTCCAAGAAAAATAGACAAACCATAATTATAGTCAAGGTTTCAATATTCCTCTCTGAATAATTGATGGATCAAGTAGACAGAAAATCAACAAGGATATAGGACACTTAAATAAGACTATCAACCAATTTGACCTAATTGACACTTATAGAACACTCCATCAATAACAGAATAAATATTCTTCTCAATTGTACACGGAACAGTTACCAAGACACCTCAGGTTCTACATTCTCAAACACTGGAAGTCTCAATACATTGGAAAGGATCTAAATGGTACAAAATATGTTCTCTGACCACAGTGAAATCATATTACAAATCAATAGCAGAAGAGCTCTGGAAAATACTCAAATATTTGGGAACTAGATATACTTCTAAAAAACTCATGGATGAAAGAAGAATGCAAATGGATGTTAAAAATGTATTTTGAACTGAATTAAAGTAAAAACACAACATATCAAAATCTGTGAGATGGAGCTAAAGCGGAAAGTTAGTAGTACTAAATGCCTACGGGGGGCAGGGAGAGGAGGAGTTAAAAAGGTCTCAAATCAGTAATCTCAGCTACACTTTAAGAAACTAGAAAATGAAGAGCAAATTAAACCCAGAATAAGAAAGAAAATACAAACAATAAAGACTAGACTGGAAATTAAGGACACAGAAAACAGAAAAATAGTAGAGAAAAATCAATGAAAGGAAAATCTGGTTCCTTGAGATCAAGAAAATTGGTCAATCTTTGTATAGACTCATGAAGACAAAAAGAGAGAAGATTTAAAATTCCCATAACAGAACGAGAGAAGAGACATCCTACAATTATTAAAAGGATAATAAGGGAATATTGTGAGCAACTGCATGCCAATATATTAGACAACTTAGATGAAATCACAAATTCATTACAAGTCCAAAGCTCACTCATGAAAAGGAAATAATAACTCCATAAATGATAAATTTATTTAAACTTGTTAAAGAAATTATATAGCTCTATATTTGTTAGTTAAAAACTTTCCCACAATGCCCAGATGCTTCACTGGTGAATTCTACAAAACATTTATAGAAGAAATAATAAACAATTCTACACATATTATTTCTAAAAACAGCAGAGTAAGAAACATTTTTTAGCTCATTTTAAAAGGCCAGCATTACCCTGACATCAAAACCAAACAAAGATACTATAAAACAAAACTATATAATCAATATCCCTTATGAATATCACTGCAAACATTCTAAACAATCAATCAATTGAATTTGCAACATATAAGAAGGACAATACGTCATGATCAAGTGGAGTCTATACCAGGAATGGAGGGGGAGGGGAGAGGAAGAGATTTAACGTTCAATTAAAAAATCAATAAATGTAATTCACCATATTAACACACTAAAAAAGACAACTCATATGAGCATCTCAATAGATGCAGCAAAAGATTTGATAAAATCCAACATCCATTACTGACTTAAAAAAAAGAATTTTCAGCAAATATGAAATAGAGAAGAATTTCCTCAATCTGATAAAGGGTATCTATAAAAAACCTATAGCTACCATTATACTTAAAGATGACTGAATTAATACTTTTTCCCTAAGATGGACCAAGGTGAGGATATCTGCTCTCATTACTTTTATCACCTAGTATTATGGAGTCTTGTTAGTGCGATAAAGCAAAGCAAAGTAAAAATACATAGATTGCAAAGGAAGAAATAAAACTGTCCTTATCTGTGGATAACATGAGTGCATGACTGTATATTACAAATCCCAAAGAATCTAAAAAGCAAAACAAAACAAAAAAACCTCCTAAAAGGAGTAAGTGAATTCAGCAGGTTCAGAGGATATGAGATCAATGTGTTAAAAACCTGCTGTAATCCTATATACTAGCAATGAATAATCAGAAATTATAATTATAAAATAATACCATTCATAGTAGCATCAAAACATGAACTACTTACAGATAAATCTGACAAATGATATGTTAGATCTATACACTGAAAACTATAAAACTCGCTTAAAGAAACAAGCCAGAGGCAGTGGCTCACGCCTGTAATTCCAGCACTGTGGAAGGCCGAGGTGGGTGGATCACAGGAGGTTGGGAGTTCGAGATCAGCTTGACCAACATGGAGAAACCCTGTCTCTACTAAAAATACAAAATTAGCTGGGCATGGTGGCACATGCCTGTAATCGCAGCTACAAGGAAGGCTGAGGCAGGAGAATCGCTTGAACCCAGGAGGCGGAGGTTGCAGTGAGCTGAGATTGTGCCATTGTACTTCAGCCTGGGCAACAAGAGCAAAACTCCATCTCAGAAAAAAAAAGAAAAGAAAAAAGACAAATAAATGAAGAGATATACCATGTTCACAGATCAAAGGCTTCATACTGTTAAGATGTTAATTCTCCACAAACTAATCAATAGATAAAATATAATATCAACTAAAATTCCAGCAGGCTTTCTTGGAGAAATTGATAGGCCAATTATAAAATTCATATGGAAAGCAAAGGATGTAGAGTAGCTTAATATTGGGGAAAAAACAAATTTGGGGATTTATATCACCTGATTTTAAAACTTACTGCAAAACAATAGTAAAGAAGGAAGGTTAGAGACGGTGACAATGTTGACAAATAGATCAACAGAACATAACAGAATAACACCCAGACATATATGGTCAATAGGTTTTCAATAAAGATATAAGGCATCTCAACAGAGAAAGGACAGCCTTTTCAGCAAATGGTACTAAAACAATTAGATATCCAAATGCCAAAAAATGAACTTTAATCCATACCCAGCTCCATATTTTAAAAAGATTAACTCAAAATGGGTCATAGACTTGAATGTAATGCCTAAAACTCTAAAACTTCTAGAAGAAAACATAAGAGAAAATCTTTATAATGATGTTACACAAAAATTTCCTTAAATATTTAGAATACCAAAAGCAAGGTCCATAAAAGAAAAAAATATCAGAGATTGAACTTAATCAAAATTAAGAACTGCCCTCTTTGAAAGACACTATAATTGGGCATGATGGTTCATGCCTGTAATCCTAGCTACTCTGGAGGCTGAGGTGGGAAGATCACTTGAGTCCAGGAGTTCAAGTCCAGCCTGGGCAATATAGCAAAACACTGTCTCAAAAAAAGACACTATTAAGAGAAGAAAAGACAAATCACAGACAAAGAGACGATATTTTAAAATCATGTATCTGATAAAAGACTTGGTATCCAGAATAAACAACTGATGAAACTCAATAATAAGGAAACAAATCAATAATAAATGGGTCAAAGATTTGAACAGACATTACACCATAAAAAATACATGGATTACAAATATGCACATTAAAAGAAGTTCGACATCATTGGTCGTTAAGAAAATGCAAATTAAAACCACAATGACATCCCACTTCTCACTTATTAGAATGTATAATTTTAAAAGACTGACTATATCGGCTGGGTGAAGTGGCTCATGCCTGTAATCCCAGCACTTGGGGAGGAAGAGGTGGGTGGATCACTTGAGGCAGGAGTTCAAGACCTGCCTGGCCAACATGGTAAAATCCGTGTCTACTAAAATTACAAAAATTAGCTAGGGGTGGTGGTGTGCGCCCATAGTCCTAGCTATTCAGGAAGCTGAGGAAGGAGAGTCACCTGAACCTAGGAGGCAGAGGTTGCAGTGAGCTAAGAGCACTCCACTGCACTCTAGCCTGGGCAACAGAGCAAAACTCCATCTCAAAAAAAAAAAAAAAAAAAAAAGACTGACTTGAATATCAAGTGTCAGTAAGAATGTAAAGCAACTGGAACTCTCAGACACTGCTAGCAAGAGTGTAAAAATTGTTTAACCACCTTTTAAGAAATTGATATATCATATTTGTATATATTCTGGAGTACATGTGATATCTTGATGCATGTGTACAAGGGGCAAAGATCAAAGAGGGGAATAGGGGTATCCATCACCACAAACATTTATGTTTTCTCTGTGTTGGAGATAGCCAATTCTTCTCTTCTAGCTATTTTAAATACACAATGAATTATTGTTAACTATAATTTCACTAACGTACTATTGAATACTAGAACTTATTCCTTCTATCTAACTGTACTTTTGTATCCATTAGCCACTTTGGAAGACAGTTAAACCATTTGTTTAAAAGTTAAACACACACATTCCATGTGACTCGGCCATTCCATTCCTAGATATCAATCCAAGAGAAATGAAAGTATATGTCTATTCATATACATGAATATGCACTGAAGTTATCTAGTAATAACTTAAAACTGGAAACAATTCAAATGCATATCAACAGAGACTAGATAATAAAATTGTGTCGATCCATACAATGAAATACTACTCAGCACTAAAAATCATAAGTGGTTGATGAAAGCAACAATATGCATGACTCTCTAAGTCATCATCATGCTTAGTGAAAGAAGTCAGACAAAAACACAGTACATTCTTTCTAATTCCATTTTTATAACTTCTAGAAAATAAAAAATAATCTTTGGTGTTAGAAAGTAGATCAAACATTGCCCGGTGACAAGATGAGGATGGAAGTATAAATTAACGAGGAGTACAAGGAAATTCCGGGTGTGTTTGACATGTTTCCTATTTTTATTTTTTATTAATCATTTTTATGAGTGTATGCATATTTTACAACTTACAAGATTGTACCCTTTAAATACGTGAGTTTGTTGTAGATCAACTGAACCTCAAAAATCTGATAAAAACAAACAAAACAAAACTAAGGGGAAGACAGTTATTACCTTCAACTTATCCACCTCATAAATGTCTTCAGTAGAATTTTTGTGTGAGTTAGTGGATTTACTCAGAGCCATTGCTGTCACCATCCCTTTGCAACAACTGCAAAAAGAGAAAAAAAAAGAAAAAGAGCACATACACACTCAGCATAACCTATTTATTGTTCTAAGTGTTTAAAATTTAAAATATCCAGACACAGTGGAAGTTCACCATAATTATTCAGCTACTGACTCACCAAGGAGAATATTTGTCTCCTTCTCAATTTCTTACCCTTGTCCTCCCCTTCCATCCCTCTCATTCTTGACCATTGGTAATATTGAATTGAAATGAACGGAAAATTTGCTTAGATTGTAAAAGCTGTCTCCTAAATAGTAATCATAGCATCAAGCTTACATCTTAGTTAATAGATTTCACTTTTCCAAACTTCATCTTTATTCAGTGAAAATCTTCTGGCTTTTCAGATAGAAGGGTTTATGGGGTTCTTTTTCCATTTTGTAAAAATATGTTTTGTTTGGTATTTAGAGGAGCATATAAAAGTATACATTCAGGGCGGGGGTGTGGTGGCTCACACCTGTAATTCCAGCACTCTGGGAGACCCAGGTGAGCGGATCACTTGAGATCAGGAGTTCGAGACTTGGCGAAACTCCATCTCTACTAAAAATACAAAAATTACCCAGGCATGGTGGTGCACGCTGGTAAATCCCAGCTACTCAGGAGGCTAAGGCACGAGAATCTCTTGAGCCTGGGAGGCGGAGGTTGCAGTAAGCCAAGATCACGCCCCCAGCTTGGGTAACAGAGGAAAACTCTGTCTTTAAAAAAAAAAAAAAAAAGATAGTACACAGGAAACTACAATCTTCTTAAATCCACCCCCTCACCAGAATGTGCAAAAGTGTAAGATGTATCTTATTTATGCAAGTGAGCCCTTTTTATCCTAATTCTTTTTCCCACATACACACACTTCTCATCCTGCCTATGCTAACACCATTTTTAAGAGAAAAACCCAAACCTCATATTATAACAGTCATAGTGTAAAAGCTAGTTGAAAAACTGAACTAGTACTTCTTTCAAGGTTTTAAAATAACTCCTATTGCTACTACTTCACTTTCTCTTCTCTGTTTTATATGACATTTAATTATTCAGAAGGACAACAATAAAATAACCGATAGCTTCACCTGCTCAAATAGCTGGAGTATTGGTACAACTTCCTCGTCAGTTCAATCGCATCAAGCTCTAATCGTGCAACTCCTATATCATGTTTCTCAGTACTTTCCTCCTCCAACTTTAGGAGACAGTCTTGGTCAGTAAAGTCAGGTATCATTAAAATCAGCAAGTTTGCCATCCACTGGATCATAGATATATGCAACTCATCCATCTGTTAAAAAATGAGTATAATACAAATAACGCACTTTAAATAAATCAAATAGTAAAAACCATACTAAATTTTAAAATAGAAATGATTGTGCCTGTGTCCAACTTTCAACATTATAATTCTTAATGAAATCACATCATCAGCTAGCGCAACCCTATTTTCTTTTGTTCACTATACAATGTTAAACTACTGTCTTCTTTTTATTGATATTTATGTAAATTTTTTTGAGACAGGGTCTCACTCGGTTGCCCAGGCTGGAGTACAGAGGCATAATCACAGCTCACTACAACCTTGACCTCCCCAGGCTCAGGTGATCCTCCCACCTTAACCTCCTGAGGAGCTGGGACTACAGGCATGTGCCACCATGCCTGGCTAATTTTTGTATTTATTGTAGAGATGAGATTTCACCATGTTACCCAAGCCAATCTTGAACGGCTGGGAAGCAATCTGCCCACCTCAGCTTCCCAAAGGGCTAGGATTACAGGAATGAACCACACGCCCAGCCACTAATCTCTTCCTTACCCTGGCCATGGATAATAACTTATTAAAGCTACGGTTCTCAAATTGTACATGAAGGCATCCCAGGGCTCCACAGCAAAACTCACAAGGGTGCCATGGGATTTTAAACTGAGGGAAAGACCTGATATGTAACATCTGCCAGACACAGCATAAACTGAACACAGTTCACAGTTTTCAACTGCAGATGTACTGTATTAATTTTGATGGCATCATTCTTTTTTGATACTGGTTCGATCAGTGGTTGGGATAAAAAACAAGTACTGTGTGAAAATTAACATGGAACAGGAAATGAAGATGGTAATGTCCAATCTGATTCCAAGGTCAGAGAAGCTGTACAATGCCAATGAGTACACGCCTTACATTGGTAAGTGACACTGATTAAATGAGAATAAAATTTTTTTTTCTTTCAATGTATGTGCAGTACTTTTCCAAATAGTTACTAAATTGTTAGGACATGAAATATTTAGTAAGCAGTTTGAATCTACCTACTAATAAATTTAACCATATTTCTTTTGGCTTAGGAGTATGAAAATATTGGAACGCAAAGGGCACTGTGAATACAGAAAGTTTGAGAACCTCTGCATTACAGTGTTTGCTGAGGCTGGGTCCCAGAAATAAAATGCAGAAAACCTATATGCAAAATTCAGACACACCATACTTGTCAAATACCCTTACTACCTTTCTCTGTTTGGTTAGTTCTGGAGTATTTCTCTAGGCTTAAACATGATCTAATCTGAGAAGACTTTCCAGTTTCCACTGGCTCTAATTTGCTCCCTTTCCCGTTTCTATAGTACTTTGTACTTATCTCTACTATAATCATTTGCACATCTATCACCCCAATTAAACTATCTTTAAGACATGAGCCATCAGCTTATCCCTGCATATCACACACAGTACTTAGCAGGGAGTAAGTGCTTAATAAATGTTTCTTGAATGAATGGATAGAAATTAAATGTTGTACCCTATCCAATACTAAAACCCAAGTTTCCTGCTTCTTGATTGCAATGGAAAGGTTGTTAATGACCTAAAGCAATGTTGATTAATGTATTTGACACCTAAATTTATGTATTAGGAAAAGGGGCAATCTTCTGTTGGTGAGAATACAAATTAGTTCAGCCATTGAGGAAAGCAATTTGTCAATTTCTCAAAGAACTTAGAACTACTATTCCACCCAGAAATCCCGTTATTGGCGACATACACAAAGGAATATAACTCATTCTACCATAGAGACACGTGCACTCATGTATTCATCACACCATTATTCACAGTAGCATCTATTAGGATGATCATACAGTTTTGGTTTTTAGTTCTGTTTATGTGGTGAATTATATTTATTGATTTGCATATGGCAAACCAACCTTGCATCCAAGGGATACAGTCTATTTGGTTGTGGTGCATTAGTTTTTTATGTGCTGCTAGATTTTGTTTGCTAGTATTTTGTTGAGTAGTTTTGCATCTGGGCTCATCAAAAATATAGGTCTGAAATTTTCTTTTTTCGTTGTGTCTCTGCCAGGTTTTGGTATTATAATGAAGCAAGTCTCATAAACTGAGTTTGGGAAGAGTCCCTCCTCCTCAAATTGTTAGAATAGCTTCAGTAGGAATGGTAACCAGCTCTTGCTCATATGTCTGGTAGAATTTGGCTGTGAATCCATCTGGTCCTTGTCCTTTTCTGGTTGGCAGGCTTTTTATTACTGATTTAATTTTGGAGCTCATTGTTGGTATGGTCAGGGATTCAATCTCTTCCTGGTTCAATGTTGGATGTTGTATATGTCTGGGAATTTATCCATTTCTTCTAAGTTTTCCAGACGAATTCATAATAGTCTCTAAGAGCTTTTTGTATTTCTGTGAAGTCAGTGGTAATGTCCCCTTTTGTCATTTCTGATCATGTTTATTTGGATCTTCTCTCTTTTTTCTTTACAGTCTAAGTAGTGACTGTCTTATTCTTTCAAAAAACTAGCTCTTAGATTGATCTTTTACATGGTTTTTCACGCCTCAATTTCCTTCAGTTCTGCTCTGATTTTGGTTATTTCTTGTCTTCTGCTAGCTTTGGGGTTGGTTTGCTTTTGTTCCTCTAGTTCCTCTATTTGTGATGTTAGGTTGTTAATTTGAGGTCTTTCTAACTTTTTGATGTGGGCATTTAGTGCTGTAAACTTCCTTCTTATCACTGCTTTGGCCGTGTCCCAGAGATTCTGGTATGTTGTATCTCTTTTCTCATTAGTTTCAAAGAATTTATTGATTTCTGTCTTAATTTCAATATTTACCCCAAAGTCACTCAAGAGCAGGTTGCTTAATTTCCTGTAATAGTACAGTTTTGAGCAATTTTCTTAGCACTGATTTCCATTTTTATTGCACTGTGGTCCAAAAGTATGGCTGGTATGATTTTGGGTGTTTTTAATTTGCTGAGGGTCATTCTATGCTAAATTTTGCAGTTGATTTTAGAGTATGTGCCATGTGCAGATGAGAAGAAGGTATCTTCTGTTGTTTTGGAGTGGAAAGTTCTATAGATATCTATTAGGTCAATTTGGTCAAGTGTTGAGTTCAGGTCCTGAATATCTTTGCTAGTTTTCTGCCTTGATGATCTATCCAACATTGTCAGTGGGGTGTTAAAAGTCACCCTCTGTTATTGTGCAGTTACGTAAGTCTCTCTGCAGGTCTCTAGGATCTTATATTAGAAATCAGAGTGTTCCTATGTTGTGTGTGTATACATTTAGGATGTTAGGTCTGCTTGTTGAACTGAGCCCTTTTATCATTATGTAATGTCCTTGTCTTTTTTTAATCTTTGTTGGATTACAGTTTATTTTGCCTGAAATTAGAATAGCAATTCTTTCTTTTTTCAGTTTTCCATTCACTTGGTTGATTTTTCTCCATCCTTTTACTTGGAGACTTTGGGTGTCACCACATGTGAGATGGGTCTCTTGAAGACAGCAAACTATTAGGTTTTGGTTCTTTATCCAACTTGCCACTCTGTGCCTTATACTTGGGGCATTTAGCCCATTTACATTCAAAGTTAGTACTGATATGTGTGGATTTGACCCTGTCATCATGTTGTTAGACGGCTACTGTACAATTGGTTTGTATGGTTGCTTTATAGTAGTCTAAATATCTAAGTGTGTATTTATTGTGGCTGGTAGTGGTCTTTCTTTTCCATATTTAGCACTCTCTTCAGGACTTCTTATAAGATACATACATCTAGTGGCAACAAATTCCCTTAACATTTGCTTGTCTGAAAAGGATTTTATTTCTCCTTTGCTTATGATGCTCAGTTTGGCTAGATGTGAAATTATAGTTTGGAACTTCTTTTCTAAGAATGCTGAATACAGGCCCACAATTTCTTCTGGCTTGTAGGATTTCTGCTGACATGTCTGCTGTTAGCCTTATGGAGTTCACTTTTTAGGTGGCCTGCCCCTTCTCTTAACCTGCCTTTAACATTTTTTCTTTCATTTCAATGTTGGAGAATCTGATGACTATATGTCTTGTGGATAGTCTTCTTGTGTAGTATTTTTCAGGGGCTCTGCATTTCCTGAATTTGAAATGTTGGCCCCTTCAGTGAGGTAGCAAAAATTTTCATTGACAATATCCTGAAATATGTTTTCCAAATTGCTTGGTTTCTCTTTCAGGAATGCCAATGAATTGTAGATTTGATCTCTTTACATAATTCCATATTTCTCAGATGCTTTGTTCCTTCATCTTTATTGTTTTTTCTTTATTATGACTATTTCAGAGAGCCAGTCTCCAAACTCTGTTATTTTTTTCCTCCGCTTTGTTGATTCTGCTGGTAATACTTGCAATTGCATTATGAAATTCTTGTGGCATGTTTTCATTTCCATCAAATTAGTTTGGTTCTTTCTCAAATGGCCATTTCATCTATCAACTCCTGTAACATTTTATTGGAATCCTTAGATTCTTGAATTGGGTTTTAACTTTCTCCTGTATGTTGATGATCTTTGTTCTTATACATATCCTGAATTCTGTTTCTGTCATTTCCGTCTGGTTAAGAAACACTGCTGGTGAACAGTGTGGCCGTTTGGAGGTAAGAAGACACTCTGGCTTCTTGAGTTGCTAGAGTTCTTTGCTGGCTCTTTCGAATCTTTGTGAGCTGATGTTCCTTCACTCTTTGAAGTTGCTGTCCTTTGAATGCATTTTCTTTTTTCTTTTCTCCTCTTTGACATCCTTGGAGGTTTGATTATGGCACAAGGTGGGTTCAGTCAACTTGCTTCATTTCTGGAAGATTTTAGGGGGCCAATGCTCAGCTTAGGTCTCCTGGACTGCATGCTCTAACTCTGGAGTCTGGTATCAGGTCCCCAGATTTGTTATCTGGCCCCTCAAGGTTAGGAACCTGCTGTATTGGAAGAGCAAAGGTGTTCCCAGACTACTGGTCTTAACACTCCAATGGGTGATGCCAGCCAAAGCAATTCATTGGGTGGTGACAGCAGGATTCATGCTTGTTTGCACATGCCAGGAGCAGCAGCAGTGCAGCAGCACACATGTTCATCAGCTGTGGTGGGACACTAATGAGGGCAGGGGTATGGACATTTGCAGTAGTGGCAGTGGCAGCATGCTAGAGACAGTAGCCTGCCAATGTTCCTGTGCATGTTCGTGCTGGTGATGGCATCAGCGTGGTGGCAGCAGCATGGAGGCAGAGTGCTGGCAAGCACAGGACTGGTAACCTCTGTGCACATATTCACACAGGCAGCAGTGGCCACACAAGGTGGGAGGCAGGTCCACTGGCATCCATGTGTAGTTTCAAGCCAGCTACAGTGTTGGCATAGTGGCAGGGCACTGGCAGGCACAAGGTTAGTTCTGTACCCATGAATACTCCAATGGTAATGGCAGTGCAGGGCTTGCATGCCTGTGCATTGGCTCTGAGGTGGGGAGTGTGGTGCACTCACACTGGCTGCAATGGCATGGTGGGGTGCATGTGCACATGTGAGCTGGTGGGGAAGCAGGAGCAAGGTCTGAATATATGCACACACACTAGCAAAGCAATGTGGGGGTGGTCATGGGTGAGTACACACTGGCAAATGGCATGGGGGAGGCTGCAATGGATAGAGTACATGGGCGGGCTGGTGCTCATTACTGGGGGCTGCTCTGCTGGAGCTCTCCAATGGTCAGGCATGGTCTGCCAGTACAAGAGCTATGATGCAGGCCCCTGGGAGGCACCTCAGCTGGGCATTCAAGGCTGCACTGCAAACAAGTATGGTCAGGCTGGAGCCCTGGGAGAGGCCTCAAGACAAGGGGGTGCTCAGGTGAAACTGGCCCTGTTTCATGGCAAGATCACCCTGCACTGTTCAGGTCCCCTAAGGCTAATGTCTCCTGTAGGAGTAAGGCAGGCCTTGGAGGATAGGTGTCCCTGACTATGCTCCACTATAGATGCTCCTGCACCAAACCCTCCAGGCTCCACGCTGGCTGGAGTACCACACCTACCAGCTCTCTTTTTTATTTTTTATTTTTTGAGACAGAGTTTTGCAATTGTTGCCCAGGCTGGAGGGCAATGGTGCAGTCTCAGCTCACTGCAACCTCTGCCTCCCTGGTTCAAGCGATTCTCCTGCCTCAACCTCCCGAGTAGGTGGGATTAGAGGCATGCACCACCATGCCTGGCTAATTTTGTATTTTAAGTAGAGAGAGGGTTTCACCATGTTGGTCAGACTGGTCTTGAACTTCTGATGTCAGATGATCTGCCCGCCTCACCCTCCAAAAGTGCTGGGATTACAGGCATGAACCACCATGCCCAGCCCCCTACCGCCTGTCTAAGTAGCTCTCTCTGTCAGCTCAAGTGACTGTGGGGTTCCTGCTGTCTGAATTCCAGATGATTATGACCCCAGAAGGTCATTCCTCACCTGCTCAACTCACTTTTCCCCCAGGAGTCATTGGGTGCCAGGAAGGAGTGCCAGCAGATGGTATCCCTACGCAGGGTTTCCAGCTTCCTCCTGCTTTAGCCCAGAATCTGTATCTTCCCTTTGTCCATTCTCAATGCCTTCCCTCTAAAGATATGCTTAAAGTATACCAGTCTTTCTGATGTTCTAGTCCCTCAGTGGCAGATGTTTCTCCTGGCTGAATTTAGTCAACCATCTTGTCTCCTATATCCAACTTTTCTGTTTTTAAATATTAATAGGAGTTAATACATATATACAGGATATACATAATTCCTCATGAAGTTTACAATCCTGCAAATTTTCTACACAGATTAATTATGATAATTTACTGTTAAAACAGAGGTATGTAAAGGTACTTTCTAACTAATCCTATCCTATAAAAATTAAATTCTAGAAAATAACAGATTGAATATATGATTCCATGGCGATAAATCCCTCATGATAAATCAAGCATTTTGCCAAAGAAGAGTTAAATGAAGCAGCACCATCAATACCAACAGTACTGGAAGATTCTTCCTAAATTCATTCAACAAATATTTACTGAGTCCCACCATGTGACAAGCACTCTGCTACCATTCTTAATCATTTTGGTTTTCAGAGGAATTTCTCCCAAGCCTAGGGATTGCCTGAATCCATACTTCCAGCTTTAACATATTTGCTCCTTGACCCCTCAATTCCAAAATTCCATTCCAGAGGCAGGAACATTCTGCTTTTAAAAATCCATTGAGAATCATTTGAGAAATTATTATAGAAGCTTCTATTTTGTCCTCTGAACCTCCTGCCTCGTTTAAATTGAGAGAGCTTATTTTCCCCTGAAGAAATTTGCCAGCTGAGGCAAAATATAACCTGAAAAATCCTTACAAGTACATACGTGGTGCTGAAGTTCAATGTTACTGTTGTTAATTTCATTGCCCATCTTCAAAAGCCATTGTTGAATCATGTTAAATATATATGCTTGGAGTACCCTGAAGGAAAAATCAAGTAAAATAAAGTGATTGGCTGATTTAAAGGATGAATGTAACTATCAGCTATGAGAAAGAGTTTTATTTGGCTGGGCATTGCAAACTTAGATGTTGACAACTGCTTGAGAACTCAAGGAAGGGGAATCAACGCCCTGAACAATCTGATATGATAGCTTACTCACTGACAAAGCATTCCTATCCCCCAGGTAGGTAGCAAGATGCACTTCGGACAAAGCAGATCTTAGGTTAAATATTGGCCCTCTATTGTAAAAACTTATACCCTCTACATTTACTTCTAGGCAGTACTATGTGAGAAGAACAAATTTTAAAATCCTCTCAATGAATGACTTCCAGCATGACAGTGTGAGCAGCAAGTCTGCCCTTCCCACTGCCCCCCACCCCAGTGAAACTGGTAAAAATTATTCTTTTAAATACACCACTTAAAGCCCCTGAAAATGGTGCTATGAAGAAGCTCCAGAAACATCTATTCAAGAAAATCTATGACAATTCAGTAAGAAAGGCAATAATCTATGGTATTTGAACCATGAATTCTCCTTCTTTTTCTTAGCTCAATGAGGCAGCAACTCTATTTCAGAATGGTGTAGCCAAGAACACAGAGCTCCCTAACCCTCTAGCTCCCAACCAAATGGCTCTCTTCCCAGAAGCAACGGGTCATCATGGATTTTTATACTGCCTCCAGCTATCTGCTGTTGAGTCTAGGTACTGGGTAAATGCAGGTGACAAGCAGGGGTTGTCTTCTTCCACTCAGACCCTATTTATAGAGTAATGACCCTATGTAAAACATGCTGAGAATCATGGGTCCCTGATTGTCTGTGCTTATAAGGCAGTGGTTCCACTCCACAAGAGGCAATCCAAGAGTACCTCAGACTGCTACTTTCCCATGGTGGCACATGCCTGTAATCCCAGTTACTTGGGAGGCTGAGGCAGGAGAATCACTTGAACCCGGGAGGCAGAGGTTACAGTGAGCTGAAATAGTGCCATTGCACTCCAGCCTGGGCCACAACAGCAAACTCTGTCTCAAAAAAAAAAAAAAAAAAAAAAAACCCAACTCTTTCTTTTGCAAATTGCCCAGTCTTCAATATGTCTTTATCAGCAATGTGAAAATGAACTAACACAGTACCCATGATAAACATGTTCACAGAAATGATGAAAACCATGATTAAATAAGGAAGATACTATAACAATGTTGCAGTAGATAGAGGATATAAATTAAAAATATAAATTGGAAAAAAGGAATAAATAAAAATTTTAGAGTGAAAAAGAACAATAACTGAAAGAAATTTTAAAAAGTCACTACTTGGGCTCAACAGTAAATTTGAACTGGAAGAAGAGAGAATAATTGAACTCAAAGATAAATATATGTTATTCAAGCCAAAGAATAAAGAGGAAAAAGAATGAAAAGACATGAAGACAGCCTAGAAGAAATATGGGACACCTTACACATAAAGGAAGTACTGGAAGTAGAGAAAAGAAAATAAATAACCACAATAAAGCTGGTGTGGCTGTACTGAGAGCAGATAAAATAGATTTTAAAATTGAAATGCTAAAAATAAGGAAGGATATTTTTATTATTATAAAAGGATCACTCCATCAAGAAGACATAACAATCATAAACATATGTGCACCTAATAAAAAAGTACTAAAATAAATGAAGCAAACACTGGGAGAAAGGAAGGGAAAAACAGACAATTTAAGAATAATCATTGGGGACTTCAATATCCCACTATGAATAATGGTTAGAACCATTACACAGATGATAAATAAGGAAATAAGGATAAAGACTTTAACAATGCTATAAACCAACTAGACCAGACATCTTTAGAACACTTTCTCCAATAACAATGAAATATACACTCTTCTCAAGTGTATGTGGAAAATTCTTCAGAATAGACAAGATACTAGGCCATAAAACAAACCTCAATAATTTTAATGCAAGTATGATATAAAATGTATACTCGCACCACGATGGAATGAAATTACTAATCAGCAACTGGAAAAATGGGAAACTCAAAAATATGTGTACATTAAGTAACATACTCCTCAATAACAAATGTGTCAATGAATAAATCACATGAGAAATCATAAAAATACTTTGAGATTAATGAAAACAAAGACATAACATATCAAGCAGTCCTTCAAAGGAAATTTATAGCTGTAAAATCTATGTTAAAAAAGAAGAAAGATCTCAAATCAATAACTTAAAAGCTCACCTTGAGACTATGGAAAAGGCAAAGTAAACTAAATGTAAAGAAAGTGAAATGAAGGAAATACTAATGACTACAGTGGAAATTAATACAATAGAGAATAGAAAAACACTAAAGGAAATCAATGAAATCAAAAGATGACTATTTGAAAAGATCAACATTAACAAACATTTAGCTAAGTTAACCAGGAGAAATAGAGAAGGCTCGAAATATTAGAATTGGAAACAAGAGAGGGGATGCTAGTACTGATCTTCGTTCAGAAATAAAATGGATTATAAGAGAATACAATGAGCAATTTTGCCAACAAATTAGATAACTTAGATGAAATTGTCAAATTTCTAGAAAGAGACACACAAAAAAACTGACTTAATAAGAAATAGACAATATAAATAGACTTTTAACAAGTGAAGAGATTGAATCAGTTCTCAAAAACCTACCCAGAGATGGCTTCACCACTGAATCCTCCGAAAGAGCCAAAAATCAATCACACCAATTCTTCAAAAAATCTTCCAAAAGATAAAAGTGGACGGGATACTTCTCAACTCATTTCACAGAGCCAGTATTTCACCGATATAACACCAGGCGAAGACACCACAGAAAAAGAAAATAGACCAATGTCTCTTATGTATATCAATACAAAGACTAGCAAACAGAATCCTGAACTGATCAAAAGTATTTTATACAATTGCCAAGTGGGATTTATCCTAGGCATGCAAAGTTTTTTTAATATCCAAAAAAAATTGAATGTAATACATAATATGAATATTTAAAAAATCACATGATCATCTTACTAGATGCAGAAAAAGGATTTGTCAAAATCCAACAACTTCTTAGGGAAACGCATGCAACAAACTAGAAATAGAAGAAAACTTCCTAAATCCAATAAAAAAATCTAGGAAAAACCCAATAGTGAAAGACTGGATGCATTTTTCCTAAGAATAAGAATAACATCTTCCATTCAACATAGTATTGAGGTTCTAGCCAAAGCAATTAGTCAAGAGAAGGAAATCAAAGGCATCTAGATTTAAAAGAAACTACTTCTATTTATAGGTATAATCTTTTGTATAGAAAATATTAAGAAATCCTTTAAAAATTATTGCAAGTAATAAATGAATTCAGCAAGGTTTTGGGATATAAGATCAATATTTTAAAATCAATTGTATTCCTATAAAACATGCAATAAACAGTGTGAAAAAAGGTTTTAAAAATCCTATTTGCAATACATTAAACAAGTACTTAGGAGTAAATATAACAAAAGGAGTGTATAACTTCTACTCAAAGGAGTGTAAGAAATAAATTAAAGAAGATCCAAATAATTGGAAAAACATCCCATGTTCACATATGAGACTTAACATGTTTAAGAGAGCAATATTCCCATTCTGACATATAGATTCAACAAATTCTTTTTCAGAATCCCCGTTAAAGTCTTTTTAAAAACTGACAAGCTTATTCTAAAATCTATATGGAATAGCAAAATACCCAAAAAAGCCAAAATAATTCTGTAAAAGAAGAGTCAAGTAGAAAGACTCATATTTCCCATTTTCAAAACATTCTACAAAGCAAGAATAACAAGGGTGGACATATAGATCAATGTGACAGAACCAATCATTCAGAAATAAATTCATGACTGATTTTCATCAAAGGTGTCAATACCATTAAACGGAGAAAGAACAGTCTTCAACAAATGGTGCTGGTACAACTAGATATCCACATGCAAAAGAATGAAATTGGACCCTTACCTCATACCATATACAGAAATTAACTAAAATGGATCGGAGACCTTAACGTAAGAGAGCAAATGCTACAAAACTTTTAGAAGAAAACAGGGCTAAATCTTCATGACCTTGGACTTGGCAAAGGATTTTCAGCTATGACACTGGCACAAGCAACAACAACAAGAGCAAAGAAAAAATTTCCCTCAAAGAAAATATACAAATAGCCAATAAGCACGTGAAACAATTCTTCACATCATTTGTCACTAGGGAAATGTGAATGAAAACCACAATAAAAATATCACTTCACTCCTACTATTATAGCTAGAATCAAAAGTCAGAAAATCAGTATTGGCAAGTATGTGGAGAAATCAGAACCTTCATGCACTGTTGATGTGAATGTAAAATTGTGTACGTTTTCAAAAAACACCTTGGAAGACACTCTGGCAGTTCCTCAAATTATTAAAAATAGAATTGCCATATGATCCAGCAATTCTACTCTTTAGGTAATATATACCCAAGAGAAACAAAAACAAGTGTCCGTCCACAAAAACCATACACATGAATGTTTATTGCAACATTATTCATTAATGGCAAAAGACAGAAACAGTCCAGATGTCCACCAATGGACAAATGAATAAACAAAATGTGGCATATTAATACACAGAATATGATTCAGTCATAAAAATGAAATACTGAAAATGTGCCACAACACGGATGAACCTTGAAAACATTATGCTAAGTGAAAGAAGTTATCCATAAAGACCACAGAGTATAATGATTTCTTTCAAATAAAATGTCCGGAACAGTACAATCAACAAAGACAGAGTAGATTTCTGGTTACTCAAGGATGTGGATAGGATGGTGGGAGAGGATGGAGGATTGCAGAATGATAGCTAAAATGCATAAGGCTTCTTTTTGAGGTGATGAAATGTTCTAAAATTGACTGGTGATAGTTACCTATACCTATAAATAAATTGAACATCAAAGAATTGTGTACTTTGAAAAAGTGAATTATATGGTATACGAATTATATTGCAATAAAGCTTTAGGAAAATTCTCTCAAAACAAAAGGAAGCTATGGGAACTTACAAACCAGAATCATTGTCTGTGTGCTGTGGAACAATACTAGCAGTGCTTAACAATATATCCAACTGTGATTTCATTTCATTCATTTTTTCATCTATTTCCTGCCATTCTTCAAGAGGTGTAACAGGAAACTCCAGGTTTTCCAATTTGAAAGAACAGAAGTCAAGAGAACTAATTAAATTTGGAAGAATTTTGGAGATACCTAGAAAAGTAAGAAAAGCCTTAACTTTTAGAAGTATTTGTAACACTGCTATTTTAATATCAAGTTATAAAATCCCACTGAGCAAGGGTATATCTTTTAAAAAGCTTTTGTTATCCTACAGCTTGACTAGCAGAGAACATTACAAAGAGCAGTTCATAAATAAATGTTTAATGAATAAGCACTGTGTAACTGGTGCTTTTATGACTACTAAACTATTTTTTCAACCAGAGTTTATATCCTAAATTTCTTACCTTTTCAGCTCAGAATCAAATGCATTAAACCCAGAAACTATCAACTTTAAAAGACCTTAATCCACTAAGTCATTCTTTTAAGAGGACAGTGATAATAATCAACTTCATGATAATGGGATAGTAAATAACAAATGAAAATAGATTATCATACTTCTTGAGACATTTTTTAGGTTATTGATCAGGTTTTCATGAAGTTTATAGTTTTTGGTCTGAACAAAACTTGTGTGTGGATCCTAATGTGGACCCAGTGGACTGATTCACTCTGAGACCATGGAGAAATGCCCTCTTTGTCTTATCCACTTGCAAATTATGAAACGAAAACACTACCATCTCAAAGTTATATAAAGATAATTTAAAAGAAAACTGTTTTCCTTGTCCTTGATAAAAATATTTTTACTGCCGTCATCAGTAAATTCTGATCATTTAGGAGTGTTCAAAATGGTTTGTTAATTTTATCACATCCATAATTTTGACTTCCTCTTTCATTTAAACCATTTGCTACCACCTCATTTTTCTCTGCCCACTATACACAGTCATCCTTCAGTATCTACAGAGGATTGGTTTCAGGACCCCCATAAATATCAAAATCTATGGATCCTCAAGTCCCTTATATAAAATGATGTGGTATTTGCATATAACCTATGCACACCCTCTTGTATACTTTAAATCATCTCTAGATTACTTATATTACCTAATACAATGCAAATGCTATGTAATATTTATTATACTATATTGTGGTTTTATTTGTATTAATTTTTTTCTAAGTATTTTTGATCCATGGTTAATTGAATCTGAGGATGCAGAACCTGCAGATACAGAGGGCTGATACAGATAAGTACCATAATTTTACCTTAAGTTCTGGGGTACATGTACAGATATTGCAGGAATGTTGCATAGTTACATACGTGCACAGTTCCAGTGACCAGCCCCAGTGCTTTGTCCTACACTAAGCCAGGGAGTTCACTGGTGTCCCCATCTTTGGCAGCCAGCTCAACATTAAGAGATTCAAGCAAGCTCTCTCTACCTCAAACCACGTTACATAGAAACGTGTCCGCTGGAGCTTCTTAGAGACCACCAAGTACTGGCAATGCAGGTGGGATGTTGAGCACAACAGACCTCACAGTGCCAAATGGAGCTAGAAGCAGCCCAGTGAGGAATGGATTTGTAAACTCAAGAGCTTCTCCAAATTTGATGAGAGCTACTGGTGCAAATAGTTTAGGCAAAGTCATGCCTACAAAGTCTCCCCCTCCACCAGGTGGTGGTAATCCCCCAATGAACAGTAGAAAACCAGATCTTCAAGTTGTCATCCCCACTTCAAGCAAGGGCATGAGGCCTCCACTACTAAGTTGAACCTTTCTTCAACTTCATTCTTTAAAACATATTTTGGCCGGGCATGGTGGCTCACACCTGTAATCCCAACACTTTGGGAGGCCAAGGTGGACAGATCTCCAGAGGTCAGGAGTTCGAGACCAGCCTGGACAAGATGGTGAAACCCCATCTCTACTAAAAATACAAAAATTAGCCAGGCATCGTGGCAGGCACCTGGAATCCCAGCAACTTGGGAGGATGAAGCCGGAGAATTGCTTGAACCCAGACAGCGGAGGTTGCAGTGAGCCAAGATCGTGTCCAGCCTGGGCAACAAGAGCAAGACTCCATCTCAAAACAAAACAAAACAAAACCACGTATTTTATACATAGTCAGTCTGTATCTTCCTTTGGAATTTTCTATGCCACTGTAGAATTTACACCTATTCCTAATGAATATTTCCATTCAAAATTAGTATTTGAAGAGACAGGTCTATTTTTAAACACACAAAAATCAGATTACAGAAATTTGCTTAAAGGTTATTTAAAATTAAAGCTAAATATGAACATGATGGAACTGGAGTTTATTGTGATAAGTGAAATAAGGCAGGCACAGAAAGATAGTGTATGTTCTCACTCATATGGGGGATGTAAAAATGTTGATCTTGTGGAGATAGAGAAGAGAATGATAGCAAATGCTGGGAAGGGTGTGTGGGTGGGAAAGGGGATAAAGGGAGGTTGACTGGTGGGTAAAAACATACACTCAGACAAAACAAATTCGAGAGAAGGGTATTCAATAGGAGAGAAGGGTGACTGTAGTTAGCAACATTGCAGATGGAGGATATTTCAAAGTAGCTAGAAGAGAGGACTTGAAATGTTCCCAACATATAGAAAGGATAAATACTCAAGGTAATAGATAACCCAAATACCCTGACCTTGACAAATACTCACATGTACTCCATGTAACACATTTCTAATCAATTTTTAAAAAGTAAATATGGAGAGATTATTATGTTTAATTTTACCAGGCTAGAAGCATTAAACATGACTTATTTAGTCTCTGGTTAAAAAAAAAAAAGATACTATCAAGAAAATGAAAAGGCAATCCACAGAAAAGATAAGGTGTTTACAATTCACATATCTGAAAAGGGACTTGTATTCAGAATATATTAATCAGTCTTATAACTCAATAATAAAAAGACAGCCTAAATAAAATATGGGCAACGAATCATTAGTGTGTGTAAAGGGTGTTTTACATTTATGTTAGACCTAGCTACTAACTGACTCCCAATAAAGGGCATTTTTTTAAGTATGATATGTACACCGCTGGCATCAGAATCACCTGGGATGCTTGCTAAAATTGCCAGTTTATGGGCATCTCTCTAGACACAGTGTACCAACATGACTGGAGGCAGGGCTCAGGAATCTGCATTCTTCACCAAATCCCTAACCACACTGCAGTTTGCAAACCACTTATGTAGAATGTTATTTCACAAGCTAATATCTCAGATAGGTCTCATTCTCTTTGACATTTTCAAAGAGTTATATTGTCAGCTGGTGGACATTTTTCTAGAATTCTAACACTAGCAGTAATAGCACACAATAACACACAATATTCATTAATGTTGAACAATAGTTATCTGTTCTCCGATAGTATGAAACCTTAGAAAACTGCTTTTCTTCCTATACATGTTATCAATCGACAGTATAAATCTCAATTTTTGTCTTAGAAAAAAAAAACACAGGCAAAGGACCTCAACAGACATTTATCCAAAGAAGATATACAATGGCTATAAATCTTTTAAAAAATGCTTGACATCATTAGCCATCAGGAAAACACAAATCAAAACCATGAGGAGATTTTATTTTACACCCACTAGTGTGGGCAGAATTTAAAAGTGAGACAAGTACTAGCAAGTATGCAGAGAAAGTGGAACCTTCATACACTGTGAGTAGGAATATAAAATGATACAGCCCCTCTGAAAACAGTGTGGCAGTCTTCAAAAAGTTAAAGATATAGTTATCAAATGACCAAGAATTTCGCGGTGTATATATCCAAGAAAAATGAAAATATATTTCCACAAGGAAATGTATAATAAATGTCTGTATCAGCATCATTCATAATAGTCAAAAACTGAAAACAATCTAAATGCCTACCAACAGATGAAATGATAAACAAAATGTGATATATGCATACAATCAAATATTATTAGGCCATAAAAGTAGATGAAGTACTGATAAATGCTAAACCATGGACGAATATCGAAAACACTACACCAAGTGAAAGAAGCCAGTCACAAAAGATCACACAGCACATGAATTCATGAATATGAAAGTCCAGAACAGGGAAATCTATAGAGACAGAAAGCAAACTTAGGACTGAGGTGAGGATGTTGGGGGATAAGAGGGTAAAAACTAAAGGGTATGGGGTTTCTTTTGAGGTTTATTTTTATGAAAATAATATAAAATCGACTGTGGTAATGAATGCACACATCTGTGAATATACTAAAAATCACTGAATCATATACACTTTAGGTATAGAATTGTAACGTCTATAAATTATATCTCAATAAAGTGATGCTCAATGCTTTGCTTATTTTGTTTGGTTTTTAGAACTATATGTATGCATTACTTTTATTTTAAATATTAATTATATTGAAAATAATTATTAAAATATTTTATACTAAGAAATCGAATTACCATGAGTATTTTCTTACCATTGTCCCCATTTATTCTTATTTCATATTCTTTGTAGAGACTTCGTGTGTTTTTTATAATTTCCTCCATATACTGTTGCTCTGATAGCATCTCCCCCTCCAAACTTTTGTGGCGATTAAATATCCCAAGCCCAATATCTGCCCAGTTTTCCTGTAAATGTTTAATAATCTTGAGAGTATCGTACTTTGATAGTAGAATATCCCCAGTAAACTCTTGTCTTTTCTCATTCAGGATCTAAAGAGTGAAAGGAAGAAGGGGAGTAGCATATTATCCACTAATGATTTTATCAACGTCTACCAGATGCTGATTCCCCAGGGACTCCCAATTATTTTGGAGTTGCATATCCCATTATTTTTATGCCCCAAAGAGACAATATGTGACATATCATATATATATATATATTTTTTTTTTTTTTTTTTTTTGAGAAAGAGTCTCACTCCGTCACCAGGCGCACCAGGCTGGAGTACGGTGGCGCAGCCTCAGCTCACTGCAACCTCTGCCTCCCAGGTTCAAGCAATTCTCCTGCCTCAGCCTCCCGAGTAGCTGGGACTACAGGCGTGCACCACCACACTCAGCTAATTTTTTTGTATTTGAAACTAATTTTGATACTCTATGACACAACTCATAGTTTACCAGGATGAAAATCATTATATTAAATCCTATGTGGTTTAAAAAAAAAAAGTAGTGATAAGCAATGAAGTCCTACAAAGTTAAGCATGTTTAATTACTATTTGCTTTAGTAAGGTTGGAATATATCTGTTTACATGATTCCCTACTAGACTGGAAAAGTTCCTAGAACACACAAGTTGTGTTTTATTCATGTTTTGTTAATCTGTCTAAACCTAAGTCCAAGTCCTGAAAATGACATATCAATAAATATTTGTGAAAAAATAAGTTACAACTTATATATAAATGTCTATGTATGTATATATAATTTGTCATTATTTGTGCTCTGATAATAGCACAAATAGAAACATTACCAGCCTTCAATAAGTGTAATTAGTATAGGGAGACAGTATAGAAGAGCAATTAGGAGTAAGAACTTTAGAGCTGGAAAGATCTGGACTCAAATTCTGACTCTGACACTTACTTTTATAGATAACTTAGGTAAGTTACTTAACATTTCTAGGCTTCAATTTCCCCATGTGGGACATGGAGATTATAAGACTTGCATCATATGGCAGCCATGAAGAGTAGGTAAGATAATACGTGAAAAACATATTTTCAGCTCCTCACAAAGAGTAAGTGCTTGATAAATGAGAGCTACTACTATTCCTAAAAATGAGGAAGCATGACTTTTTTCTATTTTTTCTATGCATGTCAAAACAGCCAGATAAAAACTAAAAAAGCAAAACGTCACTAAACTAAACATGTTGTCTATAGAAAGGAAACATCTTCAATTCTGAGAATATACTGTTCAAGCCATTACTAAAGAAAAGAAAATGGTTTACTGGGATCTTACGCAATCTCATTAAGGAATGAGTTTGATATTCACTTTGGAAGTATTTCAACGTCACATTATATATTTTCCTTTGTCAGACTACTATAACATGATAGTAATTTGATCAATGAGACCTATTTTCCAAGCTCTGACTTCTTTAAGATTATGTTATTAATGTATAAACAAAGTGTGGTATATACATACAATGGGATATTATTCAACCTTGAAAAGAAAGAAAATTCTGACACTTGCTGCAACATGGATGAACACTGAGGACATTATGCTAAGGGAAATAAGCCAGTCATAAAGTAAAAATACCGTATGGTTCCACTTATATGAGATACCTAGAGTAGTCAAATTCATAAACAGAAAGTATAACAAGATTGCCCAGTAGGTGAGAGAGGCAGAAATGGGGACTTACAGTTTAATGAGTACAGAATGTCAGTTTGGGAAAAAGAAAACGTCCTGGAAATAAATGGTGGTACATATATACCATGGAATACTATGCAGCCATAGAAAGAAATGAGATTATGTCCTTTGCAGGGACATGGATGAAGCTGGAAGCCATCATCCTCAGGAACAGGAAACTAAGCACTGCATATTCTCATTCATAAGTGGGAGCTGAATAATGAGAATGTCATATTAATGAGTCTGATAAAGAAAAATTGTAAAAGCAGGGGTTGCAATACTAGTTTCTGACAAAACAGACCTTAAACCAACAAAGATCAAAAAAGACCATGAGGGGCATTTCATAGTGGTAAAGGGATCAATTCAACAAAAGAGCTAACTATCTTAAATATATATACACCCAATAAAGAAGCACTCAGATTCAAGTTCTTAGAGACCTACAAAGAGGCTCAGACTCCCATGCAATAATAGTGGGAGACTTTAACACCCCACTGTCAACATTAGACAGATCAATGAGACAGAAAATGAACAAGGATATTCCGGACTTGAACTCAGCTCTGTCTCAAGTAGACCTAATAGTCATCTACAGAACTCTCAACCCCAAATCAACAGAATAAACATTCTTCTCAGTGCCACATGGCACTTATTCTAAAAGCAACCATGTAATTGGAAGTAAAACACTCCTCAGGAAATGCAAAAACCGAAATCATAACAAACAGGTTCCCAGATCACAGTGTAATCAAATTAGAACTCAGGATTAAGAAACTCACTGAAAACCACACAACTATATGGAAATTGAACAACCTGCTCCTGAATGACTCCTGGGTAATAATGAAATTAAGGCAGAAATCAGGAAGTCCTTTGAAGCCAATAAGAACAAAGAGACAACGTACCACAATCTCTGGGACACAGCTAAAGCAGTGTTAAGAGGGAAATTTATAGCACTAAATGCCCACATCAGAAAACTAGAAGGATTTCAAATCAACACCCTAACATCACAATTAGAATAACTAGAGAAGTAAGAGCAAACAAATCTAAAAGCTAGCAGAAGACAAGAAATAACTAACATTAGAGCAGAACTCAGGGAGACAGAGAAATGAAAAACTCTTCAAAAAATCAATGAATCCAGGAGCTGTTTTTTTTGAAAAAATTAACAAAATAGACCCCTAGCTAGACTAGTAAAGAGAGAAGACTCAAATAGACACATTAAGAAATGATTAAGAAGATATCACCACCGATCCCACATAAATACAAACTACCATCAGAGAATATTATAAACATCTCTATGCAAATACACTAGAAAATCCAGAAGAAATGTATAAATTCCTCAACATATCACCCTCCCAAGACTAAACCAGGAAAAAGTTGAATCTCTGAACAGACCAATAACAAGTTCCTGATTTCTTTTCTAGCAGCCTAACTTAATTTGACCCAAAAATCTGAAATAAAACTGAAAACATTTAAGCATATTTTTTTACCTCATGACCCACCCACCTTACCTCCCAAAGTGCTGGGATTACATGCATGAGCCACCTCCCTTAAGCATATTTTTTAATGTCCTTAGCACTTGTTCTTTTCTCTGTCATTCATAAAACTTAATATGGCATTTTTAAACAATGAGACATGGCCAAGCATGGTGGCTCACGCCTGTAATCCCAATGCTTTGGGAGGCCGAGGTGGGCAGATCACTTCAGACCAGCCTGGCCAACATGGTAAAATCCTGTCTCTACTAAAAACACAAAAATTAGGTGGGTGTACTGGCACATGCCTGTAATCCCAGCTACTTGGGAGGCTGAAGCAGGAGAATCGCTTGAACTCAGGAGGTGGAGGTTGCAATGAGCTGAGACCACACCATTGTACTCCAGCCTGGGTGACAAAGCGAGTGAGACAATGTCTCAAAAAAAAAAAAAAAAAAAAAAAAAAAAAAAAAAAGAGGATGAGATATGACTCAGTTGTAGGCCAGGAATGCCAAGTTTGTAAAAAGTCTTACTTTTTGCCATTGCTTGAAGTCTAGAAGAACTGAATCAAACATATTTCCCTTATCAGGGGATAAAATGTCTTTTTCACTGAAAGAAGAAAAAAGAGAAAGGTCTCAGAACAAGGTATAAACAAACAAAACCATAAGTTCACACACTAAAGACTAAACAACTAATATATTTCTCCTCAATAATTTTCAAGCATGCCTTCCAGTCCAACCCTTCTCCCCACAAGTATTTATCATTAAATTTGTAAACATAAATTCAGATTTTAATCAGACCCAAGCAAACAAGTTACAGGGCCATGGGCCACAAGATTTTTTTTTTTTTAAAGAGTGGTCTCTTTAGTCTTGAGAATTAAAAACCAGATCATTATCAGAAGAATTTCTGTTGAAATGCAGCTGTCAACACAATATATAAATAGAAAGCCTATGTAGTAATTAAGACTCAACATTTAAGCCAGGAATCCCAACTTCTGGCAGGAAAAAATTTCGTTTAATGGCTCTTAAGTCTCAGAAGGTGAAAGCTATTGATAAATAAGTTCCTGAAGTGAAAGAGACAAGAACTATGGCCTCCTGTGCTCCCCTCCCACCTAAGAATCGACAAACAATAGAAATGGGCACATGGCAGGAACAGCCAGCTTGGAGATGTACCAGCTTCAGCTTCCAGAACTTCCAAAGCTACTAATGGGGAAACCTTTTAGGGGATTATAAAAAACTGAAACCATTATTCTCAATTTGAAATGGAAATGGTACTTAACAAAGTATCTTAAAGTTTAAAAAAAAAATCTTAGAAATCATCTAGTCCAGGCCTCAACAGACAAAGCATCTTAAAGTTTAAAAAAAAAAACCTTAGAAATCATCTAGTCCAGGCCAGGCATGGTGGCTCACACCTGTAATCCCAGCACTTGGAGAGGACTAGGCGGGTGGATCACTTGAGGCCAAGAGTTCAAGACCAGGCTGACCAACGTGGTAAAATATCATCTCTACTAAAAATACAAAAATTAGTCGGGTGTGGTGGCACATGCCTGTAATCCCAGCTACTCAGGAGGCTGAGGCGGGAGAATTGCTTGAACCCAAGAGGTGGAGGCAGCAGTGAGCCAAGATTGTGCCACTGCACTCCAGCTTGGGCAACAGAATGAGAACCTGCCTCAAGAAAAAGAAAAAGAAATCATCTAGTCTAGACTGCATCCAAAGTATAGATTCTCACTAACCTTGGCTATGATTTAGCCATCTGGCCTCAACTTAACTACTTTACTAGCAGCCTCTTTCATTGTCAGATTTCTCTAATCCTTGCAAAGTATGATATGCAATCAAAACCAACTCTCTATAACTATCACATTGGTTTTACTTCTCTGCATATGATTTGCAGATGGATCCAAATACTCAAGTTTACCAAAGTAATGACATAAAGTGACTTTATTTTAAAAAAGAGAGACAAGAAAAAGAGCTGGACTCAAATGGGGACAGCAGCAGTTAAGCAGGAGGATCAGGATGAACTACAGAGATACTGATCCCTAGACACCACAAGACTATTCAAGGTTGTTAGCAGGATTGTGCCTTTGCAGGGACTGCTCTCCAAAATCAATGTGAAGAGTAATTACAAGGTAAATGACAGAAGGAGGAACAGAGAGAATTGGACTGAGTTATCAGACACGATACAAGTATAATCAGAAAAACAAGATCGTTGTGACTCACTTGAAGAACTCCTGCCATTTGATCAGCCCATCCTTAACCATTTTCAAAGTCCCCATTGTAGACTCTTCCATTTGTTCTACCTCTTGTTTAAATTTATTCACTAAGTTTCTCCATTTTTGTGTCAGCTTCTGCAACAGTGCCAGGTCTTCAGTGTCCTAGATAAAATGCATAGAATCAAATAACATATTCATTTATTTACATAACAAATAGCCATTAACATACACCAGGCCATTATTAATATTGTAATGCTAGAGAAATTCACAGAAAATTAATTAAAACATTGAAGTTACACTCTATACAGTTCATTTGGTGATGAATTTTCCATGGTACATAAAGTATTAAGAGACAAGATTTTTTTTCCTTTGCAACATGAACCCAATTTTTCCACAGGACTTTCATGGGGGCAGTGTGGTGTGCTAGATAGATCAGAAACCAAGAAGCCAAACAGAACCAAATATGAATTGTAGCCACTGCTATCTGTGTTACTTTGGGCAATGTTATCTAATCCACTTGGATTTAATTTTTATTATCCATAAAATAAAGACCCTAATATCTATCTCACAAAATTGTCTTAAGAGTTAATTGAAATAACTAGTATCAATGGTTTGACCCAGTAGAAACATGATAAATGCGCTCCTTTTCTATCGTGTGTGCTCACTGAATATTTCTACAAAATTGATAATGCAACTATTTAAAAAAAAAACAGATATCTACTTTTTTACTTTAGGTGTGAATCAATCGAATCATAATTGTATGAATAACTTTGTAGTGTTATTAAACTTAGATAAATTGCTTTAATTAGAAGACAAATATAAAGAAACGAGAGCCTTTAATCACCTCCCCTTAGATTTTTTCATTCTGCACACAATAAGCACTAATATAAACTATATTTTTAAAATCAATAAATTTAACAAAGACATCTTACAGTCTCTATGCTCACCACTTGACATCTTTTTTTCTCATAACTGAGAATAACTGCCCTTTACCTTGTTTGACAGCAGTATGATGAAATGCTTGGTGTATTTATTCCAGCCTTTTTCATTAAGGTAAAGTCTTTTAGCCAATATGACTCTATTTCTTTCAATTACCTATAAAAATAATGTACTATAATCAGGAACCTAAAACATTAGCAAACCACTATAATTTATTCCAGTGATTTCATATATCAATTTTCATTGAATCATTAATACAACTAAAATTTCTTGTTTAAATCATTAACTAATACAAATCCCAAATTCACATTTTCCACTGAACTGGAATGAAACTAAGTTTAGTATATAGCAAAACTTCTCCAACAATCTGATCTCAAGACCCCTTTACACAAAAAAATTGATCTCATGACCCCTTTATATTCTCAAGCACTTTTATTTATATGGAAAGCATCTATTAATATTTACTGCATTGGAAATTAAACTAGAATGATTTAAACACATATCTGTTAATTCATAAATAAACATTAATAAACCCATTACCTATTAACATAAATAGCATCTTCATTTTTAAAAATTTTGTTAAATTAGTAAACAGAATGCTATTGTTTTACATTTTTATAAATCTAATGTTTGCCTTAGGAGAACAGAGTTGGATTCTTATGCGCTTCTGCATTCAATCTGTTAGAATATACCACTACATACTCTTGGGTGTTGAACAATGAGAACACATGGACACAGGGACGGGAACATCACACACCAGGGCCTGGAGGGTCAGGGGCTAGAGAAGGAATAGCAGGGGGTGGGGGGATTGGGGAGGGATAGCATTAAGAGAAATACCTAAAGTAGATGACAGGGCGATGGATGCAGCAAACCACCACGACATGTGTATACCTATATAACAAACCTACACGATCTGCACATGTACCCCAGAACTTAAAGTATAATAAATAAATTTTTAAAAAAGAAGAAAAATCCACCGCATGCTTTTAATAAGTGAATGAGAATGAAAAAGACAAACAACATTTTAGTATTATAATGAAACTAATTTTGATTTCATGAAGCTCCTGAAAGGGTCTCACGGATCACCCCCCAGGGGGTCCCTGGACTATACTTTGAGAACCATTAACATAAGAAATCAGTTGCAGGCTGGGCGCGGTGGCTCAAGCCTGTAATCCCAGCACTTTGGGAGGCCGAGGCGGGTGGATCACGAGGTCAAGAGATCAAGACCATCCTGGTCAACATGGTGAAACCCCATCTCTACTAAAAATACAAAAAATTAGCTGGGCATGGTGGCGCGTGCCTGTAATCCCAGCTACTCGGGAGGCTGAGGCAGGAGAATTGCCTGAACCCAGGAGGCGGAGGTTGCGGTGAGCCGAGATCGCGCCATTGCACTCCAGCCTGGGTAACAAGAGCAAAACTCCGTCTCAAAAAAAAAAAAGAAATCAGTTACATAGTCATTTAATGAAATACTGTTCTAGACACTGTTAACAAACCATGAACAAAGGAGATAAAGTCCTTATTTTCAGGGAACTGACATTCTGGCTGTCATTTCAGTTAGAAGGGATTCTAGGTATGATTTAACACAAAGCTCATCAATGCGAGGAATTCTACAGAAACCTCTATCAGGGCTCAGCCCTCTACTGTTGAAATACATCTAGTGTGAGGAATATCACTTGTCTTCCTTTTTCTCCACTGAACATATCTAGCTCAAATCTGTTTCTTACACCATGTATTAACCGTCATGATTGTTTCCTATGAATATGTCAATGTGCCATTAAAAATTCTGCATCAGAATGGAACACTGTATCCTAGATGAGGTCTGACCATTTCAGAGGAAAATGAGACAATGATTTTCTTCTATTCTCTTTTTGCCAATCTGTAAAAGTCCAGCATTAAGAAACATTTCATGCAGTTGCCTTACAGTGAATCCAGTTATTTCAATGTCACAAATCTTTTTTTTACATGGTATGCTCTTATGCTGGATCTCCTCCTTTAGGTGGCTGCCCTAAGTTTTGTTTATCTTTTGTCTCTGAAGATGGTATAGAATGATAATTGGCAGTTCAGGCTCTGGAATCATACTTGCTAGGTTCATCATTTATTAGCTATGTGAGCTTAGCTTCTCTGAGTCCTCACATGAAAAATGTAGGTAATGATAGTCCTATTTCATGGGATTACTGTAAGAAGTATGCTAATTATTCCCTTAGCAAAATATCTGACACATAGCAATAACTGAATAAATAATAGCTGCTTTTTTTACAATAATATTAATCATGGTAATTATTAATGTTAATTATATTAATAAGATTAATCTATACATTTATCCCTACTAACATTTCACTCATCTGGAAAGGCCCGTCATTCTCAATTGCTGAGATATTTGAATCTCATAAAGTTTTATGGGGCAGGAACTTTGTCTCAATTGTTTTTGCTTTACCAACCAGTACATGGCATAATGTCTGACACGTAACACATTCACAAAGTTTGTTTTAAAAAATTAGTAGATCCTCAGCCAGGGCAGTGGCTCATGCCTGTAATCCCAGCACTTTGGGAGGCTGAGATGGGTGGATCACTTGAGGTCAGGAGTTTGAGACCACCTTGGCCAATATGGTGAAACCGCATCTCTACTAAAAATACAAAAATTAGCCAGGCGTGGTGGTGGGTACCTATAATCCCAGCTACTTGGGAGGCTGAAGCAGGAGAATTGTTTGAACCCAGAAGGCAGAAGTGGCAATGAGACGACATTGCACCACTGCACTCCAACCTGGGCAACAGAGCGAGACTTCATCTCAAAGTGGAAAAAAAAAGGGAGAGACAAAATGTAATACAATAATAATAGGGGATTTTAACATCCTTTTCAGTAATGGACAGATAAGAAAAATCAACAAAAAAAATAGGAGTTAAATTACCCACTGGATCTAATAGGCCTCCAGGGTTCAAATGATTCTCCTGCCTCAGCCTCCCAAGTAGCCAGGATTACAGGTTCCCACCACTGCACCTGGCTAATTCTTTTGTATTTTTAGTACAGATGGGGTTTCACCATGTTGGCCAGGCTGGTCTTGAACTTCTGATCTCATGTGATCCACCCGCCCTGGCCTCCCAAAGTGCTAAGATTACAGGCATGAACCACTGCACCTGGGCAAAAAGTTGGTTTTTTGAAAAGATAAGCAAAATCAATAAAGCTTTAGCTAGATTAAATAAAAATAAATAAATAAAGAGCCAGGCATGGTGGCTCACACCTGTAATCCCAGCACTTTGGCAGGCTGGGATGGGTGGATCACCTGAGGCCAGGAGTTTAAGACCAGCCTGGCCAACATGGTGAAACCCCATCTGTACTAAAAATATAAAAATTAGCCAGGCATGGTGGCGCACACCTGTAATCTCAGCTACTCAGGTGGCTGAGGCACAAGAATCACTTGAACCAGGAGGCAGAGGTTGCAGTGAGCTGAGATCTCACCACCTCACTGGACTACAACCTGGGTGACCGAGCAAGACTCTGTCAAAAGAAGGAAAGAGGAGAGGAGGGGAAGGGAGGGGAGGGGATAAAAGGGAATGGTGTAGGGAAGGAGGAAGGGAGGAAGGGAGGAAGGGAGGGAGAGGAAGAATATCCAAATAAATAAAACAAGAAATGAAAAAGGAGATGTAACAACTGAGACCACAGGAATACAAAGAAACATCAGAGAGTTATAAACAACTATACATGAACAAATTGGAAAACCTAGGGCTGGGCACGGTGGCTCATTCCTGTAATCCCAGCACTTTGGGAGGCCGGGGCAGGCAGATCGCTTGAGGTCAGGAGTTCAAGGGTGAAACCCTATCTCTACTAAAAATATAAAAATTCATCTGGTGTGGCAGGGAGTACCTGTAGTCCCAGCAACTCAGGAGGCTCAGATACAAGAACTGGTTGAACCTGGGAAACAGAGGTTCCAGTGAGCCAAGATTGTGCCACTGCACTGCAGCGTAGGGGACAGAATGAGACTGTTTCAAAAAAACATATATTCTGATTGAACCATGAAGAAATGGAAAACCTCAATAAACCAATAATGAGTAATGAGATCAAAGCCATAACAAAAAGTCTCCCATTAAAGAAAATCCCAGGACTTAATGGCTTCATAGTTGAATTCTGCCAAATATTTGAAGAAGAACTAATATCAATTCAACATAAACTCTTCAAAAAATTTGAATAGGAAGGAATATTTCCAAACTCATTCTATGCAACCAGCATTATCCTGTTATCAAAACCAGACAAGAACACAACAAAAAAATAAAACTAAAGGCCAATATCATGAATGAACATAGATGTAAAAATCCTCAACAAAAAAAAAGATCATTCACAATGATCAAGTGGAAATCACCTCAGGGAAACGAGGAAGGTTCAACATGTGCACATCAATAAATGTGATACATCATATTAACAGAACCAAGAAGAAGAACCATAGCATCATTTCAATAGAAGCTTAAAAAGTACTTGATAACACTCACATCCCTTTATGATACAATCCCTCATCAAATTTAGTATAGAAGAAGCATATCTCAAAATAAAAGAAAGCCATATATGGCCAACCTATAGTTGTACTGAATGAGGAAAAATAAAGGCCTTTCCTCTAGGATCTAGAACAAGACAAGGATGCCCATTTTCACCACTTTTATTCCTGGAAGTCCTGGACAGAGCAATTAGGCAAGAAGAAGAAATAACAGTCATTCAAATTGAAAATAAAGAAATCAAATTAGCCTCATTCACAAAAGACATAATCTTATACTTTAAAAAATACTAAAGACTCCACCAAAAAAAACTGTTAGAACTGGAAAATAAATTCAGTAATTACAAGGATACAAAATTAACACACAAAAATCAGTAGGATTTATATATACCAATTGCAAACAATCTGAAGATGAAATCACAAAAGCAGTCTATTTAAAATAGCCATAAATAATATAAAATACCTAAATTTAGCCAAAGAAGTAAAAGATCTATATAAGGAACACTATAAAACTCTGATTAAAACAATAGACATAAAAATGGAATATATTCCATGCTCATGGGTTGGAAGAGCTAATATTGTTAAATGTCAATACTACCCAAAGACATTTACAGATTTAATGCAGGTCCTCTCAAAATACCAATGGCATTCTTCACAGATTTTTTTTTAAATCTTAAAATTTATATGGAACCACAAAAGACCTCAAATAACCAAAGCAATCTGGTGCAAAAAGAACAAAGCAGGAGGCATCACACTACCTAACTTCAAAATTCACTACAAAGCCATAGTAAACAAATCAGCATGGTAATGGCATAAAAGCAGACATGTAGACCAATGCAACAGCATATAAAACCTGGATATAAATTCATGAATTTATAGTTGACCATCTTTGACAAAGGTGCCAAGAACACACAATGGGGAAGATAAAGTCTCTTTAATAAATGATGCTGAGAAAACTGGGTAAATACAGGTAGAAGAATAACACTAGACCCCCCTATTTCTCACCATATATAAAAATCAAATCTAAATGGATTAAAGATTTAAATCTAAGACCTGAAACTAAAACTCTTTGAAGAAAACATTGGGGAAATAGTCTAAGACATTAGTCTGGGCAAAGATTTTCTGTGTAAGACCTCGAAAGCACAGGCAACTAAAGCAAAAAGAAAGAAAAAGCGATTACATCAAGCTACAAATCTTCTGCACAGTAAAGGAAACAATCAACAAAGTGAAGAGAAAACCCAAGAAGATAGAGAAAATATTTGCAAACTATCCACTTGACAAGGGAGTTACAATCAGAATATATAAAAAGCTCAAAAAACTCAATTGCAAAAAAAAGAGGGGGATGATCTGATTTTAAAATGAGCAAAAGATCTGAATAGACGTATCTCCAAAGAAGACATACAAATGGCCAACAGATATGTGAAAAAATGCTCAACGTTACTAATCATCAAAGAGATGCAAATCAAAACTACAATGAGCTATCATCTCATCCCAGTTAAAATGGATTGTATCAAAAAACAGGCAACACAGATGCTGGCAAAGGTGTGCAGAAAGGAAGCCTCCAAATGCTGAAGGAGCTGAGAAACTAAAATCCAGTTTGTGGGTAAAGGGTGTTTTACTAGGGAAACTAATAGAAGCACGGTCTTGGGTAGCCACAGGACAGGTAAATCTCTGCACTGGTACTCCCCAGACCCCAGTCTTATATACCATATAGAAAGGGTATGCTTGTTTTGTGCAACACAAAAGCAACACTCCAGAATAGGCAAGAATGCTATAAGCATCATAGCCTTATAATTTGTGTGATAACATCAAGGTTGCTTTGTTCTTACACTGAGGAAAGTAAATAGAAATCAGGAAGCATTCACTTGACTGGGACTAATCAAAAGTCAACATGGCACATTGGCATTCAACATGGAGTCACTTTTGCCTCCACTTGTCGAATGTCAGTGGGAATGTAAATTAGTATAGCCACTGTGGAGAACATTATGGAAATTTCTCAAGAAACTAAAAATAGAACTACCATATCATGAAGCAATGAATTCCACTACTGAGTATATTTCCCAAAGAAAGAAAATTAATATATCTAAAGGATACCAGCACTATTCACAAGAGTCAAAATACGGAATCAACCTAAGTGATCAACAAATGAATGAATAATGAAAACACAGTATATAAACCCAATGGAATATTATTCAGCCATTGAAAAAGAATAAAATCATGTCATCTGCAGCAACATGGATGAAATCGGAGGTCATTTTGTTAAGTGAAATAAGCCAAGCCACAGAAAGACAAATATTCCAAGTACCCACGTGTGTGAGCTAAAAGTGTGGATCAAATGAAGATAAAGAGTAGATTTATGGTTACCAGAAGCCAGACAGGATAAGAGAGAGAGAAGATATAGAGAGGTTGATTAATGGGAACAAGTATACAATTTGACAGAAGAAATAATTCCTAGTGTTAGATAGATAGGTAGACTGACTATAGTTTACAACAATCTATTGCACATTCTAAAATAGCTAGAAAAGACTAAATCAAATATATCTGCCATAAAAAAACAAATATTTTAGATGATGGCTATCCTAAGTACATTTGATCTTTACAAATTATATGAATGCATTAAATTATTATATGTACCCTGGAAAAAATAAAGAAAGTATATTAATGATTACCTAAGGTGAATGGGTTGGGGGTAATGAGAATCGACTGCTAAAATGTATGGAGTTTCTTTTGAGGGTGATGAAGAAGTTTTCAGATTGGTTGTGGTGATGGTTTCATAGTTCTGTGAACATGCTAAAAAACATTTAATTATATACTTTCATTAGGTGAATTATATGTCACTAAAGCTATTTTTTTTTAATTCTCATGTAATTTCTTCTAATAGATTTATAGTTACATTGTTTTTAACATTTAATTATTACCTTTTGGGATTTACTTTTTAGTTATCTTTTTAATAAGGTAGAGATCTAATTTTTTTTTGAGTACCAATAAGTCTTTATTTATTCATTGTATTTTTCCAGGGAAAGGAGAAGGGAAGGGAAGAGTCAGCATGTGTTAATAAATGATTAGAAAATGGGAAAGGAAATACCCAGTGCAGCAAAATCAACCATCAAATAAACACACCCCAGTGATGGGGTCACTAAAGCCCAAAGGGGCTCTATCTCCTGCAGTTTAGGAATGAGGGAAAGGGATCAGGAAAAAAACAGACAGGTACAGCCTTTCCTACCCTCCCTCCCAAAAATTCAAGATTTTACACAAAGCTTTGGTTTCTAGCAGTAAACATGGAGTTATATTCATTCGTCTCCTATTAAACAATCTTGTGGCCACTTTGACATAAGTTTCTAGCACCTGCATAAAAGTTTCTGAGTGACTTGGATATACATTCATATTCCCTTTCTTGGCCTCCTGACCCCACTTTCTATATGGAAGGCCCCCAATTGTATCTCTCTACTTTAGGATTAAAAATTAAGTAAGTCTGATCCATCTAAAATACAGCAGTGTCTTTTTTTGTTTTTGTTTTTTGAGACGGAGTCTTGGTCTGTCACCCAGGCTGGAGTGCAGTGGCACGATCTCAACTTACTGCAACCTCTATCTCCCAGTTTCAAGTGATTCCCCTGCCTCCACCTCCCAAATAGCTGGGATTACAGGCACACACCACCATGCCTGGCTAATTTTTTGTATTTTAGTAGAGATAGGGTTTCACCGTGTTGGCCAGGATGGTCTTGAACTCCTGACCTCGTGATCCAACACCTCAGCTGCCCAAAGTACTGGGATTACAGGCATAAGGGACCACGCCCAGCCTACAGCAGTGTCTTAAGTGTTTGTCATGAATACATCAAGAAATGTTCAGCCAGACATGGTGGCTCACCAAAACAAATGTATTGGTCTTGATTCAGGAGGCTGGAACAAAGAATGGAGGGTTTCTAGCTTCTTCTGGATTTTTGCATACATTGTTTAAAAGTTGTGGAGACACTCCAAGCATTAAATGTATATGAGTGTGGGTGTGTAGGTTTTCTTTTGGGGGTGAACAGAAAAGAGGGCAGGGTGGAAGACACATTTTTAGGACAGAAGATCTGGTCTGATAGGTAAAGAGGAATACAAAAGAAAGGATGGTTCAAGATCCCCACTTTAAGAAGAGGGCCCCACAAACTAATGTTTCAGATTTTTTGCCTGGTGAAGAACCTTCTGTCAAAGATGCTTTGGCTATTTTTCTCTCAATACAAAAAGAAGTTTGTAAACAAAACCCCAAAGAACATGGAGAAAGACCAATACATTATATTTACACGAACTAGGCCACCTAGCAATCACCAAAAAAGTGAAGTCCTACAAAGCCCAGACAAATACAATAACTAGAGGGGGGCAGCATTTAGGAGAGACAAGAACCCAGGATCAGACACGCACCACCCAACGTGTTCTATTGCATTTGTCCCGTTTCAACACAGTGAGGTAGATTTGCGGTGATCTCACAGCATGTAAACGAAACCCCCTTTCTCCTTTAGCCACCGTGACACTAGGAATCACTACTGCAGCAGGGCAGGACACCGGCCCCAGGCACCACAAAGCCCTGCTCGTGTGTCTTCCTGGAACCCAAGAATTTCGACAGGTTTAGAATTTTAGACCCTCCTACTTCATATAGCCATCCCTTGACAGCACAGGATTAAGTACAGGGGTACTGGTCTTAAAACTTATCCTTACCAACTCCGGTTTTATGAACACACACACCCTGTTGTGCATGGTAGGCCTTGTCTAATCTGGTGAAGAATGGATCTGGGATGTAAAGCCCGTCCTGTGCCCTAGGATTAGACAACCCTCACTTAATCTTGGCTTCCTCTCTGGGCCTTTCACCTGGCCCAGCCTCTCCTAGCCTCTCTGTACCACTATTTCCTGTTTAGACTAATTTCCAATCTTCCGGTAGGAGGCAATCAAGTCATGGGGCAACCCAGTTAAAACCTAGTCTCCCATAAAACATTTTCAAGGCAGAGGGGGTTTCAAGAGGACACTATGGCAGAAAAGCCAGCTCTCATTGGTAAAAATGAGGTAGTTCAATAGGCTGTGCACTCCAAATAGTTGCTCTCCACAGTGGCAAAAACAACAAAAAGTATTCCTGATGTGCAGACCTGGAGCTGCTGCCGACTTACCCCTGAGATTGCTCATGTACCTGAGAACACAGTGCAGGAAATGAGGGCCTTAGATGAAAATATACAAAAATACAAAACCAGAATATTTATATTAAGGAAAAAAAAGTTAAAATGCACAAGATACGTCATTTGCACACAGCTAGTGCAGTTGGCATCCTGGAGAAAGTGGGACCCAAGGTGCAGTATCCAAGGGAGCAAATAAATCAAATCACTTTGTCCCAGAATAGGGCGGGGAGAGTGTAGGAGCAGCAGGTCTGAAACTGTTCCCCCAAACACCCTTTTTGCCATCATCACTACCCATTGCTTGGGACAGTTGCCAGCACCCTATCCCAAAAGTGGGTATGAGGATATAAGACGTGGAAAAAAAAATACTGCCTGATATTCCTGAGAGATTCACTTCCACAGTATGTAGCGGCTTGGCTCCATGAATCCGGTCTTATACTTAATCATTTCACTCTGGCATGGGAATTATTATTATACCTCCTTCTTTAAAAGGAAAACAACTTCCCTATCCAGGCCACTTTCAATAGCTGGAAATTCTGGGGATGGAGCCTCAGATAAAGTGCGCAGGTTGTAGGGTGATTCCCTCCTCCTGGTCACCCCCAGAACCCTCACTTGCATTTGGACAGAGCATGAATGGAGTTCCTTTGACTCATCCTTTTCCCCGACCTAGAGGGAAGAAAGGGTGATGGTGTGAACCCCAGCCTGAGATAAATGGCAGTGCCAACTAGCCCCAATGCACCCTATTCCTACTTTCTCCACTCTGCCTGCTCCTGGAAACTTCCTGATAAAAGAATAGCCCCCACTCGTTGGGGCTCAATTCTGGGGCCTCCAGGAGCAGGGCAGGGCTGTGGATTTCTTCTTCTTCCTCCCGAAAGTATGTTGGCTTTCCCTGTGTGCTACGGGCCTGCTGGGCCTTCAGTGGACATGAGGCTACCATATGGCTGATGCGCTGGCAGAAGTGGCACTTCTTGGGCTGGGGTGGCAGCTTGCATTCCTTGGCATGATGGTCTAGACCTCCACAGTTATAGCACCTGTCTCCTTTGGATCTGTGCTTCTGCATGTTCTTCCCCTTTGGCCACCTCTCACTCCCAATACAGAACACCCCACCAGATCCAGTGACACGGATGGATTCCAGACCCTTGGCTGACTTCTTAAAGGTGAACTCCACGGCCTCACCTTCCTTCAAGCTCCGGAAGCCCTCCATGTGTGCAGCTTAATCTGGTGCCCAAAGACGTCCACTGGGGGGTCGAGCGCGACCCCGGCGCAGGCGGTCATGGACAGAAAGCCGAACCCCATGCACACGTTGAACCACTTACAGATGCCTGCACCATGCAGCAGCTGAGGCTCATCCGCCGCCCGGGCCGCATCCTCCGGGGCCTCCTCGGGCGCCTCTTCTGCCGCCTTGGCGCAGCCTCCTGCAAACTGTTGGTTGGACATGGAGTCCAGGTAGTCGGCTGAGCCCGTGGCCCCAGGCCCCTAGTCGGGCGACTGCTGGCCCCAGAGAAGTCCGAAGGCCAATTTTTTTTTTTTTTTTTTTTTTTTTTTTTTTTTTTTGAGATGAAGTCTCACTCTGTTGCCAAGGCTGGAGTGCAATGGTGCGATCTCAGCTCACTGTAACCTCCACCTCCCCAGTTCAAGTGATTCTCATGCCTCAGCCTCCTGAGTAGCTGGGATTACAGACACCCACCAACATGCCTAGCGAATTTTTATATTTTTAGTAGAGACAGGGTTTCACCACGTTTGTCAAGCTGGTCTCAAGCTCCTGTCCTCAAGTGATCCACCTGCCTTGGCCTCCCAAAGTGCTGAGATTGTAAACATGAGCCATCGTGCCCAGCCAAGATTTAAATTGTTTAACAATTGAATAATCAATTGTGCCAACCCAATTTGAATATCCCATATACAGATGAGTCCATTTCTAACCTTTCTATTCTGTTCTGCTGTATTTATCTATTCTAACACAAGTAACACATTCTCAGTTACTTTGACTTTATAGTACATTTTGATGTCTAAAAGTACAAGTTATTTTTATTGATCTTCTTTTAAAATGTTTTATTATTCTCATATTCAGATTCTTCCAAATAAGTTTTATAATCAACTTGCCAAATTCCTAAAAATAAAAGTTATTGAGATTTTTAATGGTATGTATTAAATTTAAAGATTTGGAGAGAATTGACATCTATACAATCTTGATTATTATTCTCAACCAGTGATATGCTATATAGCTCCTCTTAGTTTTCTTTTAAGTTCTTTAGTATAGTTTTAGAGTTTTCAACATATAGGTCTTTGCCTTTCTTATTACATTTATTCGCTCTTTGCATTTCTAATGCTTATTATTGGCATACAGGTTATAGGTTGGGGTTTTTTGTATTTATCTTGTATTCATCAACCTTAGTAAAGCCTAATTAATTCAAATAATGTTTAAATTTATTTTTTTTCTGGGTAGAAAATTGCATTTTTTAATGTTTGTTAAAATTTTTTTAAATCTTTTTTTGTATATCTTATATTCAGTAACCTTATTAAAGGCTAATTAATTCAAATAATATTTCAATTTATCTTTGCTGGATATGTAATTGCATTATCAGGAAATAATATTGATTTTGACAATAATGAGATACCATCTCACACAAGTCGGAATAGCTGTTATCAAAAAGTAAAAAAATAATACATGTTGATGAGGATGCAGAAAAAAGGGAACACTTATGTACTGTTGGTGGGAATGCAAATTAGTTCAACCCTATGGAAAACGCTATGGTGATCTCTCAAATAACTAAAAATGGAACTACCATTTGACCTAGCAATCCCACTACGGGTTATATACCCCAAGGAGAAGAAATCATTTAATCAAAAAGACACCACCTGCACTCATATGCTTATCACAGCACTATTCACAACAGCAAAGTCATGGAATCTATTGAAGTGTCCATCAATGATTAACTGGATAAAGAAAATGTGGAATATTATGCAGCCATAAAAGAGAAAGAAACTATGTGCTTTGCAGCAACATGGATGGAGCTGGAGGCCATTATCTTAAGTGAAAAAAACTCAGAAACAGAAAATCAAATCCTGCATGTTCTCACTTGTAAGTAGGAACTAAACAATGGATATACATGGACACAAGGATAAAAATAATAGACACTGGTAACTCCAAAAGTGGGGAGGGTAGGAAAGGACCAACGGTTGAGAATTTACCTATTTAATACAATGTTCACTATTTGGGTGATGGGTTCACTGGAAGCCCAAACCTTATGATTTACCCAATATATCCCTGTAGCAATCCTGCACATGTACCCCTGAATCTGAAATAAAATTTAAAATTAATTAACAAAAACAGTTAATATGGATATGTTTGTTACCTTGATTGCCATGAGGGTATCATGAGTGTATGTAAATGTTCAATGGCAAATTGAATATATTAAACGTATGGATTTTTTTCTGTATATCAGTTGTACTTCAATAAAGTGTTAAAAACAACGTAATGTGTTAAGAAAGTAAAAGGAATTCAAGATGTAGTAATCTCCATTGACACAGAAAAAAATAACTCACTAAATACATCACCTATTTATGATTAAACTCTAAACAAATGAAAAATGGAAGGGAACTTCCACAACCTGATAAAGGGTACGTATAAAAGCCTACAGTAAATATTGTACTTAATGGTGAAAGTAGAATGTCTTCTCCATAAAACTGAAAACAGGAATATTCACTTTTACCACTTCTATTCAACCAGGTACTAGGGATTTTTGCTAAAGAAATCAGTAGGAAAAAAAACATTTAAAATATTTTGCTGCTTCCTATAAGCAGTTATCTCTCTTTATTTTAGTTGCATGTTATTACGGAATTAGGACAGCCAGTGATAGCAGAAATCCTTTCTCCTCTCAAATGGAAATGCCTCTAGCATGTCCCCATTAATGAATGCTCTAGATTTCTAATAATTACCTCTGCTAAGTAAATGAACTTTCCTAAATAAGCAAGTCCTGATTCCACCATCCAGTATATCAACTTTCTCTCTAGCTTTAGGACACTTGACAAGGATGTCTTCTATATTTTCTTCCAAATAACTGACAAACTACTATACGTGGCAGGGTTAGTACGGAGCTCTAACACAGATGTATTTATGCAGTACACCTGCATAGAGAACCCTGTGACCTGCCACCAGTGGACCAGTGAATCAATTCAACTGAACCAATATTTAATCTTGTGAGGGTCAAAAATCACCATACCTAAAAGTCCCAGTTATCAAAATAGGAAACCAACAAGTAAACATTTTAGAAATACAGAATATTGTGTGACTTTGCTATTTCCCTAAAGTATTACTATAATGATCCACAGGGTACTGTATTTTAATTCATTTGTCGTCTTGTGTACCAAGGTAACAGAGTCAGAGGGTGGGTCAGGCACAGTGGCTTGTGCATGTAATCCCAGCACGTTGAGAGGCTGAGGCAGGCAGACAATTTAAGCCTAGGAGTTCAAGACTAGCCTGAGCAACACAGAGAAATCCCATCTCTGCAAAAAATAAAAAATTAGCCAGGCATGGTGGTGTATACCTGTAGTCCCAGCTACTCAGGAGGCTGAGGTGGAAGAATTGCTTGAGCCCAGGAGGTCGAGGCTGCAGTGAGCTGTGACTGCACCACTGCACTCTGGCCTGGGCAACAAAGTGAAACCCTGATTTTTGTTTGTTTTTTTTGTTTTGTTTTGTTTTTTTAAAAAAGAATCAGAGTGTGATATCCAGTGATCCAAATATGGTCACATTATGTGAAAAGATAAAAACCACCTTTCCTCCTTTATTATTAGTATAAATTAAAGTTGAAAAAAAAAATTTTTTTTTTGAGACGGAGTTTCACTCGTTACCCAGGCTGGAGTGCAATGACGCAATCTCGGCTCACTGCAACCTCCGCCTCCTGGATTCAAGCAATTCTACTGCCTCAGCCTCCCGAGTAGCTGGGACTACAGGTGCGCAGCACCATGCCCAGCTAATTTTTGTATTTTTAGTAGATACAGTGTTTCACCTTGTTGACCAGGACGGTCTCGATCTCTTGACCTCGTGGTCCACCCACCTCGGCCTCCCAAAGTGCTGGGATTATAGGCGTGAGCCACCGTGCCTAAAGTTGGAAATTTTAACATATTCCCAAACAATGGAAAAAGAACACTTGTTCATAGTTCATAGATTCTGGTTTAAAAAAAAAAAAAAAGACCCCTTAATTGTGTAACAGCTAGGCACCCAACACAGACAAGAATAAAAAGAAGAAATTTAACTTTTCAAGGCCCACAAAAGTTATATTATACATCAATAAATATACATCCTCATTTTTTTTTTTTTTTTTAGTGTTTGTCTAGATTATTGAAAATTGCAAAATGGGCCTGGCATGGTGGCTCAAGCCTATAATCCCAGCTACCCAGGAGGCTGAGACAGGAGAACTGCTTGAACCCAAGAGCCAGAGGTTGCAGTGAGCAAAGATCACACCACTGCACTCCGTTGTAGGCAACAGAGTGAGCTGAAAGACTCAAAAAATCAAAACAAAATTTAAAACCATAGAATGAATCTTTAGCCAAAAAAAGAAGTTTGAGTTGTAAATCCAGATGAACCAACCTTTAGGGCCAATTCATATGTGGCTGAGCTCCAGATATCTCTTTCTGCCATTAACTGTTTCATATCATTCTCCATCCTTTCTCTTTGTAATGTGTATAAGTCATGATATTCTTCTACCATTCTATAAAAACAATTAAGAAACAGCTTCATTTAATTTACACTAACAATATATATTTTTAAAAGAAATGTGTTTTAAAATAGGTAATGTGTTCCTTTAAAACTTATCATAAGGTAATTATGGTATAATTGCTGAATATATTGATAACACTTATATATGGTGAAACAGAAAAAAATTCACATTTAATTTACAAATCTTACAAAACTCTTAGTGAAAGTAAAAATCTCATATATTGCTCCTGCTCTAAACACTTTTCATCTTATTCTTTATTTTTTCACTAGAATTCTGACAACATGATATTCCAATGGTATAACACCATACTAATGAAAAATTCAGAATACAGGTAACAATAACCTAACAGTTTATTGTTAAGGTTTGCTCACAGACCTAAGATTCTTTATGAAAGGCACAAAGCCCAAGAATTGTGAGCCATTAAAATTTTTAATTATACATAATTATTATAAGATTAAAGAAAATTGTCCCTTGACCATTTAAAATCTTAAAGTAGCTTTTTCTTAGCTATCACTTCTTTATATCTACCAGAACATACCTTTTCCTTTAAATTTACACTTTAGCTTCAAAATGAAGCTAAAATTAAAAGACGGTCCAGATTCAGTGGCTCACGCCTGTAATCCCAACACTTTGGGAGGCCAAGGTGGGCAGATCACCTGAGGTCAGGAGTTTGAGACCAGCCTGACCAACGTAGAGAAACCCAGTCTCTACTAAAAATACAAAATTAACTGGGCATGGTGGCACATGCCTGTAATCCCAGCTACTCAGGAGGGTGAAGCAGGAGAATCACTTGAACCCAGGAGGCAGAGGTTGCAGTGAGCCAAGATCACACCACTGTACTCCAGCCTGAGCAACAAGAGCAAAACTCTGTCTTTAAAAAAAAATTAAAAGACTTCCTGACTGAGTACGATGGCTCACACTTGTAATCCCAGCACTTTGGGTGGCCAAGGCAGGTGGAACCTGAAGTCAATAGTTCGAGACCAGCCTGGCCAACATGGTGAAACCCCATCTCTACTAAAAATTCAAAAATTAGCCGGGTGTGGTAGCGTCTGCCTGTAGTCCCAGCTATCTGGGAGGCTGAGGCATGAGAATTGCTTGAACCCAGAGGCAGAGGTTGCAGTGAGCCGAGATCACACCACTGCACTCCAGCCTGGGCAACAGAGCGAGATTGTCTCAAAAAAAGGAAAATTAAAAGACTTTCTGAGGTAAATACAAACATAGAAGTTATAAACTAAAAAACAGCATTTCACAAATCTTTTGAAACACTTCCTCCCAAGGACTTTGCAATAAGAATTAAAGGTCACTGAAGTAGAATTCTTCTAGTCTTAGAGGCTTTCATTTGTTCAAAATAATAAAGAAAAAAATTATACCAGTGAATACACATGTAAAAGTTCACTGAGCTATACTCTTAAGATCTGTGCACTTCATTGCCTAAAAATTAGACCTCAATTTTCAAAAGAGAATTAATGACCCTAATTTAACAGCAGAAGCAAAAAATCTAGAATCTCAGTGTCCAACAACAAAAGAGTGGTCAGATAAAAATAGAATGTAGTTAGGCTGGGCATGGTGGCTCACACCTGTAATCCCTGCACTTTAAGAGGCTGAGGCAGAAGGGTCACAAGGTCAGAAGATCGAGGCCAACCTGACCAACACGGTAAAACCCCATTCCTACTAAGGAAACAAAAATTATTGGACTGGTATGACTTGAAAGTTCATTGGAAAAAAAAAACAGTAACACACAAAAAAATAGCTGAATGTGGTGGCACATGCCTATAATCCCAGCTACTCAGGAGGCTGAGGCAAGAGAATTGCTTGAACCCAGGAGGCAGAGGTTGCAGTGAGCCGAGATCGCGTCACTGCACTCCAGACTGGGTGACAAAGCGAGACTCTGTCTCAAAAAATATGTGTGTGTGTGTTTGTGTGTATGTGTGTGTGTGTATAATGTAGTTCTATGAGTTTAAAAAAAACACTCTGCAGATAATTAATCATCATCATATTCTTTTTTTGTTTTTTGGTGTTCTTTTTTGAAATTAAGTTTCACTCTTGTCCCCCAGGCTGGAGTGCAATGGTGCAATCTTGGCTCACTGCAACCTCAACACCTGGCTAATTTTTGTGTTTTTTGTAGAGACGGGGTTTCATCATGTTGGCCAGAATGGTCTCAAACTCCTGACCGCAAGTGATCCGCTCATCTTGGCCTCCCAAAGTGCTGGGATTACAGCTGTGAGCCACTACACCTGGCTAAACATCATATTCTTAATACTTTGGTAAATGGGAAAGTTCTTGATGCAATAATATAAAATGAAAAATCTGAAATGCTAAAATTATAAATTGTTTGATCTCATTTTTATTTTAAAAAACAATACATAGAGAAAGTTCTAGCCCAAGTAATTTGGCATGTGAAAGAAATAAAAGGCATCCAAATTGGAAAGAAGGAAGTCAAATTGTTCCTGTTTGCAGACAGCAAGATCTTATATATTTTAAAAAAAAACAGCAAACTTAAAAGTGGCACCAAAACACTCTTAAAATTGATATACAAATTCAGTAAAGTTGCGAGATACAAAATCAACATACAAAAATCAGTAGTGTTTCTACACACCAACAATGAAATAGTAGAAAAGAAATTAAGAAAGCCATCCCATTCATAATAGCTACCAACAAACGACATCTAGGAATAAATTTAATCGAGAAAGTGAAAAATATCTACCAAAAAAACTACAAAACACTGATGAAAGAAATTGAAGAAACACAAATAAACGGAAAGCCACACAATGCTTCTGGATCAGGAGAATTTATATCATTAAAATGCACATATTGCCCAAGCAATCTACAAATTCAATGCAACCCCTATTAAAATACCAATGTCATTTTTTGCAAAAGAAAGAAAAGAACAAAACACACTTTAGGAGTCAAGGCAGGAGGATTACTTGAACCCAGGAGTTTGAGACTAGACTAAGCAACATGGTAAGACCATGTTTCAGGAAAAAAAAAATGGCTAGGCACCAGGCACTCTAGTGTGTAACTGTAGTTCCAGCTACTCAGTAGGCTGATGTGGAAGGATCGCTTGAGCATGGAAGTCAAGGGTGCAGTGAGCCATGATCATGAAACTGCACGCCAGCCTGGGCGACACAGTGAACCCCATCTCTATAAAGAATTTTTCATAAAATTAGCCAGGCATGGTTGCTCATGCCTGTAATCCTAGCACTTTGGGAGGCCAAGGTGAGATCACTTGAGGTCAGGAGTTCAAGACCAGCCTGCCCAACATGGCAAAACCCCACCTCTACTAAAAATACAAAAATTCACCAGATATGGTAGCATATGCCTATAGTCCCAGCTACTTGGGAGGATGAGGAGGAGAATAGCTTGAACTCAGGAGGCAGAGGTTGCAGTGAGTCAAAATCACACCACTGCACTCCAGCCTGGGCAACTCAGCAAGACTCTGTCTCAAAAAGGAAAAAGAAAAAATAATTTTTTGGTAAAATTGGAAAAAAATGACTATTAAATCAGATGCACAGATAGTAATGTAAGAACACAGGAAACATGAAAAATAATTCTGTAGTGGATCTCAACAAATAGGAAATTTATAAAATGTCTGAAAAAGATTTCAAAATAATTATATTAAATAAACCCAATGAGATACAAGAAAACACAGATAAAGAACACAAATAAATCAGAAAAACAATTCATGATCTGGATGAGAAATTCAACAGAGATAGGTATCATAAAAAGGAATGAAACAGAAACCCTGGAATTGAAGAATTCAATAAATGAAATTAAAAATACACTTGAGAGCTTAAACAATAGACTAGATCAAGTAGAAAAAGGAATTTCTGACCTTGAAGACAGGTCTTTTGAAAAAACTTAGACTTTAAAAAAGAAGAAAGAGAAAAGAATTAAAAACAATAAAGAAAACTTATGTGGCTATAATGGGACACCATAAAGTGACCACATTTTTTTTAATTTGGGGAATTTCAGAAAGAAAAGAGGTGGACAAAGACACAGAAAACCTATTCAATAAACTAATAGCTTAAAAATTCCCAAATCTTTCAAGAGATAAAGACATCCAGATACAGGAAGCTCAAAGATCCCCAGTATAATCAACCCACAAAGATATTTTCTGAGGCATATTATAGTCAACCTGTCAAAAGTCAGGGACAAAGGGAGAATCCTAAAAACAGCAAGAGAAAAGCATCAAGTTACATATAACGGAAACCACATCAGACTAATGGATTTCTCAGCAGAAACCTTAGGCCAGGAAAGGATGGAATTATATATTCAAAATGCTAAAAGAAATAAAAAACTGCTAGCCAAGAATTCTACACCTAGGAAAGCCATCCTTCAAAACCAAAGGACAAAAAACCTCTTTCTCAGATAAGCAAAAACTGAAAAAAATCATCACCACCAGACCAGCCTTAAGGGAGTCCTATATTTGAAAGCAAAAAGACAATACCTACCATCATGTAAACACATCAAAGTAAAAAAAATCTCACTGATAGAGCAGAAACACAAAAGAGAAAAAGAAAGGATTCAAATGTTTCCACTACAGAAAATTACCAAACAGAAATGATAAACAATAAAATAAGAAGAAAGGAATCGAGACCATCCTGTTACATATAAGGTCAACAAGGTGAAACCCTGTCTCTACTAAAAATACAAAAATTAGCTGGGCATGGTGGTACACGCCTGTAGCCCCAGCTACTCGGGAGGCTGAGGCAGGAGAATTGCTTGAACCCAGGAGGCGGAGGTTGCGGTGAGCTGAGATCGTACCATTACACTCCAGCCTGGGTAACCAGAGCAAAACTCCATCTCAAAAAAAATAAATAAATAAAAATAAGAAGAAAGGAGAAAAAGCTATACAAAATAATCAGAATATAATTAACAAAATGACAGGAATAAGCCCTCACCTATCAATAATAACCTTAAATCTAAAAAAATTAAATTCTCCCATGTAAAATATACAGATTGGCTGGTTACAAAAATGCAACCTAAACATATGCTGCCTCCAAAAAAATCACTTCACTTGCCAAAACATATATAGCCTAAAAGTGAAGAGATGAAAAAAGACATTCTATGCAGATAGAAACCAAAGCAAGCAGGAGTACCAATACTTGTATCAGATAAAGCATATTTTAAGTCAAAATCTATAAAAAGAGACAAAGAAGGTCATTATATGAAGACAAAGTGATCAATTCAGAAAAAAAAAAATAACAACTCTAAATATATATGCACCCAACCCTGGAGTACCCGGATGTATAAAGCAAACATTAGATCTAAAGGGAGAGATGGAATGTAATGCAATAATAGTTGGGGCCTTCAAAACCCTACTCTCAGCATTCAAAAGATCATCTAGACAGAACACTAACAAAGAAACATTGGATTTAAGCCACACTTTGGAACAAATGGACATAACAGGAATTTACAAAACATTTTATCCAACGGCTGCAGAATACACATTCTTCTCATCAGCACATGAAACATTCCCACAAATGGCAATATTCTAGGCCACAAAATAAGTATCAACAAATTTTTTAAAACTGGAAACATATCAAGTATCTTCTCAGACCACAATGAAGTAAAACTAGAAATTAATAACAAGAGACACTTTGGAAACTGTACAAACATGTGGAAATTAAACAACATGCTCCTGAATGATCACTGGGTCAGTAAATAAATTAAAAAGAAAAATTTTAATGTCTTGAAACAAATGAAGCCCAGGCCTATGGGATAATGCAAAAGCAGTGCTAAGAGGGAAGTTCATAGTAATAACCACCTCTATCAAAAAAGCAGAAAGATTTCAAATAAACAACCTAATGATGTACCTCAAGGAACTAGAAAAGTAAGAACAAACAAAACCCAAAATTAGTAGAAAAAAAAGAAATCATAAATGTCATAACAGAAACAAATAAAAGAGAGACTAAAAAAATGCAAAAGATCAACAAAATAAAAAGTTCATTTTTTGAAAAAATAAAATCAATAAACGTCTAGCTAGATTACCCAAGAAAAAAAGAGACAGCTCAAGCAAATAAAATCAGAAACAAACAAAAATAGATATTACGACTGATACCACTGAAATATAATCATGAACAACAATCGACTAACAAATTGGAATACCTAGAAGAAACAGACATGCTCCTGGACACAAAGGAACTGTACCATTCCAAGTGCTTTACTTCTATTACTTCCTTTAATACTCATAGTCGCCCTATGAGGTAGACAATATTATTATCCCAATTTTAAATATGCGCAAACTTAGGCCCAGAAAAGTTAAGTGACTTCCTCAAGGTCACACAGCAAGCAGTATGGTTCCAAAATCTATGCTATCTATGCACACCTCCTCTTTATACTTTCTTGCAGAAAACCAGAAAGTAATAGCCTGCAATCCTCACTCAACAAAAATGATTAATGTTGAAAGCAAAATCTATCTCCAAGAGAAAAATCATGTTTCACCTTCTTTTCACCCAGAATGAGAAATCAACTAAATTCAGATAAGTAAGCTACAAGTGCTTTTAGAATTCAGTAAGTTAGTGTCATATATATTATTTCAGAAGCTATATAAGCTTCTCTTTCCCCTATGTAAGCTACATAAACTTTAAGCAACTCACCTGGCATTCTTTTCAGCATCTAAAAGAGCTTGTGCCAAATCCTTGTGGGCCTTTTCTGTTTCCTTTGTTAATTTTACATCATGTGCCTGAACTAGACACAGCTCCCTGGAATAAAGCAAAGAAATTTTAAATTCATATTTGGAGACTTCCAAAAAGTTTCTACCCAGGAAATCAGATTTATACTCAGGAATCTTCTCAGTTATCATGCATACTTCCCTTCCTAGTTTTTCCACCTTATAAACCAAATCAAGAAATTGAGGATACATTCTAGATGGAATCTTGCCAGGTTTGGAAATAGAATCAGGCTGGCAGAAATCAGGCAGAAAGAAGATGTAGGGGAGATCCTTTAGAACAGATGGAGGCAGATGTGGACATGCAAGGCCTCCATGCTGGTTGACCCCACTTTCTGATATGCCTATCCTATCTTCTTTATTCTCACCCCTAATCATCTTGCTATAAGGTTAGAGGTTAGATGACCACTAACTTTGAGGGCTTTATAATACTTACTTTCTTTGAGATGTGAATCTCAACATCCATAATTACGGCATTGCTCTATAAACTGACTAAGGTAAACATCTGTATTTTACTTTATCTTTATTTTTGTTTTTCGAGACAGGGTCTTGCTCTGTCACCCAGGCTAGAGTGCAGTGGTGCAATCTCGGCTCACTGCAACCTCCCAGGTTCAAGCAATTCTCCTGCCTCAACCTCCCCAGTCATTGGGATTACAGGCATGAGCTACCATGCCTGGCTAATTTTTTTTATTTTTAGTATAGATGGTATTTCACAATGTTGGCCAGGCTGGTCTCGAACTCCTGACCTCAAGTGATCCGCCCACCTTAGCCTCCTGAAGTGCTGAGATTACAGGCATGAGCCACCGTGCCTGGTAACATCTGTATTTTAGAAGTAAGAGCAAGCCTTTTCCATGTCAAATATATAGAGAATCTTCATTTTTGTGTGAACCTGCATAACCCATTTATCTATACCTCTATCTACAATGATATCTAGTCTTGTTTGTTCTCTTGCTAAACATGAAAACAGAAGAACTCTGACCTTTAATCATTCCATTTTCCCTAAATATTTTTTACTCCCTTTAAAGACATGACATTGACTTTTGCTTTGTGTCTAAGATAATCACAGTTTTTACCTGGTCAGTTCTTCAATAACATGCTTGAAATTATACAATTCTTCTAAAATGCGCTGGTCCATCACTCGCTGAGTTACCAAGTCTTTGTAGAAATCAATCATCTGCCGGGCAATGTGGTCAAGCATTTGCACGTACCTTTCTCTGCATGAAAAACAACACAAATCCTAGATCTGATAAGTGAATTCAGTAAATTCTCAGCTTACAGAATCAGTGTATGCAAATCAGTAGCACTGGTATACACCAAGAAAACCAAGCTGAGAATCACATCAAGAAATCAACCCCTTTTACAACAGCTACAAAAAAAAGAAAAGAAAATACTTAGGAATATACTTAACCAATGAGATGAAAGATCTCTACAAAGAAAATTAACTAAAAAACACTGCTGAAAAAACATCGTATATGACACAAATGGAAACAGATCCCATGTTCACAGATGAGTGGAATCAATATCGTGAAAATGACCATACTACCAAACTCAATCTACAGATTCCATGCAATTTCCATCAAAAATACCATCATCATTCTTCACAGTAATGGGAAAAAAATCCTAAAATTCATATGGAACCAAAGAAGAGCCCACATAGCCAAAGAAATGCTAAGGAAAAAGAAAAATCTGGAGACATCACATTACCCAACTTCAAACTATACTACAAGGCTATAGTTACCAAAACAGCATGGTGCTGGTAGAATAATAGGGACATAGACCAATGGAGCAGACTAGAGGACCTGTCAGATACTTACGACCAACTGATCTTCGACAAAGCATACAAAAACAACAATGTGGGAAAAAGACACACTATTCAACAAATGGTGCTGGGATAATTGGCAAGCCACATGTAGAAGAATGACACTGGATCCTCATCTCTCACCTTATATAAAAAATCAACTCAAGATGGATCAAAGACTTAAATCTAAGACCTGAAACCATAAAAATTCTAGAAGATAACATCAGAAAAATTCTTCTAGACATTGGCTTAGGCAAAGAATTGGTAACCAAGAACCCAAAGCAAATGCAACAAAAATAAAAATAAATAGATGGGACATAATTAAAGTAAAAAGCTTCTTCTGCACAGGAAAAGAAATCATCAGCAGAGTAAACAGACAACCCACAGAGAGGGAGACAATACTCATAAACTATGCATCAGGCAAAGAACTAGTACTCAGAATCTACAATGAATTCCAACAAATCAGCAAGAAAAAAAAACAAATACTTTCACCAAAAAGTGGGCAAAGGACATCAATAGACCTCAAAAGAAGATATACAAACAGCCAGCAAACATGAAAAAATGCTCAACATCACTAATTATCAGGAAAATGCAATTTAAAACCACAATGAGATATCACCTTACTCCTACAAGAATGGCCATAATTTTAAAAATCAAAAACAATAAATGTCAGCATGGATGTGGTGAAAAGAACACTTTTACACTGTGGATAGGAATGTAAACTAGTACAACTACTATGGAAAACAGTATGGAGATTCCTTAAAGAACTAAAAGTAGAACTATCATTTGATCTAGCAATCCTGCTACTTATTTCCCAAAGGAAAATAAGTCATTATATGAAAAAGTCACACACATGTTTACAATAGCATAATTTGCAACTACAAAAATATGAACCCAACCTAAATGTCCATCAATCAACAAGTGGATAAAGAAAATGTGGTATATACACACTAAGGAATAGCTATAAAACGAAATGAAATAATGGCATTTGCAGCAACTTCGATGGAATTTGAGACCATTATTCTTTTTTTTTTTTTTTTTTTGAGACCTAGTCTCACTGTGTCACCCAGGCTGGAGTGCAGCAGTACGATCTCAGCTCACTGCAACCTCCACCTCCCGGGTTCAAGTGATTCTCCAGCCTCAGCCTCCCCAGTAGCTGGGACTATAGGTACATGCCACCACACCTGGCTAATTTTTTGTATTTTTAGTGGAGACAGGGTTTCACCGTGTTAGCCAGGATTCTAAGTGAAGTAAATCAGGAATGGAAAAACAAATATCGTATGTTCTCACTTATAAGTGGGAGCTAAGCTATGAGGATGCAAAGGCATAAGAATGATATAATAGACTCTGGCAACTGAGGGGGAAGGTTGGGAGGGGGCGAGGAATAAAAGACTACATATTAGGTATGGTGTACACTGCTCAGCAGGTGATCAGTTGTATTAGTCCATTCTCACATATTCTTATCCTTATATTCTGCTATAAGGATATACCCAAGACTGAGTAAATTACAAAGGAAATAGATTTAATTGACTCACAGTTCCACAGAGCTGGAAGGCCTCAGGAAACTTACAATCATGGCAGAAAGGACAGCAAACACGTCCTTCTTAACATGGTGGCAGGAAGGACAAAAATGAAAACCCAGCAAAGGAAGAAGCCCTTATAAAACCATCAGATCTCTGGCCAGGCACAGTGACTCACACCTATAATCCCAGCACTTTGGGAGGCCAAGACAGGCAAATCATCTGAGGTCAGGAGTTTGAGGTCAGCCTGGCCAACATAGTGAAACCCTGTCTCTACTAAAAATACAAAAATTAGCTGGTCATGATAGTGCATGCCTGTAATCCCAGCTACTTGGGAGGCTGAGGCAGGAGAATCACCCAGGAGGCAAAGGTGGCAGTGAGCTGAGATTGCGCCACTGCACTCCAGCCTGGGCAACAGAGTGAGACTCCATCTCAAAAATAAATAAATAAACAAATAAATAAAACCATCAGATCTCATGAGAATTAACTCACTATCACAAGAATAGAATGGGGGAAACCGCCATCATGACTAACCATCTCTACCTGGTCCCTTCCACAACATGTAGAGATTATGGCAACTACAATTCAAGATGAGATTTGGGTGGGGACACAGCCAAACCATATCATGGCTACACCAAAATCTCAGAAATCCCTACTGAAGAACTTATCCATGTAACCAAAAACCAAAAACTCTCAATGTATCCATGGAGTTTTAAATAGCTCCCAAAGCTATTGAAAGAAATAAAATAAGAGAAATAAGCTATCATACAGAAGGAAAGGAAAAAAAGACAGAAAATATGCAAGAGAGAAAGTAATGCTAGGGAATGAAATAGTAAACATACATTATAAAAGACAGGTGAGATGAACAATATAGAAAAAAAAAGGAATCTAGGCTATGTTTCCTGCCATGTCACACAAGTGAGTGAACAATTATAGATAATTGTAACCAAAGCCCTAGTGATTTGGAATATCATATGTGAGATGTAAAACAAAAATAAGACGTTGTGTTTTTTTAATTTTATTTATTTAATCTTTAATTCCACTGACAGAATTATCCAGCCCTTGCTTAAAAGCTGAAAGTGACAGGGAGTTTATCACCTCAAGACGAAGCTCATATACTGGAAAGTATCAATTTAAAAACCATCATGTTTAGGACTTCCACCTCCTGACAATATAGGAATTAAATACTCTGAAAGACCTTCCTGTTACAATCTAGTTTGTACAATCTACGAACTAGATCCGTAAGAGAGCACAGTTTTCGAAGCATTACTGAACTTAACAGGAAGAAACAGAAGTCTGTAGGGATGAAAAACGAAAAGAATAAACCAAAAATAGTAAGTTAGAATGGAGTGGGAGTTGTAAACAGTAAGCAAACCCAAGGTCAGTGTTGTCTTCAGGAAAAATGCCAACACTGAGAACCAGCAACTAAGCCTTGGGCTCACTTCAAAGTGGGAAACATGGGTAAGCGTAGGACTACTGCATGAATCCCAGATTCCAGAAGGGAGCACATGCAAATCATCTTTTCCGGAAAGCAGCTTGTATTCATGTCCTGAGGATCCCATGGCTAAAGTCAGCCAAATATTAGCTCCACAAGCAAAGACTGCAAAATGTTAATGTAAATAAACCATCATGAATGAGACTCAGAAGAAAATACCAAGAGCAGATTTAGACAGTAAAAGTCTTCATTTACTAGTTATCAGAATTAGAATATAATACTATGCATGCAATGTTTGAGAAATAAAAGATAGAATCTAAAAATGGGTTGGGCGTAGTGGGTCACACCTATAATCCCAGCATTTTGGGAGGCCAAGGTGGGCAGATCACCTGAGATTAGGAATTTAAGACCAGCCTGGCCAACATGGTGAAATCCCATCTCTACTAAAAACACAAAATTAGCCAGGCATAGTGGTGCATGCAAATAATCCCAGATACTCAGGAGGCTGAGGCAGGAGAATCACTTGAACATGGGAGGCAGAGGTTACAGTGAACCGAGATTATGCCATTGCACTCTAGCCTGGGTGACCAGAGTGAAACTCTGTCTCAAAAAAAAAAAATCTAAAAATGAATAAGCAATAAAATTATTATATATGAAGAGACAGATGTGGAAACAAACCAATAGAACTCTTAAGGGAGGCCGGGCATCATAGCTCACACATATAATTCCAGCACTCTGGGAGGCTGAGGTGGGCAGATCACTTGACCTTCTAGAAATGAAAGCTAAAATATCTGAGATGAAAATATATACTAGATAGGATTAAAGTGAGATCCTGTCTCCACAAAGAGATACAAAAAATTAGGGCCAGGTGTGGTGGCTCACGCCTGTAATCCCAGCACTTTGAGAGGCTAAGGTGGGCAGATCACCTGAGGTCAGTAGTTCGAGACCAGTCTGACTAACATGGAAAAACCTCGTCTCTACTAAAAATACAAAATTAGCCAGGCGTGTTGGCGCCTGCCTGTAATCCCAGCTACTCAGGAGGCTGAGACAGGAGGATCGCTTGAACCCAGGAGGCAGAGGTTGCAGTAAGCCAAGATCACGCCATTGCATTCCAAAACTCCATCTCAAAAAATATATATACAAAAAAATTAGCTGGGTGTGGTGGCACAAACTTGTGGTCAGCTACTTAGGAGGCTGAGGTAGGAGGATCACTTGAGCCCAGGAGGATGAGGCTGCAATATGCCAAGATGGTGCCACTGCACTCCAGCCTGGGTAACAGAGCAAGATTCCAAGTCAAAAATAATAATAATAGTAATAATAATTAGATAGGATTAAAAGCAGATTAGATATTATAGGAAAAAAGATTAATGAAGATACTAGCGATAGAAACTATCCAAAATGAACACAAATAGAAAACAGCAAAGATGTGTTACCATTAGCGATCTGTAAGACAACTTCAGTATGAGTGGCCTAATATATGTGTAAACAAATTTCCTCAAAAGGGGTTGGGGGACAGAAAAAAACACTTAAAGAAATAGCCAAAAATTTTCCATATTTGATGAAAACTATAAATCCACAGATCAAAATGCTTAATAAGCACCAAACACAAGAAACGTGAAGAAAACTATGCCAATGCATAGCACAGTGAAATTGCTCAAAAGCAATGGTAAAGAAAAAAATCCTAAAATCAGCTCCAGGAAAAAGACACATTACATTTGGAGAAATAAAGACAAAAATGGCAGCAGATTTCTTATTGGAAACAATGCCAATGAGAAGAGAGTAGGGCAACGACATATTTAAAGTACTAAATTTAAAAATTCTCTATATCAGGCAAAAATATCTTTCAAAAATCCTCTTACTGCCCCAAGGCCAGGTACCAAACAACCAGGGACAACACCTATGATGCAGTCCCCAGTGAAATTATCCAAACAATCCAATCCTAGGCCTATTTACCCTACCTCACCTATTCCTTTCCAGGGAAACCACAATAGAGGTGCCTACCCACAGGTGCCCTCCCTTTCTTTACCTCATGACTGACTTGGTGTCTCCCCTGAATGGCCCGGTATGGCATGAGGCTTCTCCCCAGGGAGCTGTGAGTATTACAAAACTATAAAACTCTTTCTGGGTTCTTTATCTCGATCTGCATCGGGTCTCACTGTACTCACCCAAGACAATATGGCTAAAATAAAATGTGGTACTTACGAAGAAATTCACAACATTAACTGCCTATATTAGAAGAAGATCGCATAATGACAACTTCCACCCTAGAAACCAGAAAAACTAAAGCAAATCAAAACCAAAGTAATCAAGCAAGCAGGCAGGCAGGCAGGAGGGAGGGAAGGAAGAAAGGGAGGGAGGGAGGGAGGGAGGGAGGGAAGGAAAAAAGGGAGGGAGGGAGGGAGGGAAGGAAGAAAGGGAGGGAGGGAGGGAAGGAAGGAAGAAAGGGAGGGAGGGAAGGAAGGAAGAAAGGGAGGGAGGGAGGGAGGGCGGGAGGGAGGGAGGGAGGGAAAGGAAAGAAAGAAAAGAAATCAAGGCTTAAATCAATGAAATAGAAAACTGATAAACAATAGAGAATATCACTGGACCAAAAGCTGGTTTTTTTCAAGATCAGTTAAACTGATAAAAGTCTAGCTAGATTCATCAAGACAACAAAACAAAAAAGGAAACACAAATGACAAATATTAGGATTGAGACAGGTGACATTACTACAGATTCCAGGAATGTGTTAAAAATAATAAGAGAATATTATGAACAGCTTTATATACTAACAAATTCCACAACGAAGATAAAATAAACACATTTCTAGAAAGATGCAAACCACCAAAACTCACTCAAGAAGGACTAGATAACCTGAATATATCAAAATACGAAATTTGTAATTAAAACCCCTCAAGAAAAGAAAATTCCAAATAGCCTTACTGGTGAACACAGCCAAACATTTAAAAAAGAAACACCAAGACCATACAAAAATTGAAAAGGACAGTATACTTTCTAATACATTCTCTGAGGCCAGTATTACTCTAACACCAAAACCAGACAAAGACATCACAAGAAAAGAAGGCTAAAAACCATCGCTTCTTATGAATGCAGATGTAAAAATTCTCAGCAAAATACTAGCAAATCATACCCAGCAATATATGAAAAGAAATAGGCCAGGCACGGTGGCTCATGCCTATAATCCCAGCACTTTGGGAGGCCTAGGCAGGTGGATCACCTGAGGTCAGGAATTCGAGACCAGCCTGGCCAATGTGGTGAAACCCCATCTCTACCAAAAATATGAAAATTAGCTGGGCGTGGTGATGCATGTTTGTCATCCCAGCTACTCAGGAGGCTGAGGCAGGAGCATCGCTTGAACCTGGGAGGCAGAGGTTGCAGTGAGCTAAGACTGTGCCACTGCACTCCAGCCTGGGCAACAGAGCAAGACTCCATCTCAAAAAAAAAAAAAAGGAATATATAGTTAGCCCTCCACATCTATGGGTTCTGCATCCCTGGATTCAACCAATCACAGAATGAAAATATTTAAAAAAAAAAAAAAAAAAAGTTGGTGGTGGGGGACAAACACAATGGGAGCCAGCACTTTGGGAGGCCAAGGAGGATCACAGGATCTTACTGTGTTGCCTAGGCTGGTCTAGGCTGAAAGACAGCCTAGGCGACACAGTAAGACCACTGTCCCTGCAAAAAATAAAAATAAAAAGTTAGCCAGTCATATTGGAGCATGCCTGCAGTCCCAGCTACTCAGCAGACTGAGGGGGAAGGACCGTTTGAGCCCAGGAAGTTGAGGATGCAGTAAGCTTTGTTTACGTGCAGCACTCCAACATTGGTAGCAAGATTTAAGCAAGACCTCATCGCTTAAAAAAAAAGTCATGTCTGTACTAAACATGTACAGACTTTTTTTCCTTGTCATTAGTCCCTAAACAAGACAGTATAAAACTATTTACATGGCATTAGATATTGTAAGTAATGTAGAGGTGATTTATGGTACACCAGGGAATGTACATAGGTTATATACCAATACTACACCATTTTGTATGAGGGACTTGAAGATCCGCGGACTTTAGTATCTGGGTGGGGGGAGGCAGGGAGTCCTGGAATCAATCCTCCATACATAGGGAAGGGAAGACTGTATATGCCAATGCCAAATGGGATTTAGCAGAAGAATGCAAGGTTGGATTAATATACAAAAAACTCAGTCAAAGCATTATGCCTGAATAACAAAGGACAAAAACAACATGATAATTTCAGTAAACACAACAGTATTTGACAAAATTGCTTGAGCTCAAGAGTTTGAGTCCAGTGTGGGCAACATAGTACGACCTCATCCCTACTAAAAAATGTTAAACATGAGCCAGGTAGGGAGACATGTGCCTATAGTCCCAGCTATTCAACGGGCTAATGTGGGAGGGTCACTTGAGCCCGGGAGATTGAGGCTGCCGTGACCCATGATTACACCACTGTATGCCAGCCTGGGTGACGGAGCAAAACCTTGTCTCAAAAAATAAAAATAAAACCTCATCTCAACCCTGTGACACATGTCAATGCTTGGCACAGACTAGATACTCAATAAATTATCAGTGCTTTATGAATGAACAGACAAAAACTTTCACAGACCCTATTACCTTCATTTACACATGAGAAAACTAAGGCTCAGATTTTCTCCAAGGTCACACACCTAGATTAACATTTGAAACAAAATCAGCTTGATCCAGATTGTATACTTTTCCCACTATTTTCTAATCATAACAGAATATGGTGTGAAACATCTCAAAAGAAATTTTAAAAGAGTTCTCAATTACTATATTTTTACTACATAGAATATAATAAAAATGTGGCTGGTAGCGGTGACTCACGCCCATAATCTCACTGCTTTGGGAGGCCAAGGTGGGTGGATCACTTGAGTCCAGGAGTTTGAGACCAGCCTATGTAACATAGAGAAACCCCATCTCTATTAAAAATACAGAAATTAGGCCAGGTGCAGTGGCTCATGCCTATAATTCCAGCATTTAAGAGGCCAAGGCGGGTGGATCACCTGAGGACAGGAGGCAAAGGCAGGTGGATCACCTCAGGTCAGGAGGTCGAGACCAACCTGGCCAACATGGTGAAAACCCATCTCTACTAAAAATACAAAAATCAGCCAGGCATAGTGGCAGGCACCTGTAATCCCTGATACTTGGGAGGGTGAGGCAGGAGAATTGCTTTAACCCAGGAGGCAGAGGTTGCAGTGAGCCGAGATTGTACCACTACATTCCAGCCTGGGTGACAGAGTGAGACTCTGCCTCAAAAAAAAAAAAATTAGCTGAACATGGGAGCAATGCCTGTTAGTCCCAACTACTTGAGAGGCTGAGGCAGGAGGATCATTTGAGATAAGGAGTTAGAGGCTTCAGTGAGCCAAGATTGTGTCACTGCATTCCAGCCTGGGCAACAGAGTGAGACTCTGTCTCAAAAAAAAAAAGTAAACTATAGACCCTTTCCGTATATTAACAAAAAAGAAAAAAGAATGCAATTAGATTATTTATTTTCGGCAGAATAGAGAAGTGTACTTTTCTGTCATTCTCAAAAGTAGATATAAAGACAAATCTAATATAAAAATCAAAAGGTGTGAATACAAAACACATCTCAGTTGGTAAACTGAAAAAAAAGGGGAAAAAATCCAAAGGAAACTGGCCTATTCCAATAATAGCACTAACCTGACTTTAGACAGAAGTTCTCCTCTGTCTGCACAGTCCACCGTGACTTGTCGAATAAGTTCATGAAATATTGTATTGTAAATGGTCTGTTCCTTCTTCAATATATGTAGTAGTTTGTGCATCTATCAGAAGGTAAGTAACATAGTCAGTACTTATTACAGTCCTATCAGTAAAAAACAGTTTAGGAGGTTGTCACTCTGAATGTAAATAGGTTTTAGAAACATCTTGATTCATTTATTTCACTTACCTTTTCATTTATATATATACAAAAGTGATTATTTTATTTTTAAAAGTTGTTCTGGCCAGGTGCAGTGGCTTACACCTGTACTCCCAACACTTTGGGAGGCCAAAGTGGGCAGATTGTTTGAGGCAAGGAGTTTCAGACCAGCCTAGGCAATACAGTGAGACCCTGTCTGTACAAAAAATATAAAAATTAGCTGGGCATGGTGCCATGCACCTGTAGTCCCAGCTACTAAGGAGGTCAAGGTGGGAGGTTGTGGCTGCAGTGACCAGTGATCACACCACTATACTCCAGCCAGGGTGACAGAGTGACACTTTGTCTTAAAAAAAATTTTTTGGTTTAATCATGCACCTCTTTATCTGATGCACTGAAAAGGTCACAATATCATGTTATGAAATATCGTGTTGTAAATGGTCTGTTCCTTCTTCAATATATGTAGCAGTCTGTGCATCTGTCAGAGGTAAGTAACATAATCAATACTTATTACAGTCTTATCTGTAAAAACATTTTACTGATGCACTGAAAAGGTCACAATATCACTTGTATGTTGTACCTGCCAAAAATACAAAACCTCAATCTAAAATCATGACTATACATCTGACAAACCAAAATTGAGGAACATTCTACAGAATAACTGGCTTGTGTTCTTCAAAATAACAAGGTCAAGAAAAACAAAGAAAGTCTGAGAAACTGTTTCAGATTAAACTTGTCTAAAGAAACATGACAACTGGCCAGGAGCAGTGGCTCACACCTGTAATCCCAACACTTTGGGAGGCCAAGGTGAGCAGATCACCTGAGGTCAGGAGTTCGAGACCAGCCTGGCCAACACGGAGAAACCCCATCTCTACTAAAAATAAAAATAAAAAAAATAGTCGGGCATGGTGGCAGGCACCTGCAATCCCTGCTACTCTGGAAGCTGAGGCAGGAAGGAGAATCACTTGAACCCAGAGGCGGAGGTTGCAGTAAGCTGAGATCACACCATTGCCCTCCAGTCTGGGCAACAAGAGTGAGACTCCATCAAAAAAAAAAAAAAAGAAAAAGAAACATAACAACTAAAAGAACTGTGTGATCCTCGAATTCTGGACTAGGAAGAAAAAAATTGCTATTTTTAAAAGTCATTTATAGAGACAATTAATAAAATATAAAATTTAAATGTGATCTATGTTAAAGAATATTATCATATCAACATTAAATTTCCTGATAACTATATTATGGATATATAAGAGAATGTCCTTGTTTATAGGACATGCTCATGAGGCATGTCTCTAACTCACTCTACAATGAATGGTTCAGAACGAAACGATACATATGTAGACAGAGAAGGAGAGAATGATAAAGCAAACAGGGCACCATATAAAGAACTGGATGGAGAATCCAGGTAAAGGTTACATAGAGTGTCTTGTATGGAAGTTTTTCTTTATGTTTCAAATTCTACACAAATAAAATATAAAAAGCAAAAAAGAAATGGCCCTGACAAAGAAAAAAGTCTCTCTATAAGACTAAAAGAGTTTTTTCTTAAGTAGAAAATAATAATCACAAGTGGTGACTGGATCTTAGAATCAATGATACCTTATGTTTGGTGGAATAATAATACTAACAATTAATTATACAGTATCGACCACATGCCAGGAACTTTTCTAAACGCTTTACATTTATTAAGTCATTTCATCTCCACAAAACCCTATGAGGTAGATGATATTATTATCTCTAATGTTCAAATGAGGAAACTGAGGTACAAATTCATTAAATGACTTGTCCAAGGCCACCTGCTAACACATGGCAGAGTCAGCATTCTAACCTAGGCAGTCCGCCTCCAGAGGGCATGCTCTTAGCCACCAGGTTGCATTCATCTTTGCGATTACCTTGGTTGGTCCTGTATATTCCTGATTTTCCACACCAGCCCTCTGTAGCATAGTATCCATCACATCATTCAGCTTGGCCGCTTCTACTCTTTTATTAGGTTTCCTAAAAATTTAAGGTGGCAGACTTACGTAATTAACATTGCAACAGGTCATTCTCAAATGGCAAAAGAACATAATATGTGTAAAGAGAACATATATACCCTCTGGGATATTAACGGCATTTTAAGCATTAGACCTGTATCTATTAATCTATTGGGAGATCAGTAATATAGTAGAAATAAGCAAGAAAATCCAAATAGTATGATTCTCTTTTTCATAAAAGAAAATAATGCTTCCAACCCCAAAATTCTATATACTATCACGTAGGAGTGTAAGAATATAGAAAAATAAAGAATGTGGGAAATAAACATTAAACTTTTAACACTGGTTACCTCACAATGTGAGAGAAGAAAAGGGACAAAGAAAAGGAAAAAAAAACTATAGCAAAATGAAGAAATACTAATGGTGAAACACAGAATATAAAAGCACTTTATAGCATTTAAATATTATGCTATATATGTAAATATATAAAACTGAATATGCAATTAGACAAAATACATAAACGTTGAATATATAATTGGAAAAATGAAAACACTGATTAGATGATGAAATTGTAGGAAATTATTATCTTGGGTTTCTGCTATAATTTTAATAATTTTGGTTAACAAAGTACCAAGAAATATGTATGTATATACTTATTCTTTCTGAGAAACACTTTAGAAAAGAAACTGTACTTACATGGATGGGAAGAGCAGGAGTCTGTTTTCACTATCCGTGAGGAGAGTAGTGTATTTGCTACAATAGATAAGATATGTAAATGTTCTTTTAAGAAAATTTTCTGGCCTGTTCATCAATTAGCACAACTATCCCCCAGAATCTTGGTTTCTAAGTACCATCCTCCACTAAAAGGAATCAGAACTCCTTGGAGAAGTGACTCACCACTCATTCCAGGGCTGGAGTTGGAAAATACAAGATGAACCTGGAAGCCTTATCAAGTCAGAAAATAAGTGTTCAAATAATCATAAGGACATGTCCAAAGAACACAAGAGACTGCTCAAATGAGCCACCTTTGGCCATTGGCCAAATCTGGAAAAATCTGACCCTAAAACTAATGGGTTAGGCACAGTGGCTCACACCTGTAATCCTAACACTTTGGGAGGCTGAGGCAGGAGGATCACTTGCAGTCAGGAGTTCGAAACCAGCCTGGCCAACATGGTGAAACCCTGTCCCTACTAAAAATACAAAGAGTTAGCCGGGTGTGGTGATGGGCACCTGTAGTCCCAGCTACTCCAGAGGCTGAGGCAGGCGAATTGCTTGAACCTAGGAGGCTGAGGTTGCAGTAAGCTAAGATCATGCCACTGCACTCCAGCCTGGGCAACAGAGCAAGACCATGTCTCAAAAAGAAAAAAACACTAAAAAATTTAAAATAATATAAAATAAAATAAAAAATGATAGTAAAGAATTAAAATCCATCAAATAAAATAGAAATCCATTATTCCATATGGTAAAATGACAACTAACAAATTGACAGAAGAAATGATGATCATACAGAAGAAATTATGAAATTCATCAAGGCCTGGCACAGTGGCTCATGCCTGTAATCCCAGCACTTTGGGAGGCCGAGGTGGGTGGATCACCTGAGGTCAGGAGTTCGAGACCAGCCTAGCCAACGGGACAAAACCCCATCTCTACTATAAATACAAAAATTAGCCAGGCGTGGTGTCAGGTACCTGTAGTCCCATATTCTTGAGAGGCTGAGGCATGAGAATTGCTTGAACCCAAGGGACAGAGGTTGTAGTGAGCAGAGATCATGCCACTTCACTCCAGCCTGGGTGACAAAGTGAGACTTCACCTCAAAAAAAAAATTCATCAAAAGATCTATAACTAATGAGTTGTTAGGAAATACATACTAAAGTGTTTGGTGGTAGAAGAATTTGCTTACTTACTCTTAAATAGATTGAAAATATATGCATGTATACGCATGCTTATATGTGTATAAGAGCAAATGAGACAAAGTATAAACAACCAGTGACTCAGGACAGAGGGTATATAGGCATTCCTTTTCCCATTTTTACAACTTTTATGTATGAAGTTACATGAAAATAAAAGATTACCAAAAAATGAATTCCATTTAATTTTCTTGGGCAAAATATTGTTCTGAAACATACCATCACAATGAAATGCAATATATTATAACATACATATTGGAAAGACAATATCAAAAGAGTGGCAGCCTCCGCATATTTTATTATAAAACCTTAATCCAAAGTTCTAGTTTTCTAAACTATAAAACATTCAAGTGTTGTTTCAGAAAATAAAAGCAAGATCCCATTTTCAATCCCATAAATAGAAACCAAAGGTGACAAGATGATTAGTCTGCAATGTGGAGCCAAGCCCTGGAGTGTGCATTATGAGATGCAGGCTCAAGGGCTACTTTCCTTTGTCTCCATGATCACTGCTCAAAATCATTCCTAAAGGCATAGTCATATATTCAAAACAAAGTCCCATTTTTTAAAAAGTTCAAAATTAAATGGCAGGAAAAGATAGGAATAATCTTTTAATCACTAACATCCCAAACTCTTTTAAGTGCTTAATTTGTCTCTTTCTTAATTGTATTAGGATGGCTGGCTTAATGTTTCCTCATTTCAGTTCATATATTGCTTAGGAATATGAGTATACTATTCTCAGGTTCTTCTATGCATGGGAAGGAGAAAAAGTTAAACTTGTCAGGTATTCTTTTTTTTTGAGATGGAGTTTCGCTCTTGTTGTCCAGGCTGGAATGCAATGGCGGACCTTGGATCACTGCAACCTCTGCCTCCCGGGTTCAAGTGATTCTCCTGCCTCAGTCTCCCTAGGAGCTGGGATTACAGGCACCTGTGTCACTATGCCAGCTAATTTTTTTGTATTTTTAGTAGAGACAGGGTTTCACCATGTTGGCCAGGCTGGTCTTGAACTCCTGACCTCAGATGATCTGGCCGCCTCAGTTTCCCAAAGTGCTGGGATTACAGGTGTGAGTAACCATGCCCAGCTAGGTATTCTTTACATATCATAGTACTCACTCATCATAACACTCCAAACCTGAAACTCCTGTACTTGACACAATATGAAATTCTTCAGGAATCAAAGTATCTGTTAGTCTCTTCGGCTTAAAAGCAAAGCAAAGCAAAAGAAAAGAATGATTACATTAATAGATGAAAAAATGCACTTGCACAAGTCCTAATTCCTAACCCAAAGAGATACTATTTTTTAAGTTAAAAATTTTGACTGGAGAAATAACAGTATTTTCAGTAATGTGAATCATAGCAAATGACAGAAACTAAGCAGAGCACACATTTCTAAAATAACCATGAATTAAAGAATAACCCTGGTTCTAGTATTAGTTACATGTGTCCCATATATTCAGAAGTTTATTGATTCTTTTCCTTTAAATTAAGCAGAGAATTTAAAATTTAACTTAGCAAGATACCAAAGATAAGAATCCTACAACTTCATACGTGCATTTCTAGGGGGAAAACAATCAAATCTCCCACACTGTTTTTTTTAGATTAAAACAGATTAACTGTTGTTTGGAAAATGGCTTAAAAGAAGGTATTTTCATCTTTTCCTGCTAAATGCCCTTTTCCCGTTTTAAGAAACAATTTGAAAATGCTATGAAGATTGGTGAGCAATGCAGGTTGTTATAGTGCGATATTGTTTTATATCTTGGAGCAATAAGTTTTAAAAGTATATTAAGAGAAAAGATTATTTGTCAAATACTTTACCTTATGGGGCACAATGACACCATCATGTGACTGCAATGAACGGGCCAAATGCGGGGGACAAACTGCTTTCTCCTTAGTCTGTCCTCTGGCATATTTAACATCATACAGAAAAGAAATATCCCTAAAAATAAGAAAAATATATTTACAAAATAAATTTTCTATCTGGATACCACATAACAGCAGGTAAGATCCACATATATCCTTCTAATGGGTAAGATGGTCCTTTGTGTCAGCAAAACTGATCTCATTACCTAACACTTTATTAAGACTGAGGCATTAAACATGAGTTCCCCCACACTCTTTCTCTTCTCCACCTGAAATTTCTCATTCATATCACAAGCTCTTTCCTTTCCTTTAGTATCAGTTTAAAATACCCTCTCTTCCCTATGGTTATTCCCTCCACGTAGGTCCTTGATTCCATCTTTGCCCATATCCTCAGGAGTCTCATTCCATCAGTCATAACTTCCGTGTATCTCCCACTCTACTGGAACATTCCCTTTGATCTATAACAAACTTTTTCCCCTTCTAAAGATCTTTCTTTGACCATGCGTTGCTGTCATGTTGTTGTTGCTGTTATCATTATTATTTTTTATTTAGTGCATAAAAATTTTCTAGGGGTTGTATGTTGTTGTTGTTGTTGTTGTTATTACTATTTGAGACAGAGTCTCACTCTGTTGCCCAGGCTGGAGTGTGATGGCACAATCTCAGCTCACTGCAACCTTCACCTCCTGGGTTCAAGCAATTCTCTTGCCTCAGCCTCCCATGTAGTTGGGATTACAGACACGTGCCACGACACCCAGCTAATTTTTTGTATTTTTAGTATAGATGGGGTTTTGCCATGTTGGCCACGCTGGTCTAGAACTCCTGGCCTCAGGTGATCCACCTGCTTCAGCCTCCCAAAGTGCTGGGAGCCAACACACCCAGCTGCTGTCATGTAATTATGATCTATAAATGGATCAATTGATTGAGCCTTCATCGCTCACTTTCTGTTAAAAATCAAACTTCCTGAAATTGTACTGCAATCTGATTTCCACCCATACCTCTCTTCTGAAACTATTTTCTAGAAAGCTGAAGTTAAACAATCTCTTAGCAGTTATCTTCTACCACACTTCCCTGAAACATTTTCCAGGGTTGATCACATCTGCAACTTTTCTGTGAGTCTTTAAATTATTTCAAAATAAGAAGTTTAATAATACAAAATAAAGAAAAGTAGGGAAAAAAAATCCTCAGGTGACCAAGAAGGGGGCAAGTGCTCTACGTTAGACCAACATACTCTCCAAGGAGACTGAATCTTGAGTCATTGACTCTTTTAAGATTTCCAAGACAGAAAACAATAGGCATTAATTCATCACCGCAGTGGTGCCCTGAAATGATTTTCTATTATCTTTCTACAAACTCCAAATGTATTTACTGGTTTACATGATAAAGACTATTTCAGCATGTACTGCATACCAGGCAGTATTCTGGGAGCTAAGAACATTAATAATAAAAAAAGGAAATAAAAAGTTCCTACCCTCATGGAACTAAGAGTCTAGTTGAATGACAATAAAGAAATATTACAATATGAAGGCCAGGTGCAGTGACTCATGCCTATAGTACCAGCACTTTGGGAGGCCAAGGCAGGCAGATCATTTGAGGTCAGGAGTTCACGACCACCCTGGCCAATATGGCAAAACCCCATCTCTACTAGAAATACAAAAATTAGCTGAGTGTGATGGCACATGCCTGTAGTCCCAACTACTTGGGAGGCTGAGGAAGGAGAATCACTTGAACCTGGGAGGCAAAGGTTGCAGTAAGCCAAGATTGCACCACTGCACTCCAGCCTGGGAGACAGATCGACACTCCATCTCAAAAAAATACCTACATTAATTAAATTTGGGTGCCCTGGGTTCTAGGATTGTACATGAACATGCCTAAAATTCATTAATTTGCTCAGAAAATATTTATTAACCATATAAGTGACAGAAAGTACGCTAGATGAAAGGAATAGAGAACTATTTTTTTAAATAAACATAGTCCCTACCATTGGAGAGCCTTCAATATAGAGGTGAAGATTCTCAAACCAAAGAAAAGTATAAAGACTATCATAACGGAGAACAGAATGTTATTGGAACAATTAATAACAACACCTAAATACAGTTTAGACCGAGTCAGGGAAAACCTCAGAAGGCAGTAACAGTGAGAACAAAAACTGATTTGGATTCAGGTAAGCAACCACAAGGCATAAGTATTTCAGGTAGAGAACAGCATATGCGTAGGTCCTGAGACAGGACAGCACACTGCGACTTCAGTGAACTGAAAACTGAGTATAGTTGGCCCTTGAACACCACAGCATTGAACTGTGTGGGTCTGCTTGCACATGAATTTTTTTCAACCAGACAGACAGAAAATACAGTTTTCACTGGATATAAAACCCTCATATACAGGGCCGGGCGTGGTGGCTCACGCCTGTAATCCCAGCACTTTGGGAGGCCGAGGCGGGTGGATCACGAGGTCAAGAGATCGAGACCATCCTGGTCAACATGGTGAAACCCCATCTCTACTACAAAAAATACAAAAATTTAGCTGGGCATGGTGGTGTGTGCCTGTAATCCCAGCTACTCAGGAGGCTGAGGCAGGAGAATTGCCTGAACCCAGGAGGCAGAGGTTGCGGTGAGCAGAGATTGTGCCATTGCACTCCAGCCTGGGTAACAAGAGCAAAACTCCGTCTCAAAAAAAAAAAACCCTCATATACAGAGGGCCAACTTTTCATATACGTGAGTTTCTGACACGTGTGGCTGACTGCAGGAATTGAGTATACACAGATTCTGGTATCTGCAGATGTCCGAGAACCAATGCCCCACATATACTGAGGGATGACTTACTGAGGGATGACTGAACACATAGTTGAAGTATGAAGAATAAAATTATTGGAATTAGAGCACTAAACATGGCAAGTCATGCTTAAAAGTTTGGGCTTTCTTCTAAGAGAAGCTAGAAAGGTTTTATAGACGAAATGAAATTTTAAATTCTTTTAGAATGACTTATAATGGTTACAATATTGTGAAATGGTGGGAGAGGCTGTGCTTTGAGGGCAATGTCATTTGGCAGCTGATATGGCATGTGAGGTCTGGTGGCAACAGGCCAATTCTTGTGCCCCAGGAAGATCCTAAAATACACGATGTTGACCATAAACTATTTTTAAAGGTATATTGGTAGTAAAAGAGAGATCAAGCTATTGATGTCCTGTGCTGTAATATTCTGGTTCTCTTGGACATGTCTAGGGGAGAAATGTTAGAGCTTTATTTCCCAATTCTTGGGATTCTTTCTCTGCTCCACCCTCTTACAGGTTTTAGAGAGTCACAAAGATCTGAACAAGCTACTCACAGGATGATGGATCAGCAGTTCCTATCACACCAATAAATCCTGGAGAAGTTGGCCATTACAACTGTTATGTTAGCTAAAAATAATGAATGCTTCATGTATATATATATCTGCGTGTATGTATATTTATGTTATATATTATATACATATGTACACACATGAATAGTATATATAAATATATATGCATCTATGTATATGTGTATATATACATATGTGCTTATATATTTCTTATAATTATACATAATTATACATGCAATATTTTATACACATATACACACACATAATTATCTAAATAGTATGTTGGAGCCAGGCTAATGCCTATAATCCTAGCATTTTGGGGAGCAGAATCGCCTGAGGTCAAACGTTCAAAACCAGCCTGGCCAACATGGTTAAAACCTTATCTCTACTAAAAATAAAATTTAAAAACTAGCCAGGTGGCCGGGCACAGTGCCTCAAGCCTGTAATCCCAGCACTTTGGGAGGCTAAAGCGGGTGGATCACGAGGTCAAGAGATCGGGACCATCCTGGTCAACATGGTGAAACCCCGTCTCTACTAAAAATACAAAAAATTAGCTGGGCATGGTGGCGTGTGCCTATAATCCCAGCTACTCAGGATGCTGAGGCAGGAGACTTGCCCGAGCCCAGGAGGTGGAGGTTGCGGTGAGCTGAGATCGCGCCATTGCACTCCAGCCTGGGTAACAAGAGCGAAACTCGGTCTCAAAAAAAAAAAAAAAAAACTAGTCCGGTGTGGTGGCGGGTGCCTGTAATACCAGCTATTCAGGAGGCTGAAGCATGAGAATTGCTTGAACCTGAGAGAGGGAGGTTGGAGTGAGCCAAGATCGCAGCACTGTATTCCAGTCTGGGCAACAGAGCAAGACTCCATCTCAAAAAACAATTTTTTAAAATAAAATTAAGGCCGGGCACGGTGGTTCATGCCTGTAATCCTAGTCAGGAGTTCAAGACCAGCCTGGCCATCATGGTGAAACCCCATCTTAAAAAATAATAATAAATAAATAATTAAATTAAATTAAATTAAAAAGTAAAGAATATGTTGATTGGTAATTATCACTCAAAATTTCTCCAAAAGCCACTTTAGGAACCTTTTGTGTTTCTACATATTATTAAAGTATTGGGTACTGCTACGGTTTGAATGTGTCCCTTAGACGTTCATGTGTTGGAAGCATAATTGCCATTTTAATAGTATCATTATGAAGTGAAACCTTTAAGAGGTGATTAGGTTATTTATTTTTAGAAGCCTGTTTTGCCAGTCAAAGTGGCTAACGCCTATAATCCCAGCACTTTGGGAGGCTGAGTTGGGTGGATTACGAGGTCAGGAGTTCGAGACCAGCCTGACCAATATGGTGAAACTCCATCTCTACTAAAAATACAAAAATCAGCCAGGCATGGAGGCATGCGCCTACAATCCCAGCTACTCAGGTGGCTGAGGCAGGAGAATCGCTTGAACCAGGGAGGAAGAGGTTGCAGTGAGCAGAGATCACACCACTGCATTCCAGCCTAGGTAACAGAATGAGATTCCATCTCAAAAAAATAAAAATAAAAAAAATAAGCAGCAGCAGTCTATTTGTTGAAAATTTTTTATTAAAAATAATTAGATATGTTTTTCTTCATAAAACTCTGTGATAAAACACCAGCCTCCACTCTTCTGAAATCTATTTTATTTAACAACAAAAACAAAAAACAACTTTGATTCTTAACCATAACACAATCACTGGATTTTATTTATTTAAATTTAAGAAATCCTCCATCTCATTCTTCAGCCTCTAGATTAAACTGAGCTCATAATTCAAACTTTTCTGCAAATCATCATTGGTTGAGTTATGTGTATATCTAAACATGTCTTTTATCTGAAGTTGTCAATTCCACCCTGTTCTGGGAGTTTTTCCCACAGGCACTTCTTCATACCAGCTCCTTTAGCCCTTCCAAAAATTTTGTGAATATCCAACGTTCTGCATTCAATTCTTTCCTGCTTAAAATATCTAGACTTATTTATTTTCTGCACTGAACTCTACTGAAAGAGTTGTCAAAAAATATTACTCGCCGGGCGCAGTGGCTCACACCTGTAATCCCAGCACTTTGGGAAGCCGAGGTGGGTGGATCACGAGGTCAAGAGATCGAGACCATCCTGGTCAGCATGGTGAAACCCCGTCTCTACTACAAATACAAAAAGTTAGCTGGGCATGGTGGCGCGTGCCTGAATCCCAGCTACTCAGGAGGCTGAGGCAGGAGAATTGCCTGAACCCAGGAGGCGGAGGTTGCGGTGAGCCGAGATTAGACCATTGCAACTCCAGCCTGGGTAACGAGCGCGAAACTCCATCTCAAAAAATATATATATATATTATTCATAGACTACTTGCTTTGTTGTTTTATATTTTACTGCTGGGTTCTGGGTGATTGAGGTTCTTGGACCAGCCATCTCTTTTTATGAATACTATTAGTTGTACACACGTGCACTAGTTTCTTTTTTTTCTTTTGTAATTTCTTTTTATTTTTTACAAATTATACCATGATAAAATTTGACAAAAATTATTCATGTGAAAATTTCCTTTAACATTTTATAAGTTAATCAAGTGTACACCACAATAAATTTTTGGTTGTTGTTTAAAGAGGGTGTTCTTGTGATTTTAGTATTATGCAACCTTAAGTTGAGACTACACTCAGAAATAAGCTTAAAAAATGGCATTACTAAAGATTGGGAATGAGCAGGTAAAAAACAAACAAAAACCACTCAGGGCCGTCATGCTGTAAAAAATCAGATGTTCTCACTGCCAAATCTTCAGTGCCACCAAACTTAAACCAGCCCTCCAAAAAAGATGAGGGTGTTCTGGATAAACACAGCAATTCCAGGGGATACTACAACTTTTTCTTTAGCAACATAACCTCCAAAAATAATCCACATAGATGCAATCAGAGATCCAAAGGCCAACATGAAACCAATAAACAGCCAGATAGCAGCACCTGTTTGACCCAGCCAACCTTCAGCGTTAACTATCACCTGGGACTTGTCCACTCGATACTGCATTAATTATTAGGAAGGCTATGGTTTCTTAAACACCACAGGCATGGTACGAGTGGTTGAAATCGTCCATGGGGGAATAAATGACAGCTGCATCTATGATAATCCCCCAGCCTGTAAAAAATAGTACACCAGCAGCAGTGGAAGCAATCCTATTGCCCTTCCCGCCCCCGCTCCCCCACATCAGTGCATTCGGAGCATCTCAAGCCCTCTAGAAATCCAGACAGTTTTTTCAGGTCAGTCCAGCCGCGTCGTGCAGTGGGTCTGGAGCCCGGTGTAGCGCCGTGCCGGCCGACCTCATTTCGCCGGTTTCAGCCAAGAAAATAAAACAGCCACGGCCTCCAGACCCGTGCACTAGTTTTCTATTGGTGCCACAACAAATTACCATAAATTTAGCATCTTAAACAACGCAAATTTATTATCTTACTGCTCTATAGGTCAGAAGTCCAACGGGGTCTCAAAGGGCTAAAATCAAGGCGTTGGCAGGGCCGTGTTTACTTCTGGATGCTCTAGAGGAAAATCCATTTCGGTGCTCATTTGGGTTGTTAACAATTCAATTCCTTAAAGCTGTAAGACTGTGATCCCTGTTTCCTTGATAGTTGACAGCTGAGCGTCATTAGAAGTCCTAGCTTCTAGCAGCCAAATTCATTTCTTGACTGTTTTTCCCTTTCCTCTATCTTCAAAGCCAGCAATGGCAGGCTGAACTCCTCTCACACTTCAAATCTGTCCTCTTCCTTCCTCATCTCTCTGACCCACTTGACCGCCTTCCTTTCCCACTTTTAAAGATTGAGGTGATTAGGCTGGGCCCACCCTGACAATGTAGGATAATCGATCTATCTCAGTGTCCCTAACCTCTATCATATCTGCAAAGTCCCTTTTGCCAGGTAAGGTATGTACTCACAGGTTCTGAGATTACAGTGAAAATGTTTTAGTGGGGTCAGGGGGGCATTATCCTGTCAACCTGACTCACACTTAAAAAACTCCAGCTTCTGGCCAGGCGCAGTGGCTCAAGCCTGTAATCCCAGCACTTTGGGAGGCGGAGGCGGGTGGATCACGAGGTCAAGAGATCGAGACCATCCTGGTCAACATGGTAAAACCCCGTCTCTACTAAAAATAAAAAAAGTTAGCTGGGCATGGTGGCGCGTGCCTGTAATCCCAGCTACTCAGGAGGCTGAGGCAGAAGAATTGCCTGAACCCAGGAGGCGGAGGTTGCGGTGAGCTGAGATTATGCCATTGCACTCCAGCCTGGGTAACAAGAGCAAAAATCCTTCTCAAAAAAAAAAAAAAAACAAAACTCCAACTCAGAGTCATTTGACATTAAAACTTTATTTTTTGCTTTGTTTTGTTTTGTTTTGAGAGGGAGTCTCGCTGTGTCGCCCAGGCTGGAGTGCAGTGGCATGATCTCTGCTCATTGCAACCTCCACCTCCCAGGTTCAAGCAAGTCTCCTGCCTCAGCCTCCCAAGCAGCTCGGATTACAAGCATGCACCACCAGACCTGGCTAATTTTTGTACTTTTTGTAGTGACAGGGTTTCACCATGTTGCCCAGGCTAGTCTCAAACCCCTGACCTCAAGTGATCCGCCCACCTCAGCCTCCCAAAGTTCTGGGATTACAGACATGAGCCACTGCACCTGGCCAACATTAAAATTTTAATGTCAGCTTATTGCCACATTCAGATATAGTTAATTAACTTTCAAAGCACTTCAAACAACTCATAATACTAATTACTGCTACCAATAATTATAACCATGATCTGGAAGCAGAGAATAAAATATAAAGCCTCAGGACATAAAAGTCAATAGGACAAGTTTCCACCACTTTTTCTTGCACTGAAACATAGCTGAGTAATAGCACCTATACTTAAACAGCACATTATAGTTTTACAAGTGCTTTGCATCCATTCTTGTATTTGTGCTTTACAATATCCCTGGGAGGCACACAAAACTGGGCAAGTCTACTATTCCCTTCTTACATATGAGAAAATGGGACTTCAGAAAGACTAAGTAACCTACTCAAGTATGTTAAGTATAAACTTTTCTTTCAGAAGTGACATTTAAGTGAGGGGCATGCATGGAGTAAATTAATAAGTGAACAATACATAGAAAACTAGCTGGTCTACAACTTCACAGGGAAAATGTTGACATTTAGAATATTTGTAGGAATGAGACAAAAACAATAGTATTTGCTGACTTGATTTGGAACAGTGTAACGATTAAGAGCTCCCTTTGGAGAGATCCCGAAATTACGCTTTTGTTTTTCAAGGTTTTCCACATCGTGAAGCTATGTTACCTAGTTCCTTCTTCTAAAGATGTACACAAAACAGATAGACACACAGATAGAAGGGGCACTAGAGGCATTCTGCCTGTTGGATCTTGTCCCTCTTACAAGGGTCCAATAGGGAATAGGAGTATAGAGACAAGCATACAAAACCATGCAAAAAAACAAATTTAAACCAAAAGTATGCAAAGCCAGCACCTATTTCTGTCCTACTACTAATAATTATACACAAAAAGATGGTCTTTAGTCTTTCTGGATTGTATCCTGATTCAAAGAAACTGTAAATTTTATAATCTATGATTAAGTGATTTTTCCAATTCTACCTCTCCCAAGGTAATCATACAAAATGAGAAAACAACTCTATTTGTCAGCATCTAACCCCACTCTTCCTTCTTTACCTTCCAGCTCCCGTGAGGGAGACGGGATGGTCAATCAGGTATTTGAATTTATTCCTTCGAACAGGGTGATGCCAGACATGGTCTACAAGGCGTGGAAGAGTGCCCTGGGAAAAAGCAAATACACATGAATACCCAGCAGAGGGCGCTCTAATCAAATGAAATTTATTAATAGTTTTGAGTAAGTACTTTATTTACAGTAAGGGCACTTGGATACTCTAAGGAATAAAAAGAGCAGAATTCTTATTAGATAGCCTAAAGACTAAAAGTAGAATAATTCTATAGCAAGTGAAAAACATTAAGAGTAGTAATGATTGGCCGGGCACGGTAGCTCATGCCTGTAATCCCAGCACTTTGAGAGGTCAAGGTAGGCAGATTACCTGAGGTCAGGAGTTTGAGACCAGCCTGGCCAACATGGTGAAACCCTGTCTCTACTAAAAATACAAAAAATTAGCCAGGTGTAGTGGCGGGCACCTAAAATCCCAACTACTCAGGAGGCTGAGGCATAAGAATTGCTTGCACCAAGAAGGTGGAAGTTGCAGTGAGCCAAGATGGGGTCACTACACTCCAGCCTGGGTGACATAGTGGGACTTTGTCTCAAAAAAAAAAAAAAGAGTTGTAACCATCATTTTAGTAAATCCACATAAAAACAGGTCAATGGAAATACTCAAGCCTTGGAAACAACTTACATAAAAGGCAAGTTTTCAATCTAAGAAATTACTTAAAGAAAAAATTTTAAGGCCAGGCATGTTGGCTCACACCTACAATTCCAGCACTTTGGAAGGCTGAGGTGAGTGGATTGCTTGACCCCAGAAATTTGAGATCAACATAGGCAACATGGCCAAACCCATCCTTACAAAAAATATAAAAATTAGCCAGGCATGGTGACACACACCTATATAGTCCCAGCTACTCAGGAAGCTGAGGTGGGAGGATCACCTGAGCCAGGGTAGTAGAGGCTGCAGTGAGCAACAGTCAGGCCAGTACGCTCAACCCTGGGTGACGGTACTAAGACCCGGTCTCAATCAATCAATCTGAAAAAATTTAAGCCTACCTGGAATATATAATATATTTGTAATAAATACTTAAGGAATCAGATTCCAAAAAAATAATGTTCTCCATTACTCTATATATATACATACTAACCTTCGGAGTTTTAATTTTCTTAGGAGGCAGTAAGTTTTCAGGACAAGGACCAGCATTGGCCGAATAGGTCAGAGAAAGAAGAACTTCTTCAGGAATGAACTCATTCTGAAGAGAAGTAGGAAGGGGTTTTGAACGATCCACCATATTTTTTTTCTCCTTTAGCTCAGGAAGTCCTAAGAAAGTAATGGAAAAGAAAAGCTCTTACTATATGTTTTTTAAGTTTGATGGAGCTTCTCAGACTGCCTCATCAATCCCATCTATTTGTTTCTAACAGAGAGAAACATTGCTTCTATTCGACAAAAATAGTAACAAATAACATTTTTTAAACACTGAACATCATCTAGTCAAGAGAAATAACACTCATCTTGCCTACCCTACTCACATTACATCAGATACAGTTTTAAAAACTCAAGTACAAAGATGAACCTGCATGATTCTCAATTCAAGGTTGAAAATTAAACTCACTTCTCTTGCTAACTGGGATAGCCTTAAGAAGATGGGAATGAATATCTATTTTCCCTTTCATATGAAAATGACAAATCTCTCTCCCAAGTTCTCAAATTATTTAGTAATTTTTTTCTTACATGAATTCAAAGGTGAGAATAATTGCATTAAACCGAGGCATTTATAGAGTGGAAAGGATCTGGGTTGGCTTAAAAGTAAAAATGGAGCCAGCTGCAGTGGTTTACGCCTGTAATCCCAGCACTTTGTTAGGCCAAGGCAGGCGGATCACGAGGTCAGGAGTTCAAGACCAGCCTGGCCAACTTGATGAAAGCCCATCTCTACTAAAAATACAAAAATTAGCCAAGCACAGTGGCAGGTGCCTGCACTCCCAGCTACTCGGGAGGCTGAGGCAGGAGAATCTGGGAGGCAGAGGTTGCAGTGAGCCAAGATCGCACCATTGCACTCCAGCTTGGGTGATAGAGCGAGACTCCGTCTCAGAAAAAAAAAAAAAAAAAAAAAGTAAAAATGGAACAGGGATTGTTGCAAATGAGAGTGGAATAATAATCTGAGCTGACCAATCTGTGGAATGGGAACTGTAAAGAGAGTTCTACCCTGCTTGACTAGGGCAGAGTAGTAATAAAGGCAGGTAGTAAGGCTAATATAGGAAAAGCCCTCCTATGAAGTCAGGCAGGCAGGGTTGAGTTGTCATTGTTCTTAATTCATGCCCCTAATACGGCATGGTTCATATTTATTTCTATAAGGAGGAAACATGCTTTGATCACTACCAAAAGTTGTTATGGTTTACGTTACCAAATCTGTCTCGCCGAGAGCTTGAGAGCAAAAGAAACAGAAAAAAAAAAAAAAAAGGTGGGGCTTGGGGCTTTAGCACAAGGTGCAAGTGAGATTGGGAAAAGCTTTAACAGAACACGGGGTAAGGATAACACTAGCTGATTTTTAACTCTAGTATAGATCTGCATATGAATGAAAATCTTAAGGAATTACTCTGATTTAGAAAAAGTACCAAAAACTGATACAAATTGACACGTTGTACTAAATTGCATTTCTCTTATCTCTGCTATTATTTATTTTGAGATGGAGTCTTGCTCTGTCCCCCAGACCAGAACGCAATGGCACAACATCAGCTCACTGCAACCTCTGCCTCCCGAGTTCAAGCAATTCTCCTGCCCCAGCCTCCCAAGTAGCTGGGACTACAGGCACGAGCCACCATGCCCGGCTAATTTTTGTATTTCCAGTAGAGATGGAGTTTCATCATATTGGCCAGGCTGGTCTCGAACTCCTGACCTCAGGTGATCCTCCCACCCCGGCCTCCCACAATGCTGGGATTACAGGCGTAAGCCACTCCGTCCAGCCTTGCCATTACTTTTTCAAAGTTCCTTAAAGCCAAAGACCAGGAACCAAAAAAACAAAACCAACTATTGATATTTAGGGTGAATTTAAAACAATATACAAATCTACATTTGAAAACAATTATACACAGTATTCAGGTGTAGTGGAACAGGATTCTGACTCAAAATACTGTAAAAGGAATGACTTCTTGTTTTATTTAAGCAAGTGTGTTAGAAAAAGTGTAGCTAATCAAGGCATTCTGAATCGCACATTTTAAAAACCGTCTGGGGCCGGGCGTGATGGCTCAGGCCTGTAATCCCAGCTCTTCGGGAGGCTGAGGCGAGCGGCCCACAAGGTCAGGAGTTTGAAATCAACCTGGCCAATATGGTGAAACCCCGTCTCTACTAAAAATATGAAAAAATTCACCAGGTATGGTGGCGCACGCCTCTAATGCCAGATGCTCGGGAGGCTGAGGCAGGAGAATTGCTTGAACCCGAAAGTGAAGGTTGCAGTGAGCCAAGATAGGGAGACTCCATCTCAAAAAAAAAAAAAAGGATTAATAGGTTATTTCTGCTTTACGGCCATGACCGTTTATGACTTCAAAATCATCGAAGTTTACCTCTGGTCTCTTCCTTGGTTACTGATACTTTTAACATTTTGCTCTCAGATGTTGATGCAGAGTTTAGCGGGTTGGAGGGCGTTTTCGGAAGGGACATAATAAACACTGCCACCTATCACTTTTTTTAGTAATTTGAAATAGTCCTCTGGAAAGCTAATTTAGACACAAATCAGCGCCGCACTGGGACTTGCAGGCTGTCACGTAGTCCTGAAGGCAGAGGAAAAAAGAAAAAAAAAAAAAAAAAAAAAAAAAAAAAAAGACGACACCCATTAAGTACTTAGGTTCAGATCGCAGTTAAGAATTCATCTAGGGCCGGGCGCGGTGGCTCAAGCCTGTAATCCCAGCACTTTGGGAGGCCGAGGCGGGTGGGTCACGAAGTCAAGATATCGAGACCATCCTGGTCAACATGGTGAAACCCCGTCTCTACTAAAAATACAAAAAATTATGGGCACGGTGGCACGTGCCTGTAATCCCAGCCTCAGGAGGCTGAGGCTGGAGAATTGCCTGAACCCAGGAGGCGGAGGTTGCGGTGAGCCGAGATCGCGCCATTGCACTCCAGCTGGGTAACAAGAGCGAAACTCTGTCTCAAAAAAAAAAAAAAAAAAAAGAATTCCTCTAGCATGCTTTACCTTCTTCGGGGCGACCGTTATGTTGTAGCGTCATCTGACGCGATTAAAAAGCCTTAGCGGACACGTCAGGTCAGGGTCGGAGCAGGGTGGGAAGGACCCGCTCGGCTGCCGCCTGCACCCCTGACGGGCGCCACTCGCCGCAAATGGCTCGGCTGGGGACCCCGACGTTCCCCACAGGCAGCGCTCTCGCGTGCCAGTTCCACAAACTCGCGAGCTGGACAGGGCTCGCACTGTTTCTTGATTTAAAATGACAGGAAAGGGACCCCCACTACCCTACCCACACATTGCGTTGCCACCCGGCAACCAGTCACTTCGCCCTTTCCTAGGACGCTTGTTTGTCGTTATAGAAACCCAGGACCCCGCGGCTTAGTGGCCTCAATAGGGGCTGCCTTCGGCGGTGCCGGTGGAGGAGGGAGACAGCTAAGACAATCCCTTCAGCCTCTTGGGGTTTCTTGTGTTCTAAATCACAGCATAGGTTCAGCAGTAATGGAGAAGAAAAAGGTTTAATCCGGCCGTTGTCACAGAATCCGAAAGTGTCTCAGCCCGGGCTTCCGGCCGCGGGCCGGGTCAGTGCGCAGGCGCCGGCGGCGGCTCGCTGGAGGGGCGGACCCTTGTGGCTCGTGACGCACGCGGGTTATGCAAGGGTCTTCTAAGAGTTGTTTCCATCTCTCCAGCTCTCTTTTTTGTTGCTTTGCATATTTTTCTTTCTGTTTCTTTTCTTTTGAGACGGAGTTTCGCTTTTGTCGCCCAGTCTGGCGTGCAATGGCGCGATCTCGGCTCACTGCAACCTCCGCCTTCCGGGTTCAAGGATTCCGCTTTCTCAACCTCCGGAGTAGCTGTGATTGCAGGCGCCCGCCACGACGGCGGACTAATTTTTGTATCTTTAGTAGAGACAGAATTTTACCATATTGGCCAGGCTGGTCTCAAACTCCTGACGTCAGGTGATCAGCCCGCCTCGGCCTCCCAAAGTGTTGGTATTACAGGCGTGAGCCACCGCGCCCAGCAGCTTTGGATATTTTTCTAAAAGCCAGACTCAGGGGGAAGTTGGGTAATAAGAAACTGGGTCCCTTATTGGGTAAACCGTCAGGTTCTTTGCATTTCGGTCACATCTTCGTTGGACCCTTAAACGCCTCCCAGAGCACAAGGAAGGTCTCCTGGGTCCAGATTTTTCACCTCCTTGGCGCAGTGAAGGAGGATTGAGGTTAGGTGGAACCAGCTCTGGTAAAATTGTCGGGTCTTCTGGCGGAAAAACCTGCTCTCAGGAAATAAAACCATCAGCGCCTTGGCTCCGAACTGAGGCACGGTCCGGTTAGGGATCCTTTCATATGAAGGCAGAGATTTAGTGCCAAATAATGAACCTGCGGGAGAAGCCCAACGTCTAGATGCTTCCAGACCTGGAGGAAACTTTATCTTAATCGCCATATTCCTTAGCACCTAGTACAGTGCCTGGACAAACGTGAAAATCAGTTGGACAGTTCAGTGTTGACAGAATTAAGGTTGTTTTTTGGTTTTGAGAGGAGGGTTTTGGAGAAGGTTCAGTTTAGGACTTGTGGATATATTGAGTTTACAGTAAGATTGAGATATCTGGTTGGGAAATGGGAAGTAACTGTTTGATTAATACATGGATCTGAAGCTCTCAGCAAAGGGTTAGGTTAAAGTTGAATGGATGAGGCAGGGCGCGGTGGCTCATGCCTGTAATCCCAGCACTTTGGGAGGTTGAGGCGGGCGTATCATTTGAGGTCAGGTCCAGACCAGCCTGATCAACACGGTGAAACCCCGTCTCTACCAAATACAAATACCAAATTCAAAAAATTAGCTCAGTGTGGTGGCGCACGCCTGTAGTCCCAGCTACTCGGGGGGCTGAGGCAGGAGAATCACTTGAATTTGGGAGATGGAGGTTGCAATGCCATCGTACTCCAGTCTGGGCAACATGAGGGGGAAGGGAGTGGGGGGAGGAAGTGGGTAAGTGACTGGGATTACTCATGCTTGAGTAATCTCAGCACTTTCAGAGGCTTAGGCTAGAAGATGGCTTGAGACTAGGAATTTGAGACCAGCTTGGTCTCAAATTTTATCTTATATTTATTTATTTTTTGAAATGGAATCTCACTCTGTTGCCCAGGGTGGAAAGGCAGTGGTGTCATCTCAGCTCACTGCAACTTCTGCCTCCCAGGTTCAAATGATTCTGTGGAAACTTAGCCTCCCAAGTAGCTGGGATTACAGGCATGAGCCACTACACCTGGCTTATCAACTCATTTTCTAAGTACGTGGGCAGGGATTTATACACACATCTGCAGGCACTTAGAGCATGCAAAGCTCCCTAAAGGAATGAGGGGGAAGTAGGCCAATATTTGTATTTAATATACCAAAAAAAAAAAAAATTAGAAACTTTTGCTTTTTATTATTTTTGACAGAGTCTCACTCTTGCCCAGGGTGGAGTGCAGTGGCACGATCTAGGCTCACTGCCTCCCAGGTTCAAGCAATTCTGCCTCAGCCTCCTGAATAGCTAGTATTACAGGCATGTCACCATGCCCTGCTAACTTTTCTTTTAGTAGAAATGGGGCTTCACCATATTGGCCAGGCTGGTCTCCAAATCCTGACCTCAAGTGATCAGCCCGCCTTGGCCTCCCAAAGTTCTGGGATCACAGGTGTGAGCCACTGCACCAGGCCTCCAATTAGCAACTTTTAAAAGCAGGCACTGAGAAGGAAATCTAGGCACTACTCAGCCGAACATTTTCCAAGGCAAAGAGTAGCTTCTAGTATTGCTTCTACACAAGAAGGGCATCCCTAAAACTGAATGAGGCCTCAGACTTTATCATTCAGTTCACATATGGACGTGCCTACAGGAAAAAATATTCTTTTGTCTTGCTCATGTCTTCAGTGCTTGGCACAGTACCTGGCAAATGATTATGCAGTATTTGAGAATAAATTAATCTTGCTCATTGTACAACAACTTATAGAAGTTGGGCTTCTACAACAGCAAATTCAATGATTGTACCAACCTTGGGTATGCTACTCTGAGTGATTTCTCATAGTAAATTTACAAAGTTATATCAGTTTTATAAATCAGATGCATGAATTTGGTTGAGTCCAAATGATAGCCATCCAAGCCTAAAGGGACTCTTAAGTTTTTATAAATTCGTCAGAAAAAATTCTGGGCAGGGTGTAGTGGCTCATACCTGTAATTCCAGCACTTTGTGAGGCTAAGATGGGTGGATCACAAGATCAGGAGTTCGAGACCAGCCTAGCCAATATGGTGAAACTCCATCTCTGCTAAAAAATATTTTAAAATTTGCCAGAGAGGAAGGTGTATGCCTGTAGTCCCAGCTACTCAGGAGGCTGAGGCAGGAGAATCGCTTGAACCCAGGAGGCAGAGGTGGCAGTGAGCCGAGATGGCGCTACCGCACTTGAGCCTGGGCGAGAGTGACACTCCATGTCAAAAAAAAATTCCAAAACTATGGCTTTGCCCCTAGCAGCAACGAACAGCTGCGATGGCCAAGAAACAGGGGCAGAGTTAACTTCTGAAGGGATTTCTCCCTTCCCACTCCTCTGGCACTGCACAGCCAAGTGTGTATAGCTAGGTCATCAAGGGTAACTAGAGAGTACTCCTTGACTGTTGCTGTAATATGTGCTTCACCAGACAAAATGTTGCAGTGTGAAGTATTCATTGTAATAGTCTCCTATTATGGGTAGATTCTTTGGAGAAAGGGTGTCTTCGTCTGAGCTGCTGTAACAGAATACCTAGGACTGGGTAATTTATAAAAAAGAAAAATTTGTCCGGGCACAGTGGCTCATGCCTGTAATCCCAGCACTTTGGGAGGCTGAGGCAGGTTGATCACCCTGAGGTCAGGAGTTCAAGACCATGCTAGCCAACATGGTGAAGCCACAGCTCTACTAAAAATACAAAACTTAGCGGGGCATGGTGGCCGACACCTGTAATCCCAGCTACTCAGGAGGTTGAGGCAGGAGAATCACATAAACCTGGGAGGCAAAGGTTGCAGGGGCTCATGCCACTGCACTCCAGCCTGGATGACAGAGCCTATATCAAAAAAAAAAAAAAAAAAAAAAGCACTGCCTTCATAACAGCACATTGGCAATAGTTGAATTTTGGAGGAGACACATTCAAATGATAGCAGAGGTGAAACAACCTATCTTGCTCCAAAACTGGGTTTCCCCTAGTCTTAAAAGGCATACTTCCTAGCCAGCCACTTCTTACTTTTCATTAAAAACCTAAAGTCTATTTCTACTCAATGGACGTAGAGACGTGCTTTCTTAGATCCCTTCACAGGTTTGGTTTTGTCTTTGAGACGGAGTCTCGCTCTGTCGCCCAGGCTGTAGTGCAGAAGTGTGATCTGGGCTCACTGCAACCTCTGCCTCCCAGGTTCAAGCGATTCTCATGCCTCAGCCACTCAAGTAGCTGACAAAACAGGTGTGCACCATCAAGCACAGGCAATTTTTGTATTTTCAGTAGAGATAGGGTTTATCATGTTGGCCAGGCTGGTCTCGAACACCTGACCTCAGGTGATCCACCCACCTTGGCCTCCCAAAGTGCTGGGATTACAGGCATGAGCCACTGCACCCCAGCCCCTTCACAAGTTTTAAAAGGCCAAGAGCAAAAGGAATCAAGGAACAAATAACCTCAGGAGAAAGAGGTGGCAGAAGAATCACTGTCACTGCTTTTCTTGATGCAAGTACGAAGTGACAATTGGGCCCCACAATTTCTTTGTAGTCTTTAACACAGTCCCCCTTCATTAACCTGGACAAGAAAGTCCTGGTCAGTTATTTGCCTCCTCTTTTGGGAATAGTCAGCATACAAAGCTGCCTGGTATTAAGATGAACAGCATTTATGAACATGAACCATAGAGTTAACACTGAAAACACTTGGAAGTTACTTTTAAAACAGACTTGGTTTCTGTCCAGGACTTGCAGGGGGAGGCAGGAATAGGATTCGGGAAAAGAATATACAAGAATGAATCAGAAAAGACATCTTTATCTATAGAACCTTTAATAAGAACTTCAGATTTACATGACCCTTCTGCTGCTCGGAACACTGTGGATTAACACACAAACTGGAAAGATACAGACGCAGGAATCTGCCGCACTACCCCCAAATGGCAGAGTCTTGATTCAGGCTTCAGCTCCTTTCCCAACCCCAAATTGGCACATTTTCCCATGGAAATTCAAACTGCATCTCTAAACGATGGGGTGCATGAACTGTCTGTTTCAAAGGTATTTAAAAACAAACAGGAAGTTCAACTACCATTTCATTCCTAAAATGCCACCACAAAGCATGGTGCGGTGTCTACTAGCTTAAAAAGTTTATGACTCCATTAGGGCTTACTGACAGCAGAAATGTGAATGTAGGAGAAATAAGGAAGAGAGTACTCTGGAAAAAAAAAACAGAAGAAGTCTTAGATTTTTTAAAACTTTAATAATATGCTTGACTAATTTAGTTAAAAGTGATAGGCACTCGTGAAATTAACCCAATTTAAGTCCAAATTAGCTATTAAATCTTTATATTTTACCAAAAACATACAAGGATTTAGTAGACTGTATACATAACTTTCATACCAACCTAAAACTTATCAACTTTATTGTTACTGTCTAGTGATTTTCAAACTAGGCATGAAATTCAGGGTGGGAAACAAGGGATACACGTTCTGTTTCAACTAGGGAGGCTGCATGTTATCCCCTCTTTAAACTGGGCTTATGTGTAACTTGTTTTCTGAAACAGGGTCCCGCTCTGTTGGCCATGGCTCTGAAATGGAGGGAACTGGGATGTAAATGTTTTGAGGAATAAAGTGGTGTGGTCATGGGTCACAGGTCACTGAGCCTCGATCTCTCAGCTTGAATCCATCTTCCCACCTCAGCCTACTGAGTAGCTGGGAATACAGCGTGTACCACCATGCTGGCTAGTTTTTGTATTTTTTGTAGTGACAGGGTTTTGTCATGTTTCCCAGGCTGGTCTCAAACTTCTGAGCTTAAGCAATTCTGCCTTGGCCTCCCAAAGTACTGGGATTACAGGCATGAGCCACCACAACTGGCTATATGTAACATTTTATTTCAACAAAGTGTCCCAACACTGTATTACCTGATAGAAACTATAATAATTTTTAAAACCAGTCAAATCCTTATATAAACTTCACTCAAAACAGTCACTTTATTCCTCAAAACATTTATATCCAGTTCCCTCCATTTCCAAGCCATAAAGCCTACAGATAAGATACATACAATGACCACAGCAGATCTTTGTGCGTATACAGTGTATATATACATACCATAAGTAGCATTGCATTAGGTATTACATAAATGACATGAAATTTTGCATAAGATTAGTAAGCACGTCACTGAAACTTTATTAACAAAAGGATGGGCCTAGCATGGTGGCTCATGCCTGCAATCCCACTTTCAGCAGTGGGAGGTTTGCTTGAGGGGAGGAGTTTGAGCTGGGCAATATAGTGAGACTCGATCTCTACAAAAAACAAAGAAAGTAGCTGGGTGTGGTGGCAGGCACTTGTAGTTAGTTCTAGGTATTCCAGAGCACTTTTTGAGTCCAGGAGTTTGAGATTGCAGTGAGCTATGATCATGCTACTACCCTCCAGCCTGGGTAACTGAGCAAGACCCTATCTCTTTAAAAACAGAAACACAAAAAAAGTATGAGCTATCTTCCATTAAAAAATTTACTCTGGAGCCAGGAGCCATGGCTCACACCTGTAATCCCAGCACTTTGGAAGGCTGAGGCAAATAGATCCCTTGAGTCCTGGAGTTTGAGACCAGTGTGGGCAACATGATGAAACCCCGTCTGTACAAGAAAAAAACTGGCCTGGGCAACACACCAAGACTCTGTAAAAATAATAATAATAATAATAAAGCAACCTCAGTTTTCTAATTAAATTCTAACATGAGGCAAGCAACTTTACCCGGACAGTTGTAGTTACATGAATCTACTAACAAACAAAACAAAATTCCATTTTGCATCATTATCCAGGATTGACAATGAAAGAGTCTAACATAAGGTACTAGAAGCTCAAGTTAGAGATCTAATGAGAAAGTGAAATACAGACTACATAGTTGTTCTTTTGGTTAAGATGCCCAAAATAACAGTTACTGTCATTACTACATCTTACAGAAACAAAAAGTTTATTACTTTTCAGAAGGAAAAAAGTATAAGTGAAAATAATTTTCAGCACAAGAGCAAAATAGAAAAAAATAGATCTTCCTGGAACACATTAGCAAGAGATGTTAGTTTTTATTGGTTTAAAAAGTACAGGTGATGGTTTCAAGAAAAGACTTTTGCTAAAAGCAGCTAGCAATAAGATTATGGCTATCAAACCATTTCTTTCACAGAAAGTGACCATTCTTTAAAGTGTTTACTGTTTTTGAAAGTTTCTTAGAACAGTCTTAACATTCTAAACAGTCTGTAGTTCTACATGTCATTTGTTGTCACAATCTTGGACAGAAAAATCACTAATAAGAGGAAGCAGAGGCCAGGCACAGTGGCTCACGCCTGTAATCCCAGCACTTTGGGAGGCCGAGGCAGGCAGATCACAAGGTCAGGAGTTTGAGACCAGCCTGACCAACATGGTAAAACCCCATCTCAATTGCAAATACAAAATTTAGCAAGGAGTGACAGCGCCTGCCTGTAATCCCAGCTACTCAGGAGGCTGAGGCAGGAGAATCACTTGAACCTGGGAGGTGGAGGTTGCAGTGAGCCGAGATTGTGCCATTGCACTCCAGCCTGGGCAACAGAACAAGACTCCATCTAAAAAAAAAAAAAACAAACAGGAAGCAGAGAACTTTTTGAAAAATAGCCTTGATCAATCCAGCAAATACAATATTCAGAAACACTCCAGAGCAACAAAGTCTTCTCATAAGAGTCACATCTACAGTATTTTTTAACAGAAATATAAACCTAAAACTTCCATTCTCTAGAAAAGATTGGCTTACTCATAACCAAGTCTTAGACCAATCTGTTCTCAATATATTTAAAATGCAGTTATAAATTCAAGAGACTGATTCATTTTAAGAAAAATGCCAATAATTACAAGCCATATTAAAGCAACGAGTTAGGAGGTTATGGTTCCATTACAATTACAATACTGTGGTGCAGAACACTACTATGGGAACATGCAGAATACTTTTTAAAAATAACCTCCTTTGAGGTGTATTTGTGTCCACTGAAGTTGGATTTAATATTTGAAGGTTACCTAAACTGGGCCAATGGTATCATGAAGAAGATACATGATTAAGCTGGATACCTGTGGTTCAAATTAAGTTAGGAGTATTAACTCTACTTACCTTCTTAGGAGACTCAAACTGACATGAAAACAATTTGAACAATACCAAGAGAGGCTCTCAAGTGGCTGTCCCAAGTAACAACAATCACTTAAATTATTCATAAATCTTACTTCTTTGGATGGAAGGTTGAACTACATGGTCTCTAATGCCCCTTCCAATGCTCAGTCTTTACAATCGTACCCCATACATACAAAAAAAATAATTCCTACACACATTGTATTAGAAATGGGCATCTTATAAAATCAAAGTATTACATAATAGAGTACATTTCCTTGAAACCAATCATATATTAATTTATTCTACCTAACAACATACTACCGTTAAAAGTATAATAATTGACCAAATGCAGAAGCCAGCTTCTGCATCCTTAATGATCACTTTAATAGGGGTGGAGGTGATTAATACTTATGTTACAGACTCACTAGTCTGCAAAATAATTCAAGATAAATCAATATTTATTAGACAATAAAATAATTGTTCCAAAGGATATTTCTAAATAACTTCAAAGAAGTTATTACCAAAAAGTTAAAAAGGAGTATCTTCCATGGTAAGTCTGTGATAAAATAATTTAAACACATGATTGACTCTACAAATCTTTTTTACAAATTACTTTGGAAGTTAAATAAGAGGAAATGTTTTTCTTTTTCCTCTGCTACTTCTTTTGTCCTTCCTACTTCTGATCTCCTTAATATACAGTATTATTGATGTAAACGCAGTAATTCATGGTAAAAGGCATCTTTTTGCTTCATAGAAATCATGACCTACAGATAAAACAAGGTAAAAACTGAGGAGAACTAAACTTTTTCCAAAAAAATTACAAAATAGGATGTATAACATTATCTTTGGAAAACATATTTTCTTTCTACTAGAAATAGCAAAAATCTATATTTTTTCTTCCCCAATTGCATGTTTAATCATCATACATTCCAACAGTGTGCACGAAAAAAATTCTCAGCCAGAGGTATTTAAGTGATTTCTTCATAAGTATTTTGGCTAATTCAGTGGCCAAGAAATGATGATGTTTAGTCTCTGATTGGATGGAGTCAAGAAACAAAACAGATATAATGACCAAGGGATAGAGCTGATATGACCCAGCAACAATCTGTCAGTACTTCGGCTATTAGTCTGCCTTCTCTCCCCCTCCCACCCCCACAAGAAAGCTGCTCTGCTTAAGTGTACAAGATTCCAGTGAACTTCCAACAGTTCTGCTTCAAGTGACCGAGGAATTGGAGGGAGTCATCTGTAAAGCCTGGAGTGGTCCAAATAACACAGATAACTTCAGTAACAGCTGGAAACAGCTGGCTCCAAATCAGGGAGAATACCCAGTCTTCAGTGACAAGGAGGAAACAAAGTCCAAGCTTCTAAAACACGTAACGACAAGTCCAGGAACGTGGCCGGACATAATCCAAAAATGTGGGCTATATGGGGAAAAATAAAAAAAGAAAAATAATTTATTTGTGTACAGAGTAGATGAGGTGAGGAGGTAGACGGGTATTAATATTATACATTGTACATCTCTAAAATGCCTCCCACCATTTCAATAACCCTCAAGGTATTCCAAAAGATGTTCAGTACTTTTATCTATAACACAGATTTATTCAATTTAAAAGCTTCATGTGAAGCATCTAAAGTCCAGTAAACTATATACAATTGCATGGACTTTTGACCAGTTTCTAAATAGGCACTATTTCTTTCTGCATCTTTTATTTTAGCACAGCCATACTTTTAGTACCTTAAAATCTAAATGGTGGTTAAGGATGACAAATATATATATGACAAATATATGTATGAATATATATGACTAATACAAGGTTTAAAATTACTGATCTAAAGGAGGAGCAGGTGAAGCACTACAAAAGTTCAGAAATAGAAAGAGAGGAAAGCAAGAATTTGAAAAATCTTCATGGAAGATGTGGCATCCAGACTGGATTTTGCTAGGGGAATAAAATCTAACATGTGGAATCCGGTTGACCAGGGACAGTCAAGAGCAATTAGTTCAGATGCATAAAGGAGATTAATAGGAAATAAGGAGGGAGAGTTGAGGCAACCTAACAAAAACAGGGTACACAGAAAGAGGGGAACCTTTGGAGAGACAACTGATTAATTTTATTATGGACATCTTCAGTTACAGGTGCCTATAAGAAATACCCAAGAAATATATCAAGAAGGCAACCCCTCTGAACCTGGAAAGTTGTAGGGATTGAATGACATCTTAGTAGGGCCACCAAATTTAGCAAATACAAGTACAGGATGACTAGATGAACTTGAGACAAACAACTCTATCTGCCGAATTTTTTGTAATTTACTGAAAAAGGTAAAATAAAAGACATTTAGGGTATTCTAAGAAAGCCAATACAGGAGGCAGGACAAAAGTATTAAATACAGGATATGTCCTATATAAACAAGAGCCTGGCAATCCTACTTCTTAGGGTGTTTTCATCATGAAATTCTATCCATAACTATAAGCAGTACATTCAGCTAGTGCTAGTTGATCTAATTAACTAGATCATATCAATTAAATTAACCAGAGTGTTTGCTGGGAAATTCCTCAGTTTATGTTCTATACTATGTTACTTGAAAATAAAATTCTTTAAAAAAAATAAAAGCATCCTCCTAAAATGGGTACCCATGTATAGCTAAAAACTAAAGTCCTAGGAATAAATTAAACCTGAATTACCAAAAACAAACAAAAAATAGAATCAAGAGAAATGAAAGGCATCTCAGTGTTGTCCAATATATTTAAATGAGTTTATTTAGAAGAGGCTAAAAAAATAAATAAATAAAACAAGCTATGTTTTAGGTGGTGGTAGTAGGGACATACATGGCATTAGGAAAACCCTAGAGAATATTTTTAGTTCCAGGAGACAGAAAATTAGAAGGGGCTAAAGAAAAAGCAGTAAAAGAAGAAAACCAAAAACTAGGGTTAAATGTGAAGAAAACTAAAAGAAAGGAGAAACTTCAAGGACAAAATCAGATAATAAACTAATGCTTTTACTACTCATTTCCTTCTCTTTAACACTAATTCATCATAATCTCCACTACTATCCTCCTCAACATTGCCCACCAACTCTCATAATCAGAGGACAAACAGCTTCTTTTGCACACCAACCAGATTGGTGACTCACATTTTTCAGAGGACAGTGCTGACGTGCATACCACTCTTGAGAATAAAAGCAGAGCAGGACTCCATTGCCCAAGAAAAGGGAAGTCCACATCAGAACATTCCAAATTGGCTTTTTCCGACTATCATTGACGATGAAGTTGAAAGCCACTAAAGACAGGAAGTCAACAAAGAAATATACAGTTATCAGAGGTCAGAAGTTCAAGACCAGCCTGGCCAAATGGTGAAACCCCATCTCTATTAAGTATACAAAAATCAACTGGGCGTGGTGGTGTGTGCCTGTAATCCCAGCCACTTGGGAGGCTGAGGCAGGAGAATCACTTGAACCCAGGTGGCAGAGGTTGCAATGAGCTGAGACTGCACCACTGCTCTCCAGCCAGGGTGATGAGAGTAAAACTCTGTCTTAAAGAAAAAAATAAACAAAAGAAATATGCAGTTATCAAAACATAATTTATCAGAAGATGAGGGGCCTCAGATATCTGCTGTTATCATCTAATAATCACAGTGAGTATCAATTGTTTTTATATATGTATTTTTATTCTGGTCACTGTTTCTATAGAGAAAAATAAAGATTCAGTGTTAAAATAAGTAACAAGAAATCAGTGTTTTCAGAACATGTGCATATATATTTCATGGAATTAGAATATTCATATTCTAACTTTTCCTTCTCACTCAAATGGTCAGTTTTCCAGAAGATACATATTGACAATGTTTATGAATGGGAAAGCTATTTACATATATAACTTTTATGACCTACCAAATTGGTGTCATCGATGGTCTTCATGAGATTACCTAGTTCATTTCCCTACTTCAAAGTGTAAAGATCCGGAGATGGAGCTGTGTATAATTATTCAAAGTCAATATTCTGACCATCTGATAAACAAGTACTACCTTAAAATGTTACTATTACTAACTAGTTCTCCTACATTGATATATATAGTTCCCTTTCTATTTGGTTTTCTCTTTTAGCATGGTTAGTACCCAGTGCTCACATGCCAAGATACTTACTTCCAAAGAACATGAAGAGCACGAAGAGCACGGGATAGAAAAAGCTCAAGCAAACAGCCAAGGCATATTCGTGCACTACAGCAGATACCGCAAAAACAGCTAACATGGCAGCAGATTTGAATCTCTTAGAGAAAAACTCAAGAAAAAAAAATTACAAAGTACTTTTAAAAATTTAAAACAAGCATGAACTACATGGTACATAAAATTATCATATGCTAAAGGCATCTAATTATATTTGTACTTCATTTTCTAAGTCTACTCCTTAAATTAATCCAAGCCTATTAAAATAATTACAACTCATATATACTTACAAACTTTTATTATGTTCAAAGATCTAAGTCTACTTTCAAAAACATCAATACCTTATGTTTGTAAGTTATTATAATTGACAAACATAGTTTTCCTATATAAATGAAACATATCAAATTTCGGTCTTTAGAGTAACACTGTATGGTAGATGGGGCAAGTGTCCTCTCCTGTTTCACATGTAACAAAACTAAGATTTCAAAAGGAGACGGGACTTGCCTTATCCATATGTGAAACTACACTTGAATGACAGAATTAGCACTCAAATATTAACACAATGCTATTTGCACCAGAAGATGGTGTCACTAAGCCAAATGGTGCCCTCACTTAATAAAAACTGTAATCCAGGCTGGGCGCGGTGGCTCAAGCCTGTAATCCCAGCACTTTGGGAGGCCGAAGCGGGTGGATCACGAGGTCAAGAGATCGAGACTATCCTAGTCAACATGGTGAAACCCCGTCTCTACTAAAAAAATACAAAAATTTAGCTGGACATGGTGGTGCGTACCTGTAATCCCAGCTACTCAGGAGGCTGAGGCAGGAGAATTGCCTGAACCCAGGAGGCGGAGGTCGCGGTGAGCCAAGATCGCACCATTGCACTCCAGCCTGGGTAACAAGAGCAAAACCCCGTCTCAAAAAAAATAAAATAAAATAAAAACTGTAATCCAGACACCATTGTTAATCAACCAGGAGATTCAAGATTACATCTCATCAGTCTAAGTATATTCTGCTCTAAAGAATGTCTCAAAGCCAGGTGTCACTGATTGGAGAGAGATAAATCCACACAAAGGTATTTCTCACAGAAAAGTGTTTCTCTACCTTTAACAAAGAAAAACAAATGAAAAAGACCAGAGGGAGATTATTTGTTGGCAATAAAAAGAAATTATCCATTATTGGTGGATCATTTCAACTTCTCCAATGACCTCCATGCACTCTTACATTGTTATGTAAGATAAAAGCCAAAGCAAAGACACAGTATTAGACCTGCTACGGTACACAGTGGTTTCTAAGCAGTACTAAAATAGGCAGGTTTCCAGACCTAAATGACTCAAAAGAAAACTGAAAAGATACCATCACCCTTGCATCATGAGCAATTCAGTGTAACTTCTTCCAGCTGATAATACTAATACTTTATGAAAAATAATTCCATTTCTTAAATAACGTCAACTTAATCTTGCTGCTTACCCAGAGAAAGTCCTTGTAAGCATAGTAATACAGCCAGTCATGGACAACCACATTCCAGGTTCTGTAATAGTTAGAGTATGATGTGGAGTTCCACCAATCCTGAGGGAAAAAGTAAAGGTGTAAAACTACATATACACACATGCTCCAAAAGCAAAACCTCTGACTTTCCCAAAGAACACATGTAGCAAAAAAAACAGAGTATACTGTGATAAAATGTTGGTTCATATACTGATGACAGAAAAATCTTCAAAGGCATTTTGGTTATTAGTGTTGAATATGACATGAATTCTCATACTGTATATGATTAAGTTCCTAGGTTCATACAGAACACACAGAATCATTTAAATCTAATGCTCATCTAAACAGCAGTCAGTAAACCTCACCCACCTTACCTTGCTAGAATGTCATGAGAAAACTCTATGGTCATGAAGACCAGATAGAGTGCTAACACTAGAGAGCTGTTTGGTGGTTATCATAACTGGCAAAATTTAAGTTACCCAGTGAGATCGTGGCTACCGCAAAGTCCTGGTGTCCCTATATATATATATTTCTTGCTCCCAATTTTAAGATCAGATGAATGAAATCAGATACCTAAAATCTGCAATCCACACTTAATGTTTCTTCGAGAAAAAAGTTGATAGAGTGTTATCAAAAACAACCAAAACTCAAAGAACTTTAGGTAGGGTTATAGGCCGGGCGCAGTGGCTCATGTCTATAATTACAGCACTTTGGGAGGCCGAGGCAGGTGGATCATGAGGTCAAGAGATCGAGACCACGCTGGTCAACATGGTGAAACCCCATCTCTACTAAAAATACAAAAATTAACTGGGCATGGTGGCACGCACCTGTGTTCCAGCTACTCGGGAGGCTGAGGCAGGAGAATTGCTTGAACCCAGGAGGCGGAGGTTGCAGTAAGCCAAGATCGTACCATTGCACTCCAGCCTGGGTAACAAGAGCAAAACTCCGCCTCAAAAAAAACAACAGAGGAGGGATAAGTTATTTCCCTCATGAACTGCTCAGTTGTCTTAAATGGAATAATTTGCTGAGGTCATTTCTACAGAACTAGACGGTCCATTTCAAATGAATGAACACTCAGGGAAGTCTCATGGTGTGCTCTGAACAAATACTTTCCTACCGTAATCACCAATATATCCTCGAAGGATCCAGCAGAAACCATGTGCTTATGTTAAGGGAGCAGATATTAGAGTCTGAAGAAAACACAAGGCTATGCTAGTTATATCTGTAACTGAATTTTAGACAATAATTGGCAAATTTTGTAGAAAAAAACATTATTTTACAATGTTTGTGTGAAAGGTTGGTGACATTAGTCAACAATGTTGAAATACTTAACAATGAGGAAGATGATAAAATGTGAAAAGAAAGCTAAGTCTGAGTATATACTACCTTATAGAACATCCTGTCACCAAAGCGTAGCATCTCAGCAAAGGCATTGAGCCAGCAGTGCAAAAAGGCAAAAAAAGTAAGGAACAGAATCAGCACACCTAAAAATAAGATGGGCAATATTAACAGTCTTTCCAAATAGCTCACATGCCAAGCAACTAATTATACGTCATTATTTGTCTAGCTGGGATTATTTTGTAAAATATAAGTTATTATTTCAGTTTACTCATTCCAGGGATGATATACTTTTAGAGTTAATTATCTGAATTTTAAAACAGTAATTTCCTTCAAAGTGGGTTCAACAAATGACAGATGACCCAGTCTGTTTTTAAAAAATGCTTAGATATATGTCTTAACTTGGTACCCAAGGCCCTTTAAAACTCTGGCCCCCATGGCCCCCTCTTAAACAGTTGTTTAAAACTGGGAGAGACTTTGCCCCTCTCCCCCTGAGGACATTAAAAATTCTAGAGACTTTTTGTTTTTAAGCAACAGGGTCTCACTATGTTGCCCAGACTAGACTTGAACTCCTGGGCTCAAGTGATCCTCCCACCTCAGCCTCCAGAGTAGCTGGGCCTACTGGTGCAAGCCACTGTACCAGTGTTGTGACAACCGGAGGAGAAGGGAGTTGTGCCCCTGGTATCTAGTTACAAGAGGCCAGCATACTGCTAAACAGTTTATGCTACAATGCAGAAGAGTGCCACTCCAAAGAACTAACCAGTCCAAAATATTAATAGTAACATGGTTAACATAGTGACACACGGATAACATTCTAAACATATCTACAATGACTCCACCCTCTAAGTGTTGTAAACATCATCCACACCTGGTTTATGCCATTCCAGAATGCTCCATGCCCTTGCATCCATCCCACTACCTAGAATGATCTTTGCACCAATTCTCTACCAGAAAAATACCTACCTATTTTTCAATACCCAATATTAAATGTTATCTCTAATATAAAATAAAGTCCATAAGCATTTTGTTTATCCTACCTATATAGTACATATTACACTATGTTGTAAAATATCCATTTATATGTCCACCACCTTCACCCATTTATTGAAAAAAATATATTTACAGAGCACCAACTATGTACCAGACAATATGAGACATTGGCTATAAAACACAATCCTTGATCTTAATAACTTTACAGCCTCGAGAGGAAGACACTTGAGTATGTAACACATACTCTATTTCAGGGACAGCCAGGGAGGGTTACTAGAAGAGGAATGCAAGAGAATAAAGAAAGAGAAGGTGATGACAGAAAACATTACCAACATTTAATTTAAGGGGTAAAGAAAAGAGGAAAAGTAAGGGAAACCATAAAACACAAGCTCCCAGAGTGTAAACATTATATGTGTCTTGTTCACTGCTGAGTCCTCTGCACCCGACATAGAACCAGGTACTCATATATCTCTACAATAGATGAAAAAAATGCAGTAAATAAATTTAAGAAATCGAGGTATGGCTGGTAGGCAGGAGGAAAATAAGAAATAGTGGCAAGAGGCCAAGCATGGTGGCCCAAGCCTGTAATCCCAGCACTTTGGGAGGCTGAGACAGGAGGATAACTTGAGCCCAGGAGTTTGAGAATGGCCATAGGAAGACACCATCTCTACAAAACTAAAAACTTAGCCAGGCATGGTGGCATGCACCTGTAGTCCCAGCTACTGAGGTGAAAGGATCACTTGAGCCAAAGAGGTCAAGGCTACAGTAAGCCATGATCACACCATTGCATTCAGACTCAGTGACAAAGAGAGACCCAGGAGACCCAGTTTCAAAAACAAAGAAAGAAAATAGTAACACGAGAGATTTCAAAATGTGCTCAGCAGCATCCAATGCTTCATGGAGGTCAACTTAGATAAGGGGTAAAGTATGCCTTAACCCATCCACTGGATTAAGAAACTGGAGGTTACTAGTAATTTCAACAAAGGGTATTTAAGTGCCTTCGTGGAATCAGGAGCAAGATTACAATAAACTGAATAGTGAACAGGAAGACACAGCATGAATATGGACTATCCACTGTCAGAGAAAGCACAGCTTGAGTGAAAGCCAGAAGATGAAAGACTGACCTGAGACTGGAAGAAGGATACTTCATGGCCAGGCTCAGCGGCTCACACCTGTAATCCTAGCACTCTGGAAGGCCAAGGCAGGTGGATCACCTGAGGTCAGGAGTTTGAGACGAGCCTGGCCAACATGGTGAAACCCTGTCTCTAATAAAAAACATACAAAAAAAAAAAACTTGGTGGGGTATGGTATCGTGCACCTGTAATCCCAGCTACTCGGGAGGCTGAGGCAGGAGAATCACTTCAACCCCAGAGGCAGAGGTTGCAAGGTGAGCCGAAATTGCACTACTGCACTCCAGCCTGGGCAACAAAGCAAGGCTCTGTCTCCAAAAAAAGAAAAAAAAAAAAAAGGATACTTCGTCTATAAAGTAGATGCAAAAGAGGTCAAGATGGGTATAGATGTATAGAAGTTTAGTTTAAGAAGTAGGCAAAACAAAGGTGCTCATAGGCAAATAGCTTTCTATTTTCCTCGTGAATTTATGCATGACCAAATTAATAAGTACCCGTGTTACCTGGCAAGATGGAGTTAAATACACATAGGACCAGAACACGAGCGCTGAAGGGCTCCTGTTTGATATTCCGAAACAAGGGGGCACAAAGCCTTTCAAAGATGTAGTACACATAGAAAAAGCAACCAAAGACCTGGAACATAACAGAGACAGAATTATAATAATGATGGCTTGATGAGACGGAAGGCAATTTTTTCCTCCAAAAGAAAGTATATATGTAACGCTTAAAGTAATGTTCGAATATGTATTCCACTTAACACTAGTATATAAATAAGCCTAGTTTCTACCATCGCTTTTCCTAACCCTTTACCAAATGATACTTTTAAAAGAGCTTACCCTTAGGACCTGTTTTTCCTGCTGCTTAAAACTTCTAATACAGGCTGGGCACAGTGGCTCATGCCTGTTATCCCAGCACTTTGGGAGGCTGAGGCAGGCAGATCACAAGGTCAGGAGTTCCAGACCAGCCTGACCAATATGGTGAAACCCCGCCTCTACTAAAAATACAAAAATTAGCCTGGCATGGTGGTACATGCCTATAGTCTCAGCTATTTGGGAAGCTGAGGCAGAAGAATCGCTTGAACCTAGGAGGCGCAGAGGTTGCAGTGAGCCAAGATCGTGCCACTGCACTTTAGCCTGGGTGACAGAGCGAGACTTTATCTCAAAACAAAAAACAAAACTTATTATATGGCTGGACGCAATGTCTCAGGCCTGTAATCCCAGCACTTTGGGAGGCTGAGGCAGGTGGATCATCTGAGGTCAAGAGTTCAAGACCAGCCTGGCCAACATGGTGAAACCCCATCTTTACCAAAAATACCAAAATTAGCCAAGCGTGGTGGCAGGCACCTGTAATCCCAGCTACTTAGGAGGCTGACAAAGGAGAATCACTTGAACCAGGGAAGCAAAGGATGCAGTGAGCCAACACTGCACCACTGCACTCCAGCCTAGGTGACAGAGTAAGACTTCATCTCAAAAAAAAAAAAAAAAACCCACAACAGAAGAACTTATTTCATAAATGGGCATTTGATTGAGACAAGAACTTAAAATGGGATCTATCTTCCAGGATTAATGGTTCTGATGGAGATGGAAGGGGGAAAATGGGGAAGCGTCAGACCATACCCACATACATGTACACCTTCCCCGAAAAACAGGAAGGGGGAAATTAATGCTTACTGAAATAACCAATTAGAATTACTTTATAAAATAATACATTCTTTTATTAAAGAAAATTACTTTTGATGTTGGCAAAATAAACACCATTTACTGTACTGGAAATAGTTTAAAAGACTGCATAATGTCAACAGAAAGCATTCTTAGCTCCCAGTAGATTTCAGTAGATTATATTATATGAATCCCCATCTCCTAATCATCATGCCTTAGGCAGTTACAAAAACTTACCTGTGCAAATTGCATAGCGACATAACCCCATCTTACAGTGGGAGTCCTGAAAAAGAAAGAAACAAAAATAAGTTTTCTAAATAAAGTAAGGACTTGAATAAAGACTCACCCTCACAACTAGTGTTTTTGGCCAGGCGCAATGGCTCACACCTGTAATCCCAGCACTTTGGAAGGCCGTGGTGGGCAGATCACCTGAGGCGAGGAGTTCAAGATCAGTCTGGCCAATACGTGAAACCCTGTCTCTACTAAAAATACAAAAAAACTAACCAGGCGTGGTGGTGCACACCTGTAATGCAGGCTACTCAGGAGGCTGAGGCAGGAGGAATCGCCTGAACCCAGGAGGCAGAGGTTGCAGGGAGCAGAAATCGCACCACTGCACTCCAGCCTGGGCAAGCGTGAGACTCCATCTCAGAAAAAATAAATAAATAAATAAATAATGGTTTTACGCATAGAGCATCATTTATGACTACATGAAATACTTTATAATTCTGTCAAGAATTACTATAATCTATCAGACTTCTCTAATCACCACCATTTAAGGCTTCCCAGGCCAGACAAAAAATGAAAACTCATTCTATATTTTCTATGTCCCTACCTGGCCCCTGCTTACCTACTCTGCCTCACTCATGCCACACTTCTGGTACTTACCACATTTCTGCTTCATAGTGCCATTACCTGGGATAGCTGTCACGGTAGATAAGGGTAGGAGCAAATAAGAAGTACAAATACTGGTTGACTGTAGGTATTGGAATAATGCCTAGAAAAGGAAGACTATGGTTAGATCAGAGGCTCTTTGATTTTTCACGGCAAAAATAAAGAGGGAAAAATAAGGAAGCACAGAACAGGGAAGAATTCAATAATTTATCAGCTCATGTTCTTTTTTCCTGATCTCCTGAGTGACTTCTTATTCTTGTACTAATTGAATATTACCAATCTCTTTAAACCAAGTCATTCCTGTGACTGAGATAACTTCTAGAGTGTGAAGCAACAATTTGCAAACAATAGGCAGACACAGGTGCAATGGGACTATTAACATTCCATAAAAACAATGCAAAGTTACAAAAGATGATCAATTTTTTAAAACTGTAGGTTCAAGGGCAAATCAGGAATACTCAGGAAACAAGTAGTCCTCAAAATCAATGTGGATCATATGTATGCGAAATCAAACACAATCGCTACAAACACAATCACTACATCATATAATGTGACATCCCAGTAAACAACAAAGGGTGAATATCCAGTCAATAATCCTCTAAACTAATGAAATTACACAAAGAAAGAAAAGAAAGGAAAAGAGAGAGAAAGAAGTTACATACTGGATTTCTCCTTAGCTGAGTTTAGTACCCGAGGCACGTTCTCTCTGACAAAGGAGTGGGCCTTCATTATAAAACGAATCTACAAAAGCAAGAGGAAAAAGATGTCTGCTCAAAGAAAGTCTCCTGCAAGTGTCCCTTCTATTAGTCAAACACATCACAGCCAGCCAATAAAATCAGAAAATCCTGATGAGTATATAAACAAATTAAAATAATCCTTTATTTAGATGGAAATTGTTACATGACAAAACAATGAATCTGACATTTCAAAAGTGTTTTTAATTACAAAAATATTTTATAATTTAAGTGACTTTTACAAAAAGTATTCAGGAACAAAATCTTAATGCATCAAAAACCATTCAATCTAATTTACTTCATTTCTCAAAATTCAGAGAACATGGAAGCTAGAATGAAACTTAAGAGATGATACTAGTTGAACAATTTTACAGATAATGACACCAAGAACAATATATGAAAATTTATCCAAGTTAATACAGCTAAAAATAGTAGTATCGGTCTGTTATCATCATTATTATTTTAGCTGAGCACAGCATCACTTTGAGTAACACTTAAAATCTTACCTGCTCGAATATAACGATGAACCGGGAAGCTGGTGGCAGTGTATATGCTAAGACAACATAGGTTGGTCCAAAACCTAGAACTCCAATCTGGAAGACCATGAAAAGAAAGCCATGGAAGAGGGAATGGATCAGTGGATGAGAACTCCTGCTGTAGCCAGTGGCCCAACATTGAAACAGAAAATAAGGAACTGAAAATGTAGACAGGAACATGATCCACCAGGTCCAAATAACAGTAGGAAATTTGCCAAAAGCATAAGACAGGAGACTGAACTCAAGCACCAGCCTGGGGAGAAAAGGTACAGAAAAAGAACATAGAGGCAAATTTTTAATACACATTGAGTTCACAGAATTTAAAACTTTATAACACCAAACTTTCAACGTTAGGAAACACTACAATATTAATATGTTGAAGTCATGGATTTGTAATAGTTCTGTTAGGTAGAGGTCTGCTTCTAATCCTCTTCTTTACAATAGATCTCAACATATATCAACACTATATACTGTTTAGAAACAAGTTTTCTAAAAGCCCTAAGATAAATACAGTCCTCCAACAAGACTTTGAACTTCTGAAAGATTAGATTCTCACATTAATAATTTTAACTCTAAAATATCCTATGTAAAATATTCAAAGAGCAATCATTCTTATGTACAAAAGATGATTTTTCAGAATAGGCACGATTTAAAAACCTGTTAATATACTATACCATTATCTCAAAAATTTTCAAAAAAAGTATATAATTCAATCCATGATTATCATACTGTCATTTTTTAAGGTACAATTTGGTTTTAAAATTTTTATTTTGAGACCAGATCTTGTTTTGTCACCCAGGCTGGAGTGCAGTGACACAAACACAGCTCCACTGCAGCCTCAGCCTCCCTGGCCCAAGCAATCCTCCCATCTCAGCCTCCTGAGTAGCTGGAACTACAAGTGTGTGCCAGCCACCATTCCTGGCTAATTTTTAAATTTTTTTGTAGAGATCTTGCACAGGCTGGTCTCGAACTCCTGAGCTCAAGTGATCCTCCCTCCTCAACCTCCCAAAGTGCTGAGATTACAGGCATGAGCCATCAAGCCTGGCCTACAATTTGACTTTCATATTAAAAAGAAATATCACATTTTTCAACCTTCAATTCCAATAAGCCACTTGTTTTAAGCAACCATCTTAAATAAAGACAATCAAAAGGTTAATAAATCATATGCAGTTATCCTTTCCTATACATGGGGGATTGGTTCCAGGAAAGCATGCAGACCCCAAAACCTACACAAATTCAAGTCCTACAGTTGGCCCCGTAGAACCCACATATATGGAAAATCTGCCATTCTTATATGTGTGTTTTGCATCCTGGAATACTGCAGATCCCATCTGCCTTTGCTTACAGATGTAGAACCCATAGATACAGAGTGCTAAACATATTGACTGAAAAACTTCCACATATAAGTGAACATGCAGTTCAAACCTGTGTTGTTCATAGGTCAACTGTGTACAAAGTTCTCCCATTTTTACCCAGAAACTATTGATTATGGTCTATTAAAATAAACCATTTTAAAAATAAAAGTAATGAAATTTCTAATTTTCTCGTCAGTTAAACTTTTCAGGGCAGAGGACTATCACCCTCAAATCTGCGGCTTTAGGATTTGCTAAAGCAAATTTAACCAATTTACCTTTTACCAAAATTTAATGAAAAACCCGAACTTCTCATGCATCAACTAGCCAGCAGTCTTTTTTGTGGTCTTACCTTCCTTCATCAATGTAATCTACTACAAGTGTGCTGAGGATAAAGAGAATGAGGAGGGCAATAAACATATGATATATTGTTCGGATGTGGTCCACTTCAAGCAGCTCACTGTAAATGTAGTTCAAACAAAACAAATTAATAATCTATATTTAAATTCAAAACACCATAAAGTCTTTTCTTAAAGCAGTTTAGAAGATGTTTAATCCACTGTCCAAAACCATCTCAAAAAAGAATGGTCTACATTCTTTAAAACCTGCCAGAAATGGATGGTTTCTAGGTAAACAAAGGTCATTCACTAATAACAGGAAACGCAAACTAAGTAAAATGCTAAGAATTTTTTTTAATCCTATACATACATTCTACTCTCTAAATTTAATACATATTAAGTACTATTTCCAAAATGTTAAAATTGACATAAATTTCTTTCTTTCTATTTTTTTTTTTTTTTTAAAGACGGGGTTTTACCATATTGGTCTGGCTGGTCTCGAACTTCTGACCTCAGGTGATCCACCTGCCTCAGCCTCCCAAAGTGCTGGGATTACAGGTGTGAGCCACCGTGCCCAGCAAGAGGTTTTTTTTCTTCCTTTTTCCTTTTTTTTTTTTTTTTTTTTTTTTTGAGACAGAGTTTCACTCTTTTTGACCAGGCTGGAGTGCAATGGCACAGTCTTGGCTCACTGCAACCTCAGCCTCCCTGGTTCAAGCAATTCTCCTGCCTCAGCCTCCTGAGTAGCTGGGATTACAGGCATGTGCCACACGCCTGGCTAATTTTGCATTTTTTTTTTTCTTTTTTTAGTAGAGAGACGGTTTCACCATGTTGGTCAGGCTGGTCTCGAACTTCTAACCTCAGGTGATTCACCTGCCTCACCCTTCCAAAGCACTGGGATTACAGGCGTGAGCCACTGCGCCCGGCCTAATTGACATGAATTTCTATAATGTTGATCATGATGATCATGACCAACTACATATCTATAAAACTCAACCATTTACAAATGGTTTTACCTTCTCCTCATTGATTTTTGTATTTAAGACTGGTCTAATTTTAATTTTCTTTTAGAATATAACAATAATATAGATGACTTTTCCTAATTTTTTTTTTTTTTTTTTTTTTTGAGACACAGTCTCGCTCTGTCGCCCAGGCTGGAGTGCAGTGGCTCAATCTCGGTTCACTGCAACCTCTGCCTCCCGGGTTCAAGTGATTCTCCTGCCTCAGCCTCCAAGTAGCTGGGACTACAGGCGCATGCCACCACGCCTGGCTAATTTTTGTGTTTTTTGTAGAGATGGGGGTTTCACTATCTTGAACTCCTGACCTCTTGGTCCACCGGCCTCATCCTCCCTAAGTACTGGGATTACAGGCATGAGCCACCAAATTTGGCCAATAAATATTTTATATCTGACTAAAACAAGTTTTTCAACTTATTTTAACTAGTTAAAAAAAAAACAGGTTTTTCAACTTGTTTTAACTTGATAAAAAACAGGTTTATCAACTTGTTTTAACTAGTTAAAAAACAGGTTTTTCAACTCGTTTAATTTGTTTCTGGAATAATAAGGCTAACCTTTTAAATGATTTTGAGTAATCTAATATGCTATTCAGTCTCTGGACTGCGGATCTTCACATTCTAATAAAAACCCATCAGAGCCATAGAAAACTGTTCTATTTCCTTGGTTACAACTTTTTTTGAGTTAATGTACGCTGCTTATTTTTCATATATAAATTCTATCATTAAAAGCCTTTTTTTTTTTTTTTTTTTTTTTGAGGGTCTCATTCTTGTTGCCCAGGGTGGAATGCAATGGCATCATGATCTTGGCTCACTAAAACCTCTGCCTCCTGGGTTCAAGTGATTCTCCTGCCTCAGTCTCCTGAGTAGCTGTGATTACAGGCATTCACCACCACACCCTGCTAATTTTTTAATATTTTTAGTAGAAAGCCTGCATTTTCCCCCAGATATAAATTTTAAAAGATGAATTCCTTCAAATTATAGTGTGACAGAACACAACATTACATGCTTAGAAAGAAAACCGGCCTTCTTATCTAAGTGAAGTAGTAAGCATCAATTTGACTCACAGAAAGTAACTTTTGATAAACATAAGGTGTCTTTTTAAAGAAAAGTATACTTGTTTTTGAGACAGAGTCTTGCTCTGTCACCCAGACTGGAGTACAGCAGCATGATCTCAGCTCACTGCAACCTCCACCTCCCAGGTTCAAGCAATTCTCCTGCTTCAGGCTCCCAAGTAGCTGGAATTACAGGCACCTGCCACCAAGCCCAGCTAATTTTTATAGGCTCATGCCTGTAAATCCAACACTTTGGGAAACCGAGGTGGGTGGATCATCTGAGAGTCCAGTTCAAGACCAGCCTGGCCAACATGATGAAACTGTCTCTACTAAGAAAAGTACACTATAACACACTTAATGTGTCACCAACCCAACCATTTCAGATGATCCATACTAATACAGGTTAAATTTCAGCAGTATTCTATTAAATGAGTGTATGAACAAATTACTCAGCATTAAAAATGAAATATTCATCAACTACCCAAAGTGCACCTTTAATGTTATTATTATTATTATTATTAATAGAGATGGGATCTTTCTCTGTTGTTCAGGCTGGAGTGCAGTGGCACAATCTCAGCTCATTGCAACCTCTACCTACCGGGCTCAAGTGATCCTCCTGTCTCAGACTCCTGAATAGCTGGAACTACAGGCATGCACCACCACGCCTGGCTAACTTTTTGTAGAGAGAGTCTTGCCATGCTGCCCAAACTGGTCTTGAACTCCTCGACTCACGATCTGCCTGTCTTAGCCTCCCAAAGTGCTGGGATTCCAAGTGTGAGTCACGGTGCCAAGCCCAGATAACCATTCTTATTCCTAACTCCTCTTTTGCAACTAGATACAGAACCAGAAGATCAGAAAGGAGCAAGAGAGAGCACACAACAAAAAACTAATGATTTATACAGATACAAAACAGAACAAACTCATTACATATTCATAGATTAAGCAATGATTCTATCAGAATAGCTTTTTAAAAAAATTCAAACATTTAAAAACAACTAAAAATACTCACTCTAAGAGAGATCGCCTTGCAATAAAAATCTTTCCTTGTTCTGGAGGTGCTCTCAAATCCCTGAGAAGAGAAAAAAATTAAAACAAGATGTAAGTACTTCAAATATTGTAAGAACTCTAATTCCACAAACAAGAGAATATTACCAACAACATCATCTAACATTAATTGACCAATGACCTTTTCACTACTGATTCAAGTACCGTGTTACAGATATTATGTATGTTATTTCATTTACTCCCTCCGAACAATGCTGTGAGGTAGGTACATGCATAACTATTAAGAATGGAAGGGCCGAAACACCCCGCTCCTATGGACTTCGGCAACCACTCTTCCTTCTTGTAGAGATCCCCTGAGGTCATAGGCCTACAAGCACACTCACTCCAGGTCATATATACTGTTATTGAGCTGTCTTACGAAACTGCACTGATGTTTTTGATACCCTTTCTGATATCAAAGGACTTCCAGCAACTCCCAACAGCCTCCTGATCTTAAAGGTTGCCGTGAGTTACTAAAACCCCCCATTTTACATCTTGCATTATCATCTTCTTTAGGGCTTTTCGTACTACTACCAGCACTTAACTATTACTAGTCAAAACTATTCTTGAGAACATCACTCTATGCCTCTGAACAGGGGCATAAAACTGAGAAGAGCATGGAATGGCAAATTGGCACACATTAGCCTTTGATAGCCTTCACTCGATTATTCTGGATGAACCAACAATTAGAAAAGTATATACTAATCACACGTACTTTATTACAAGTATTGTATAGAGTACAACAGAGAGGAACATGGTGATATGATTAAGAGCAAGGACTTGGCCAGGAATGGTGGCTCATACCTGTAATCCCAGCACTTTGGGAGGCTGAGGCAGGTGGATCATGAGGTTAGGAGTTTAAGACCAGCCTGGCCAACATGGTGAAACCCTGTCTCTACTAAAGTTACAAAAAATTAGATGGGTGTGGTGGTATGCACCTGTAGTCCCAGCTACTCAGGAGACTGAGGCAGGAGAATCGCTAGAACCTGGGAGGCAGAGGTTGCAGTGAGCCGAGATCGCACCATTGCACTGCAGCCTAGACAATAGGGTGGGACTCCATCTCAGAAAAAAAGAAAAAGAAAAAGAACAAGGACTCTAGAGCCAGACTCTGGGTTATCTGTAACATGTGGATAGTTATAGTATCTGTCTCATAGGATCACTTGTTTAAATGAATTCATCATGTAGAGCGCTCAGCAAGTGTTGGCTCTGTTATTTTATTAGTCAGTCTTTTTTTTTTTTTTTTTGAGACAGGGTCTCTGTTGCCTAGGCTGGTGTGCAGTGGCATGATCTTTGTTCACTACAATTTCTCTCTGCCTCCCAGGTTCAAGCGATTCTCATGCCTCAGCCTCCTGAGTAGCTTGGACTACAGGTGTATACCACCACACCTGGCTAATTGTTGTAATTTCTGGTAGAGATGGGGTTTCACCATGTTGGCCAGGCTAATCTAGAACTACTGACCCTCAAGTGATCCACCCGCCTCGGCCTCCCAAAGTGCTGAAATTACAGGCATGAGCTACTATGCCTGACTTTACTAGTAGTCAGTCTTAAAAGAGGTATGCATGTATACTATAATTCCTACATAAAGACAAAGAAAACCCCACCCTTCAAGTGGTTAAATAACTTTCTGAATGCAACACACAAACAATAAAAAGTGGCAGCAGGGTGTGAACTCAAGCATATTTGCTACAATCCATTTTGACCACTGAACTACAGTGGGTAGATGTTTGCATTAAAAAAATAGTAACACATACTTACTTTGCTCTATGGTTGGTTTTCTCTCCTTCAAGAACAGAAAAGGTTGTGAGAGCACACCCACCATTGTCTAATGATGCTGATTTTTCAATGAGATTGGTCACAAAATCATCAAAGTGACTTCCAACTTCCTTCATAAAAAATGGCTTCAATTCCTAGAATTTTAAAACAGAGAAAAACATGGGGAACTAATACTTTCTTGTGAGTCACTAACATTTCTCTAAAGGGCTCCCTTAAACAGAGCTGGAACAAAAGGAAGGCATAGTGAGTTCACAGGAATAAAAGCAAAAAAATCAATTCCTATATCTGACTTGTAGTTTCAGAAACAACTACCTAAAAAGCAACATAGTGATTTATATCCTTTTAAAACGTATAACCCTTGTAAGCATAAAATAAAATACCTCAGCCTCCCAAGTAACTAGGATCACAGGTATGTGCCACCACTCCCAGCAAAAGTTTTTTATTTTTTGTGAAGACAGAGTCTTCCTATGTTGCCCAGGCTGAACTCTAGGGCTCAAGCAATCCTCCTGCCTCAGCTTCCCAAAATGTTAGGATTACAGGCATGAGCCACTACCATGATTCTAAGTTCTCTTTTTTCTAATGCAATCCCTTCACCCAAGTACCCACCATTTATATTTTAGACCATTTCTTCCTCATATCTGCATTTATACAATGTTTATTCCTACCTCCATAGCCAGATATTTAACCATAAACCATGCATATGTATATATAGTATAAACATGCATATTCATGATAGCGACCAGAGCCAGACAGATTCCTAGGCAGACAGGGGCAGGTTTCCACTGAAACCGGACCTTCAAACCAAAGACAAATTAAAGCCTGAAAACTGGACTTCCAGTTCCAAGTAAAGTCTAAGACTAGAGTGAGAACTTCTATTCCTATATGCCCATTCTTTCCTGATTCGTTATTTCTGAATAATGCTTTTTAACTAGTTGAATGTTATCTTTTCCAAGGCTACCCACAGCCCGCACCTCCCACTTTCTGAGCCTATAAAAACTCCAGGTTCAGTCACGCACTGGGACCACCTGCTTCTGGGTCCCCTCTTCTCCGAGAGCCATTCCATGACTCAACAAAACTCTTTTCTGCCATGCTCACTCTCCAACTGCCCACATAATCTCATTCTTCTACGTGGGACAAGAACTCAGGACTCCCAGAACAGCAAGTATGAAGGGAACTATAACATGAACAAGTTGCCACCCTTCTGAGGCCCTGATCTCAGGACTCCCCAACGCAGAGCTGTAACACACTGTAACACCCTCTTTGGAGTTCTGCAGTTGCTACTGTCTCCAAGTTTTTTGGGCACCACTATGTTCCCCTCATCCAGATGCCAGCGCCCAAGGTGGAAACCATTTGCAGTACACCTGGTGCAGCTGCAGCCTCACACAGAGCTGGCGCCTGGAGCCACCCACCCCACCTCAGTGGCCAGCACGCCTGGCTTGCCCTTGATAGGTCTGAGATCCAGTAGCATAAGCTGAGCACAGCCTGCCAGACCAAGTGAGCAGGGCAAGTCCAGAAGCCAGCTTGGAGCCAAGTGAGGCCTGGGCAGGAGTGCTGCCTGCTGCAGAAATTTCCAGCTGGCAAAGTGGCACCCTAAGATATCCTGTGTCATACACACATACATTATTTTCATAAAACTGTTATATGTGTGTGTCTGTATATGATTTATCTTATGAAAATGTGTGTGTATAATGGTTATACATTCTGGTCTCACATGTTCTTTAGGTCTTAAAGTTTCAAATCCCAGTTTTTGAAAAGTAGGAGGCAAAAAAAGATTTCTTCATGTTATAATAGGTAACCTACTGTGGAAGTCCAAATTATAAATTTGGGTAATTTTTACTTGCAAGACTTACTATAAAGGACAACAGAGTATTATTTACTAGTTCTTCAAGAAAAAAATGCTTGTTTTCTTTGACTAAATCATTTAAGCCCAACTTAAAAGATCTGAAATAGCATTTTTCTAGGTTCTGTTATTCCAAAAAGCTTGACCAAGTCCTTTAAAAGTAAAGCTGAAAAATATCAACATACATAATGGGACTATATGAAGGCTTTTCAAACAGTTCTGTTTCCTACATTTCCCAAATGTTTTTTGGGTCCTGGGCAGTGAGAATACACTAAGGTCCTAGCTCTCAAAGTACAAGGTGATGGAGTTGGAAAATGTAAAAATAGGGTCGGGCATGGTAGCTCACGCCTGTAATTCCAGCACTGTGGGAGGCCAAGGCAGGCGGATCGCCTGAGCTCAGGAGTTCATAACCAGCCTGGAAAACAAGGTGAAACCCCATCCCTACTAAACTATAAAAAATTAGCCAGGTGTGGTGGTGGGCACCTGTAGTCCCAGCTACTCAGGAGGCTGAGGCAGGGGAATCCCTTGAACCCAGGAGGTGGAGGCTGCAGTGAGCTGAGGCTGTGCCACTGCACTCCAGCCTGGGCGACAGAGTGAGACTCCATTTAAAAAAAAAAAAAAAAAGGAAAGAAAGAAAGAAAAAAAAATGGAAACGAGGAGGCAGAGTTTAAGTCAGGGAAAACCTCAAAAATAAGAGGACATTTGGGAAGATTTGAAGAAGGTAAGAGGTTAAGCTAGTGGACATCTGTGGGAAACGTACCAGGAAGAAGGAAGCATGAGTGTGAAAAGTCCCTGAGGCAGGAACACCCTCAGCATGTTCAAGAAATAGCTGGGAAGGAGAACATCACAGTTGAAGCAAAAAAGTAGTAAGAGGTCAGCAAAGAATGGGGAGGGGCAGGGAGGGGAGTCAACCATACAATTACCCATACTCACATCTCAGCCCATTAATTTTACTCAAAATTAAAAGAGAAGCCTAGAATCTTGAGATGCCGCAAAGGGAGTCAAGCCATTTCTTTTAGTTAGGATTCCTCATACTCTGGTACCAGCCCCCTTCCCAACTAAGTATTAGGTTACACAGGCTAGAAGCATGAATGTAATGAATGAATATTATACAAAATGTCAGTAAAGCTGCTAAGGACAGGTACTAATACATCCAATGTCTACTGAAAAGGAGTAGTGAACTTTTCATGACACAAGCTCTTATGCCTTACTCATTACTCACGGATGAGCCTTCGGCATGTAGCTCCACCTTATCTGCGGTTCCACTTTCACAGTTTTAGCTAACTTCAATACAGTACAGTAAGATACTTAGAGAGAGACCACACTCACATTAACTTTCACTGCAGTATATTGTTATTCTTGTTCCACTTCCCTTGCTGTGCCGAATCTGTAAGTTAAACTGTGTCAGAGGTATGTGTGTAGAGGAGAAACAGCATATACAGGGTTTGGTAGTGTCTATGGTTTCAGGCATCCACTGGGGTCTTGGAACATATCTCCCAAAGACAAGGGGAGATTACTGTACATTCAACTCCCAATTTACACTCCTATGAGTAAGAAATCCCACAGCAACCTCCCTACCTTCATTCTGTATTGTACCCTTTTTCCCCCCTTCACCTATTTGCTTCCTCTTCTTCCCAGACTCCAGAACTTCTACCTTTTCTTCAGTCTACAAGTAAGGGTATTCCTTTTTTTTCAGTCGGGAGAGGCAGGAGGAAAGGATTCAAGGGTATCCCTTGTTTTCCCAACCTACTATCCAATCTCAGGACCAAATAGATATGAGTAACAGGAGTAATTCCATTACTCAGCACCTAAGGTGGGGAACAAGATACATACAGCCCTGATCTTACTGAGCCTATTATTCAAGAGGAAAGTGATTAAATAAGTTACGAATGGTGCAACAAATGCCTTAAAGAAATGTAGAGTGACAGGAGAACAAAGAGAAAGTAAAAGAGTAGAAATTCCAGGCATCTCAACTGTGTGATGGCCACTATAATGTGGTGGTAGGTTTCCAGTGTTGTAAATTTCTTTCACTTTCCCTCATCTACAACCCCAACCTCTGACACCTCAGATGGTACAGAATATTGCTTAGAAGGTAACTATTTTAATATTATCAATTCATGTCTTTTTTTTTTTTTTTTTGAGATGGAGTTTCGCTCTTGTTACCCAGGCTGGAGTGCAATGGTGTGATCTCGCTCACCGCAACCTCCGCCTCCTGGGTTCAAGCAATTCTCCTACCTCCGCCTCCCAAGTAGCTGGGACTACAGGCACGCGCCACCATGCCCAGCTAATTTTTTGTATTTTTAGTAGAGACAGGATTTCACCTTGTTGACCAGGATGGTCTCGATCTCTTGACCTCGTGATCAACCCGCCTCGGCCTCCCAAAGTGCTGGGATTATAGGCGTGAGCCACTGCGCCCAGCCCTTGTGTCTTTTTTTTAAAGTAACATGTGAATAGTTTAGGAATCCATATGTGAGACAAAATAACAAATAAAAAAGCCATATTTTACTCATTTCTGCTTACCAACACAATTTCACAAAATTCTTGACTCTATGATGATACACAGCTTTCCAAACACTTTAAAGACCAAATAAAACACACATTCCCCCCACATCTCTTGCCTAAGTCACCATATTCCTTATAGATAATAACCCAATCCTTGCCTGTTCCTACAAATAAAATGACAGTGATTATACTTCTATAATCTATAATCCAATACCTTAATGTACCAAATGTAATGTAATCTAATTTTATATATATGAAATTTTACACATATGAAACCCACCACCTATACATAAACAGTAGACTAAAATACAGTGCCAGGGCAGTCTAACAAAGCCTCTCTGTAAGACTACACCAGGCTGCAGGCCCTGTCTACAGTTCTCAATAAGACTTCTAAATACAACTAACTTTAATTCTTAAAAAGCTTCATTTTCTTTAGTTGACAATCATGGTGACTGTGAAGGGACTTACGAATAGGCTGCTCAGGGTCATCTGGAGCACTGCAGGGAACTGGAGCCTTGTTATAGCATAGGCCCTTTGAGCCCCTCTGGCTCCACCATGGTTGCAGACGACTGAGTGAGCTTCTGACCTCCCACTTGGTTGACAGTCCTGAATATTATTCAGCTATTTGCTTTCACCACTTGACAGAAAAGTGAGTTCTTCCTTGAAACTTTTACCTTTTTAAAATAAAAACAGGGCCTCACTATGTTGGCCAGGCTGGTTTTGAACTCCTGGCCTCAAGTAATCTGCCCACCTCAGCCTCCCAAAGTGCTGGGATGACAAGCATGAGCCACCATGCCCAGTCAGGATTTTTTGTTTTTTTGAAAAGGGGAATATCCTAGTTAAAAGATACTAGAGAAAAACAGATATGTAAGGCTGCCTAATTAGCTAGGGTGTACAGGTGTTTCCCCTTTCAATTGGACTCTATAAACAAAGTTCAGGAGGACAGAAACTATTACACATGGATAAGAGTCTGGAACTGTGTCAGTTCTGACAACAAGAAACAAGAGCTCCTTCCAGCCAGATTCTGATTTGACATCTCTAAGTGACCAGAGGTCTCGTAATAAAAGTGTCAGTGATACAATCCTCATGACATCACCCAGTGCTCCAAGCCCCCATGGTTACTTCGGGCAATTAGAGGAAAAAACTGAGACACCTAAGACAAAGCAACAGCCATTCAAACACTCAAAGCAGCACATGTGCCCATACATTCCCACTAGAATTCCTGCTTTGCTAACCTCTCACAGTAAGAAATACATCATCCAAGACTAAAACTGTAACGGGGCACTGGACAGCCAATTTAAACTAAATTTCCTTGTCAATCAAAAACTTTCACCAAACTTTAACCGTAACTATTCTACATTTGTCATCACAATTATCTAAATTCTTCTCTGAAATATATAATCCAAAATTATTTTTAAAACTAGTATACATATAAAAAAATACATTAAAAATTACAAACGTCTATTCCAATTTCATCAAATTGTCACAGTTTTCAATCGATAGCTTACTTTAATGCTATTAAATATATACTACTATATATAATAGCTTTATAATAGACCTATTAACATATTATAGCTAACACGTCTGGGTCCAGTGGCTCACACCTATAATTCCAGCACTTTGGGAGGTCAAGGCAGGCAGATCACCTGAGATCAGGAGTTTGAGACCAGCCTGGCCAACATGAAGAAACCCTCACTTTTGTGAGCTGAGGGATCTGTGGGGATCACTCCCATGTGAGGCCCCTAGGAAACAGGCCTCGCCATATGGTGAGCTTGAGCCCGGACACAGATCCCTGGTTGGGGGAGTCGAGCTGAGGGAAAGCAGGAACCAAGAGAGGGACTATGTTATTCTAAATAATTAACAGACATTACTTTATGGATATGAGGACTTGGGAGGCAATGTGTCCACTTTCGGCTCCTTATGGTTTATTGCTTGATTGCGTTCATTTTGGACCCTTGTTACCTTCATTGTAAAATATTAACTTAAGTATTTACACTTGGTAACTTACTTACCGTAACTTACTGGGTGTAACTGTAACTTACCATAACTTACTGGGCGTAACTGTAACTTGCTTAATTAAGTATTTACAATTGTTAAGTACTTACTGGGCGTAACTTACTTGCTGGGCTTAACTTACTTACCTTAACTTACTGGGCGTAACTGACTCACTGGGCGTAACTTAGTGGGCCTAACTTGCTTACTGTAACTTAAGTATGCTGATCTGGCATAAACAACATTAACTTCAGAAAAGTATATAATGGAACATATTGCAAATAAAATTGCTGCATGAGCGTAGCGTGTGTAGCCCTCCAGACCTCGCTCTTTTTTTTTTTTGTTTGTTATTTCGTCTTTATTTCATAATCATAAACTTAACTCTGCAATCCAGCTAGGCATGGAAGAGAACAAGGAAAACATGGAACCCAAAGGGAACTGCAGCGAGAGCACAGATTTTAGGATACTGCGAGCACATGGGGTGGAGGGCCCTCTCCTGAGCTACAGAAGGAATGGTCTGGTGGTTAAGATAAAACACAAGTCAAACTTATTAAAGTTGCCCACAGTCAGCAATGGTGATCTTCTTGCTGGTCTTGCCATTCCTGGACCCAAAGCGCTCCATGGCCTCCACAATATTCATGCCTTCTTTCACCTTGCCAAAGACCACATGCTTGCCATCCAACCACTCAGTCTTGACAGTGCAGATGAAAAACTGGGAACTGTTTGTGTTGGGTCCAGCATTTGCCATGGACAAGATGCCAGGACCTGTATGCTTTAGGATGAAGTTCTCGTCATCAAATTTCTCCCCGTAGATGGACTTGCCACCAGTGCCATTATGGCGCGTGAAGTCACCACCCTGACACATAAACCCTGGAATAATTCTGTGAAAGCAGGAACCCTTATAACCAAATCCTTTCTCTCCAGTGCTCAGAGCACAGAAGTTTTCTGCTGTCTTTGGAACCTTGTCTGCAAACAGCTCGAAGGAGACGCGGCCCAAGGGCTCGCCGTCGACGGCAATGTCGAAGAACATGGTGGGGTTGACCATGGCTGCTACAACAAGGCTCCAGGCGGCGGCGGCGGCATCTGCAAAGCAGCCCAGACCTCGCTCTTTTCTATCTCCTTTTTTCCGGTGCACGCTCTCTTCCAGGTTTGGGACCGTCTCGCTGGACGAGATTCCCAGGCTCGCGTTCAGTTTACAACAGTGAGCAGTTAGTTATGTGCAAAATCAAGATGAATGACACCTAGCTTGCTAAGTTGTTATATGAACTAAACACAAAGCAAAACAAAAAACCTGCAAACACACAGCACAGTATCTGACATAGTTATCACTTGGGAGGTATTTGTTTATTCCCACCCCCCACCTTAGTCTGAGCTAACCATGACGAACAATAAAACAATGTACAATAAAAAGTGTAATTTAAGCAAATCCTATCATTTTGTGCTTTTATTGTTAAAAGGTAACCAAACCTACCACATTCCTTTATGTGGCATTATCATTACATGCCTCATGTTCATTCTTAATGACCTTCTCCTCTTTCTCTGAGGAATTAAAGTTGATGGAAGGTGCTGCCATCAGGCACAAAGAAGAACTCTGCACTGTGGATGCTTAAGTCTCCTGAATCTCCTCCTTTCACAGATCCTAGCAGTGATGACAATAAAGTGACTGCTTACTATTGTTACTCTTTGTAAGAGGGAATATTAAGAAATATAGTACAAGAAACAGTCTACTTCTGCCTTCTGAATTCTATCACATGTATTAGAACTCAGGATGTGATCACAAATAAATCTGAATAATGCCTGGTATCAGTAACCTGAAAATGATGCTGAGGTTATAGGCTTTCTAATTTGCTTGTTTTTTCAATCTCATATCCACTGATACTAATTTCATGCAGCCAGTGGACTCTAACAGCCATAGCACCATGACGGAGGGACGGATGGAGAGAAGGTAGAAAGGGAGAAGGGGAAGAAGGGAGGAGGCAGTTAACTAGAAACTAGAAAAGGTGCTTATTTAGGTAATCTAGTAAACAGAAACACTACATTTTAGAGCTTAAGGAAATCTTTTACATTAAATAAAGAGCTGAATTAGACAACCTCTAAGATTCCAAAAATAGAAAACAACCATGATGCAAAGACCCTAAGGATGGAATACATAGTTAAAGGAACAAACGATAATGACCACAGATAAGACTGGAAAAACAAGTAGGGACTAGATCACAGACCTTTAAGCTATTTTAAGAATTTATTTTGGCGGGGCATGGTGGCTCATGCCTGTAATCCCAACACTTTGGGAGGCCTAGGTGGGTGAACTGCCTGAGTTTAGGAGTTTGAGATTAGCCTGGGCAACATGGTAAAACTCCATCTCTCCTAAAATACAAAAAATTAGCCAGTGTGGCGGCCCACGCCTATAATCCCAGCTACTCGGGAGGCTGAGGCAAGAGAATCGCTTGAACCTGGGAGGTGGAAGTTGCAGTGAGCAGAGACAGTGCCACTGCACTCCAGCCTGGGCAACAGAGTGAGACTCGATCTCAAAAAAAAAAAAAAAAAAGAAAAAAATTTTATTTTATCCTAAAGACATCTGGAAGCCAATGACATTTTAAGCACAAGATTTATAAACATATTCAGATTTGCATTTTAGAAAAATAATTCTTCTACCTAAAAAGGTTTCCAGGAAGAGATTACTTTGGACTGAATATTAAAATGAAAAAAGGTCAGGGTCATTTATGGGTAAGTAACTCTTTCAAAAGTACAGAGACACAGAAAAATCTTAAAGTATGCTGAAAGAAAAACACAAAGTAAACCAATCAGTAATATTATTTTCAGTGTCTCAAAAAAATTTAGGTCCCTTGATCACAACTTCTTCGAAAATCATTGGAAAGAATATTATACTCTAACTCCACAAGGTCATATTGTAGTCTATAAAATACTTCTTTCTCACATTTGCTGCCTGTCTTTGCAAAGAGAATCTTTCAATCTCATGGTGGCATGGTACCAGAAACCTGACCTTTCTGAACAAAACAAGTAACACAATGGAACAGGTAATATAGTGCTTAGGACTTATACTAAATTGACTGCTGAGAAAGGTCTCCTGATAATTCACTCTAAAGTTCTTTCTATTCTCCTCTTTTACTGCATCTCTTTCTTTTCCTTCATTGCACTTAATTTGAAAGTCTATATATTACTGCTTTTTGGCATCTCACTGTCTGCCCCCTCAACAGATTTTTAAACACCATATCTTTTTATTAACTGATAACTAATTTTGTATTTTTAGTAGAGACGGGGTTTCACAATGTTGCCCAAGAAGATCTCAAACTCCTGGCCTAAAATGATTCTGCCTGCCTTGGCCACTCAATGTACTGGGATTACAGGCATGACCCACTGTGCCCAGCCAAATAACATTTTTAAGGTATGTAACTCAGTCGTTGTTCCTCTTGCTCATGCATTTTATATATAGTGTTCTCAGTTAGCATGAGAACAGAAAACACAACTTCTTTAAAATCCCAGCACTTAATGTACCTTATCAGTTACTACCTGATAGACAAAGAAACCAAGTAGACATTCATTAAACTGAACTGCTAAACATTCAAGGGCAACAAGACAGGTACCTGTCTACCTTTTCTAAGTGATGAAATCATAAAGCACAATAAACTGACTTTCCCAAAATTCTTCAAAATAGACTAGAGATTTATACACTTTATAGTATTAGAATCCCTGATTTCCATCGAAGCACATGACTGCTGAGAATAAACAAATTTCCCAGTGTCTCTTTCCACCTAGGTAGCCAATGAGATACAAAAGTTTGTCAAAGTCCCCAGAAAATTTCCTTAACAGACAGCAGGTACCTGTTCCTTACCCCACTCCTTTCCTTCCCTCAATTCTGCTGCTTGGAACTCAGATGAAACAACTAGAGTCATTTGGACAATGAGGAGGACCACAGCCTATGAATGTGTAACTGCCTTTGCAAAGACTATGGCAGTGAGAGATGTCCAGCGTGTCTGACTCCATCATGCTTCTAGCCTCACAGGCTGGCCATCCTTGCTCATTCCTGAGCAAGGCTCACTCAGGAATGAATGAGCCTGAGTGAGGCTAGAAGCCAATCCAACTCTGGAAGAAATTCACAGTTCAACTTTGATGTAAAAATGATAATAGTCCCTCCCCCAAACTGACCCCCTTCCTTGTTGGGAACAGAAACCACCTAAGTATTTTCTGTGCAGAAAATACTTAGACTTGTCTCTCCAGCAGTCTGCCAGTAAATCAATAGATAAGTACTATCCAGAAACTTTTTTTTTTTTTTTGAGATGAAGTCTTGCGCTGTCACCCAGGCTGGAGTGCAGTGGCATAATCTCGGCTCACTGCAACCTCCACCTCCCAGGTTCAAGTGATTCTTCTGCTTCCAGAGTACCCTGGGACTACAGTTGGGCGCCACCAGACCCAGCTTATTTTTTCCTACTTTTAGTAGAAACAGGGTTTCACCATGTTGGTTAGGGTGGTCTCGAACTCATGTGATCTGCCCACCTCAGCCTCCCAAAGTACTGGGATTATAGCTGTGAGCCACTGCACCTGGACCAAAAACTTTTTTAGAAGGCGTTACTTGAATGACTGACAAAACATGGAGAGAAACTCTTATTTGCAGACATGACATCGGAATCTTTTTTATTTTTTTTGAGATGGAGTTTCACTCTTTTTGCCCAGGTTGGAATGTAATGGCATGATCTCGACTCACTGCAACCTCCGCCTCCTGGGTTCAACCGATTCTCCTGCCTCACCGTCCCCAGTAGCCAGGATCACAGGCACATGTCATTAAACCCGGCTAATTTCTGTATCTTGAGTCCTCCTCATTACAGTTTGATCATTTAAAGGCTGGACAACAGCATAAGGTACTGATTTGAAAAACTATATCTGAAATGCTATATAAGCAGCAAACAGAATGTTATAACAATTTTTTTTTCCCCTGGGCTCAAATGGTCCTCCCACCTCAGCCTCCCAAGCAGCAGGACTACAGGCACACACAACTATGCCCAGCTAATTTTTGTATTTCTTGTAGAGACAGGGTTTTGCCATGTTGTCCAGACTGGTCTCAAACTCATAAGCTCAAGTGACCACCTACCTTGGCCTCCCAAAGTGCTGGTATAAGCCAACGTGCTCAGCCCAAAAATGTATTTTTAAGAAGTAGAAATAATTTTTTCATCTTTCTAATATTCACATTAGACCTAACATTCCCTCTATAAAGTTATGTACATTAATAAAAGTTCTGGCTGGGCACGGTGGCTCACGCTTATAATCCCAGCTCTTTGAAAGGCCGAGGTGGGTGGATCACAGGGTCAAGAGATCGAGACCATCCTGGTCAAAAAGGTGAAACCCCATCTCTACTAAAAATACAAAAATTAGCCGGGCATGGTGGTGCGCGCCTGTAGTCCCAGCTACTCGGGAGGCTGAGGCAGGAGAATTGCTTGAACCCAGAAGGCGGAGGTTGCAGTGAGCCGAGATCGTGCCATTGCACTCCAGTCTGGGTAACAACAGCGAAACTCCGTCTCAAAAAAAAAAAAAGTTCTACAATAGCAATTAGTAAAGACATTCCCTTTGCCCTTCTTAACCTATTCATTTTTCTCTGGAAACTATTCTCAGAGGCGAGGACAGGCATGTCGTGTCCAGGCCAGGGCTGTACTATATGACCTTGTCCTTGTGGCTAACATTCAGTTCTCTCTCTTCTAATGAATCTGAAGTTCTGAGCTTTGAAAGAGGGTGAGTGGAAACTTTATTATACTAAAATATCCAAAGTATCTAAACTCTTCCTACTGAAATCCTTACTCTTTCCAGAGCCTGAGTGTTCATCTTCTCCTAAGATGCAGTGAGATATATTAACATCGTTTGAATATATCTTCTTTTATGCCTAAATAAGCCAAAGTAGGTTTCTGTTATTTGCAACCAAAAGAAATAGCTTAACATAATGTTAAAGCAAAGCTAGGCCAGACATGGTGGCTCACTCTTGTAATCCCAGCATTTTGAGAGGCCAAGGCAAGAGGATTGCTTGAGCTCAGGAGCTCAAGACCAGCCTGGGCAACATAGTGAGACCCTGTCTCTATTAAAAACAAGAAGAGCAAAGCTAATTTAATTGTTAATGTAAGTTGGTTGGGACTTAATCATATGAATCCCCCTTGGACTGTTCCAAGATCTTTTAAGTCTCGTTACAACACAATTCTAAGGATTTCCAAAGGTCATAACTCAGAGTTACACAAGTTCGTATGACCCCACTGGCATTAGATAAAAAGCATATACTTAAAGCTTTTTTTCAAAAGCATGTTAGACCTCGAAGTGACCTTAAGAGATTCAGTCAGTTCAAACCACTAATTTCAACACGCTAATATTATCACCTCCCTCACTCCTCTTCCCTTTACACTAAAAGGTTTGCTCAGTAGTTAAGAAACTTCTTCATGCCTTTCTGTAATAAGAGTTCCTCTATCTACACATCTAACTTTTCACAGAGTTCTCTGTTAGTTGCCCAATTTGGCAAAGAAAAAATACAGGACACTCAGTTAAATTTAAATTTCATATCAACAAATAGCTTTATAGTCTGCCTCAAATATTGCATGATTACTAAAAAAGTCTTGTTTACCTGAAATTCAAATTCGACTGGACATACTGTATTTTACCTGGCAACTCATTCTGTGGAGCTGAAACAGCTGCCCAATGAGACTGATCAACTACAATAATAAGCAATGAATTCTGAAAAAGCTTTAGTCAGCTACACAATTATGATATAAATCTTTAGAGCTAAAGGGGACCTTGGAAACAACTAATGCAATGCTCTCACTTTAAAGATCAAGGAAAGATGAAGTGACAACTGGAAGGAACATGACACCAAATTACAAATGACCAGAAAGATTCCTAATTTTCTTTTTTTTTTAATTATTTGTAAAAATCCACAAGAGAAAAGGAATTCGTATGTGAAAAAACAAGCAAAGTTCATGGCTCCGAACAATGTTCACATACCTATCATCTCAAGTCCTTCCATGTTAGTAAATGTCAACCAATAAAGCTAAGCAACAACTACAAAAAAGTGACCAATTAGAGACCTCTTATAAATGGGATGATTTAAGTAAATAAGATTATGTATATATGCCAAGTGCAGTGGCTCACACCTGTAATCCCAGCACTTTGGGAGGCCCAGGCGGGTGGATCACTAGGTCAGGAGCTCCAGACCACCCTGACTAACATGGTGAAACCCCATATCTGCTGAAAACACAAAAATTAGCTGAGCATGGTGGCACATGCCTGTAATCCCAGCTACTCAGGAGGCTGAGGCAGGAGAATCACCTGCACCAAGGAGGTGGAGGTTTCAGTGAGCCTGGGTTTCACTTCAACTCCAGCCTGGGCGACAGAGTGAGACTTCGTCTCAAAAAAATGAAAAAAAAAAAAAAAAAAAAAAAAAAAAAAAAGATTATCTATATAAAGCACCTATTATAAAAGCTTAGCCTGTGAGAGGAGATCTAAATGTAGTTCCCTTCTCCTACTGGCTCATCTGTTTCTCAGTCTTATACTAAAATATAGCTCCCTACCTATTCTGTCTCCAAACTCTATATGCCATCCTGAACTTTCAAATCAGAACAGCAGTCCTACTGTATCTTGTTAAAAAGCATTACAATTGGCTGGGCACAGTGGCTCACGCCTGTAATCCCAGCACTTTGGGAGGCCGAGGTGGGTGGATCATTTGAGGTCAGGAGACCAGTCTGTCCAACATGGTGAAACGCTGCTTCTACTAAAAATATAAAAATTAGCCGGGCATGGTGGCACATGCCTGTAATCCCAGCTGCTGGGGAGGCTTAGGCAGGAGAATCACTTAAACTGTGGAGGCAGAGGTTGCAGTGAGCCGAGATCACGCCACTGCACTCCAGCCTGGGCGACAGAGCGAGACTGCATCTCAAAAAAAAAATTACAATTAATAAACAATGGTAAAATATTCAATCTCATTAGACAGCAAACAATTGATGAATAAAAAACTTCTAAGTCAAATCACCTAAAGTTCACCAAATGACATTTGTTGACTCATTAAGAGTATATATTAGGGGTATAAACTAAGCACTTAGCAATATAGAGTAGAGAAGACATCATTTCAAACTGCAATGTTCAGAAAACTGTAGAAGCAGCAAGATTTAATCTAGAATTTGAAGAATACATATTATTCAGATTGGTGAAGGCAGAATGAGGAAATTTCAGGTAGAAAGAGGCTACATGAATGAGGGCATAAAAGTCGAGAAAAAATGCTTTATAATCTAGCCTCAATTTTTCAACTTTTTCTTGCCATTGTGCCCCAATAGGGACACAGATGCCCATCAAGTGCCCTAAAATATGTACAGTGTAAGTTTTCTAACACCATTACCTTTGTTCAGGCCACTGCTTCGCTCAACATCAGGGAACAAGTCTTGTGCAACTCTGCAGCCCTTATGTCACTTGCACAATACACGTAATATGAGCTAAACCAAGGTCCCCCTTCTTTCAGCTTTGCCCTTACTTCATTCATTACTCTCTCCTTCTAATCCTCCTAAGTGACCAAGCCAAAGGATTTTCATAATTTTATTAATATTCGAAACAGACAAGTAGAATATTCTTTAAAAAGTTTTAACTTAAATCCTTGAAACATTCCCCCATTATCTCTCTTCCTGCCACCCCTTTCTACCCCTTCTCCCCAAAACCTCTACTTTCCACTCCAAACTCCCTTTCCCCTTTGGGTTTGTGATTCCATATGGGAAAACGTTCTCCTCCCACTTTAGATTTTTAAAACAGAGGAATGATACCAGAGACAGACTTACTTTTCACCTATTTGAAACTTTCCCTCACAAACAGAACATCATAAGGTTTTGTGTTCTTGGTAAGAAGGGAGGAGCAAAAGAGGACAAAAGGAGAATTGAAAAAGGAATAAAAGGCTGGGCGGTGGCTCAAGCCTGCAGTCCCAGCACTTTGGGAGGCTGAGGCGGGTGGATCACGAGGTCAAGAGATCGAGACCATCCTGGTCAACATGGTGAAACCCTGTCTCTACTAAAAATACAAAAAATTAGCTGGGCATAATGGCACGTGCCTGTAATGCCAGCTACTCAGGAGGCTGAGGCAGGAGAATTGCCTGAACCCAGGAGGCAGAGGTTGTGGTGAGCCAAGATCGCGCCATCGCACTCCAGCCTGGGTAACAATTTGCAAAACTCCGTCTCAAAAAAAAAGAGAAAGGAATAAAAGACAAAGGCAGGTATCCCGCCTGACTAAAGAAATAAGAAGGGTCGGAAACACCCAAGTAAACCACAAAAACAAAAACTATTTTAATCACTAAACTTGCAAGAAAGAATAGACGTCTAAAACCAGCATGTGCTTATACATTAAATATTTTTCTTTTCTTAGCCAACATTATAAATTAGTCATTAGATAAGAAGTTACATAACAAATTGTTAAACAATCTTTTATGATGGAGAAACAAAGCACTAATTGGAAAAGACATTCACCAGAAATGACCTTGATCACTGCAGTGCTGGAGGCTTACACGAGTAACTTAACAGAATCAGGAAAAATACAGTTTAACAACTTATTATCTAGGAGTCTATACCCACAATTTCAAGTGCAGTAAATACATCTTTTCAGTACCACTTTATAAAGCAGTACCATAAGGGATTACATTGTAGAAATCACAAATATATCTACAGGACGATGGGAGGAGAGCAGGGTAGATCTCCTCAAACAAATATGTTCTTGTAATAAATTTCCTGTGACAGCATCATCCTTGGACTCAAACAGTACTGACTTCCAACAAATTAGATAAAAGTGCAAATACAATGCCCCTGGCCTTGGATAATAACTGAAGAACTAGCTCTGATAATAACAAATGCATTGACATCAAAGTGAGCATAAATAATCTGGCATACATAATTTCATGCAATATGATTACAAAAATGTTTCTAAATCTAGATTATTCTATAAATGCATATGTACATGCATACATGCATGTAACTAAATAAATAAAACAGGGCTACTTCATCATTACTGGATGTTTATATAGTCAAACTGGCCAATAAATTTTGGAAGTGATCTTCTCCTTGGGAAAATAGGAATTTGCTTTGGATTTAAAGTCACCTTACACCCAGGTATTGAATTATAATTTTTTAAAAACTATTCTTTGCTCTCCACAATTTCCTAAGGGTACTGAAGAATTCTGGTTTGTAGAACTATTAATCCCCACTTGAAATGACTCCATGGTTTTTTTTTTTTGAGTTGTCATTTCTACCTCCTTGACAGGAAATCTACTTCTAGATTCAGGTTCAACATTTATTGGAAGGCTGCTACTTACTATGAACCATGACAGATACTTTCATAAAGCACTCATACAGACATTCAACTCTACCAACTATTAACATGGGTCACTAAAACCAAGATTTGCTGTAAGAGCCAGAAAATGCCAGTGATAGATGAGATGGGAGAGAAAAAGGCACTCTGGACCCTAACGCAGGATCCAGGTCGGCAGATCTTACTTTCCTGTTCCACGGGGTAACTGATGAACTGCTTACATAATTATCTGAGCAATTTAGCATTAAAATGTTGCCAAACAAAACTCTAAAACTCTACAACATGTTTGTTTCTAGAAGAGGGAATTACTTGCCTCTGCCTCTGCTGTCAACTGTATCTTCTTTGCTATCAACTGTTTTATGTCAATTCGACCTATGGGAAGAAAAACACATGACTTTTAAGTTGTTGGATACAGCTCCCTAATAGCACTATTTAAATCGTTAAGTTGAAAACAAATACAAAGATAACCATGTAAACTATGGTACAAGCACAAAACATGACAGCATGGTCAAAATAACTAGAAGGAAATTTATACATAAAAATACTAAGAACAAAACTAGTAAATGTATACACAGTAATTACAACTATGTTGATTATGCAGTGCTATAGATCCAATTTGACAGCATGGGAAATTATATTCCCTGAACTGATTCTACAATTGAGACTGCTAAGATGCTGGGTAAAATAATTAAAAACCGAAAAACTATTAAAACTTATCGCTAAGTTAGTACAAATCCACAGATGCAAAAAAGAGAAAAAGAAAATGAAACTAGAACCCTAGGGGACATGAGAGAAATGTAAAGATTCTCGCCAAATCCTAGAAATCTCGAGCTTCTCCATGGACAGCAACACAGGGCACAGTATTTTTGCAGAACAGTACACAGAGGACAATACTTTATAGAATGGCAAAGTCTAGGGTGTGCCCAAAATGGGAAGTCTAACAGGATACTGCAACATAAAGCTAGGGACCATACAAAAGGCTGCAACCTCAGTGGTTAAGAAAGAAACCACAACAGAAGGAACTATGTCTGTCTCTACTTGATGCTGTTCAGAGAGTGAAACTTTGCCCCAAGAACTCATAACCCCCCTCGCTAAAGTCTGCAATCTAAACTCACACTATGTGGTCTGAAAAACCTGAGATAAATATGTTCTAAAGCCAATATGTTCTGGGTCTCCAGGCTATTGGCAGACACAAATGCAATTCCTCCCTGAAAGATTACAGTATCAATCAAGGCCATACAGAACTCCAACAGATAAAGCTCCATAAAAAGGAGAAGCTCGTAGTCAAATTTCATAAAACATACCAGGAAACTAGGCAGAATAAATGGGAAACAGCAGAAACAAAGCCAAAAGGTGCAGATCTGAAAAACTAAAGATACTGGAATTGGTACTTTTAGGATAAAAAAATCAGGGCCGGACATGGTGGCTCACACCTGTAATTCCAGAACTCTGAGAGGTGAGGCAGGCAGATCACAAGGTCAGGAGTTTGAAACCAGCCTGACCAACATAGTGAAACCCTATCTCTACTAAAAACACAAAAATTAGCAGGCATGGTAGCATGCACCCGTAATCCCAGCTACTCAGGAGGCTGAGGCAGGAGAATCACTTTAACCCAGGAGGCAGAGGTTGCAGTGAGCCAACATTGTGCCACTGCACTCCAGCCTGGGTGACAGAGCGGGACTCCATTTCAAAAACAAAAAAAGAATTTTGGTAAATGAGAACAGCTAAGATTTTACCCCTTCTCTACCAAAAATACAAAAGTTAGCTGAGTGTGGGGATGCGCACCTATAGTCTCAGCTACTTGAGAGGCTAAGGTGAGAGGATCACTTGAACCTATGAGGCCAAAGTTGCAGTGAGCCAAGAATGTGCCACTGCACTCCAACCTGGGCAACAGACCGAGACTCTCTCAAAAATAAAGTAAAATAAAATTAAAAAAAAATAAAAAGAGAAATAGTCCAATTAAAACACAGACAAAGTAACTGAACAGATATTTGTCTTAAAAAAAATGCCTAATCACCACATGAAAAGACATTCGACATCACTGGTCAACAGGAAAATGCAAATCAAAACTACAATGACCTATCATTTCACACCCACTAGGATGGCAATAATCAAAAACACAAACAACAAGTATTGGCTTAAATGCAGAGAAATTTAAACTATCCAGAAGATTGCTGGTGGGAATGTTAAATGGTGCAGGGCTTTGAAAAACCATCTGGCCTGTAATCCCAGCAATTTGGGAGGCCGAGGTGGGCAGATCACAAGGTCAGGAATTCAAGACCAGCCTGGCCAATATAGTGAAACCCGGTCTCTACTAAAAATACAAAAATTAGCCAGGCGTGGTGGAATGTGCCTGTAGGCCCAGCTACTCACACTATGTGAGTAGTGAAACCCTATCGTAGTGGGGAGGCTGAGACAGAAGAATCGCTTGAACACCGGAGCTGGAGGTTGCACTGAGCTGAGATGGTGCCACTGCACTCCAGCCTGGGTGACAGAGCAACAATATGTCTCAAAAAAAAAAGAAAGAAAGAAAAGAAAAACAGTCTGGAAGTTCCTTGACAGATTAAACGAAGAGCTAACACATGACCTAGTAATTCCATTCCTAGTTATATACACAAAAGAAAAAAAAAATACCCTCTCAAAAACTGGTATATGAATAATATCTACAGCAATATTCGTCATAATAGAAAGTGGAAACAAATATCCATCAACTGATGAGCAGATTAATAAAATGTAGTATATCCATAAAATGGATTAACAATAAACCAAAAGAAATACTAATACACGCTATAATATAGGTGAAACGTAAACATTTTGCCAAGTGAAAAGAGGAAGTCACAAAAGACTCCATATTGTATGATCCTGTTTACATGGCAGTGTCCAGAATAGGTAACTCTATTAGAGACAGACAAAATGTTGGTGGTTGCCTAGAGACTGGGGCGAGGCGTCATGGCAAAAGGGAATAACTGCTAATGAGTACAGAGTTTTTGGAATGTGATGCTAAAAATATTCCAAAATTCATTTCATTCTAATTTCTCTGTTCTGAAACATTCCTTTCTGTACATTAAGTTCCAGTAATGTAGCTTCCTGCTGTTTAACTTGACTGTGGTATTAATTCTGACTGAGAATCTTTTTCAAAATTTTATAACAAAAATTGGATTTGAAAGGTATGACAGTACTGTTTCTTTTTTTTCGAGACAGAGTCTTGCTCTGTCTCCCAGGCTGGAGTGCAATGACACAATCTTGGCTCACTGCAACCTCCACCTCCCGGGTTCAAGCGATTCTCCTACCTCAGCCTCCTGAATAGCTGAGATTACAGGCGCATGCCACCACACGCAGCTAATTTTTCCATTTTTTAGTAGAGACAGGGTTTCGCCCTGTTGGCCAGGCTGGTCTTGAACTCCTGTCCTCAGGTGATCTGCCTGCCTTGGCCACCCAAAGTGTTGGGATTACAGGCGTGAGCCTCCACTCACAGCCATTTTCTGTTTTTTGAGATGGAGTCTTGTTCTGTCGCCCAGGCTAGAGTGTAGTGGCATGATCTCGGCTCACTGGAACCTCTACCTCCAGGTTTCAAGCAATTCTCCTGCCTCAGCCTCCCAAATTGGGATTACTGGCATGTGCCACCACACCCAACTAATTTTTTTGTATTTTAATAGAGACTGAGTTTCCTCATATTGACCAGGCTGGTCTCCAACTCCTGACCTTGGGATATGCCTGCCTCAGCCTCCCAAAGTGCTGGGATTACAGTCATGAGCCACTGCACTCAGCTGAAAGGTTTAACAGTATTTTTTATGAGAATGTGCTGTTCTGTGTAACACCTGTGCCTGGTGCATACTGAGCTTTATTATTTTCACAGATTTATAGACAGTTTCTTATTTTTACACAGAATCATGGTACTACTGTAATTTTATAACCAGTTGGATTAATTGATGTCTACCCTTTTAATAAAATATGGGTAGAATTTTTGGGTTTCTTTTTGAGACAGAATCTCACTCTGTCACCTAGGGTGGAATGCAGTGGAACAATCACAGCTCACTGCATCCTCTAACACCTGAGCTCAAGTGATCCTACTGCATCAGCCTCCCCACTAGCTAGGACAACAGGTATGTGCCAATACACCCAGCTAATTTTTTTTTCTTTTTCTTTTTTTTCTTTTTATTGTATTTTAGGTTTTGGGGTACATGTGCGGAACATGCAAGATAGTTGCATAGGTACACACATGGCAGTGTGTTTTGCTGCCTTCCTCCCCTTCACCCACATTTGGCATTTCTCCCCAGGCTATCCCTCCCCAGCTCCCCCTCCTCTGCTGTCCCTCCCCTATTCCCCCCAATAGACCCCAGTGTGTAGTACTCCCTTCCCTGTGTCCATGTGTTCTCATTTTTCCTCACCCGCCTATGAGTGAGAATATGCGGTATTTCATTTTCTGTTCTTGTGTCAGTTTGCTGAGAATGATGTTCTCCAGATTCATCCATGTCCCTACAAAGGACACGAACTCATCATTTTTGATTGCTGCATGATATTCCATGGTGTATATATGTGCCACATTTTCCCAGTCCAGTCTATCATGCTAATTTGTTTTTAAGTGATTTGACCTGGCTGGTCTCACTTGAACTCCTGGCCTCAAGCAATCCTCCTGTCTCAGCATCCCAAAATGCTGAGATTATAGGCATGAGTTGCCAGGCCTGGCCCAGGGTACTGTTAATTTTGAATGCAATCTGCCATTATTCACAAATGAGGTTGTGAATAATGAGATATTAATTATCTTTATTCTATCTTTTTAATAAAGTGTCAAGTTTTCTGTTATATTATGGGAACCAAGAAACATTAGACATAATTATGTGCACAGACCTACACAGATAAGCAAACAAAATAGAACGGAATAAATGCTAAAAAGTGTGAAACAAAAAAACTACAACATCTAGTTTGCTATCTTCATTAAAATAAAAAACCTATGATAATGAACTATCATTTTAGCCACTGAATGCTTAAAAATGAGAATTTGTAGCCGGGTGCAGTGGCTCATGCCTGTAATCCCAGCACTCTGGGAGGCCTATGCGGTCAGATCACGAGGTTAGGAGTTCAAGAACAGCCTGACTGACATAGTGGAACCCTGTCTCTATGTCTAAAAAAGTAAGTGAGAATTTGTGTTTTCTCATTTTCTGTACATGGTAATAGCTTAAGTATTTTTATTTCAGCATTAACAACTGCTATTGTATATTTTGCCTAAAAAGAAAGACTAAAACCCACTCAAATTTATAAAAGTAATTTCCCAGAAAAAAATTCAGTGAACAGAAATATTTACTTTGCCAAAGTGAACTTGAGAGGCATATTTAACCCCTTCCCTTAAAAACAAACCACAAAAACATAAAAAC